GGCAATATAGATTTAAATGGCATGGGTTTTTCAGATGAAGGCTGCATTTGTCAGAACAGACTAGTTCTGAAGTTTTGCTTTGGAGGACCTGAAACTTTTTCCAATACTCCCAGTTAACAGGCTCCTGGCTCTTACCATCCTTTTTGTCTCTGGAATTTGTTCTAAACTACAGCAGAGCCTAGTCAACCGGAGAGATAACTTCCAGACCAACTTAGAATGAAAAGACTGCTATACAGGTGTTTCTGTGTCTTCAGTGTTGTCCCTTCTACTGGAGTCTACTGCTACTTTGCCTTCTGGTGTTCTCCTTCAAGGTAGTTTCCTGTGTTCATGTCTACTCTGCGCTCAGAACTCTGCAGCTGTTTCTGATTCAAGCCCAAGCCCATTGAATATTTGGTTTGGAGTGATTGATAAATGTTTCTGCCCAAGACAAAACTTCTCTTGTGGTGTTCTGGGACCGTGTTGAATCTCTCCCTTGACTTTAAGGGTCTTTGGATCAGGACTATAATTATAAAGAGGGCTTTCTCTGACCACAAATGTCAGTCTTTCGGGTGGGAGACACAAAAGGAGCTGTGTGCTTTTGGGAAAATGGTCATAGTCAATGATCAGGCTCCATATAAATGCATGAGATCCAAGAACCGTGTGAAGGACACTATTTAGCCTCAGGAACTTTCTCTCAGATAGGCCAGACCTACTCTAGATAGACAAGTCAGTAGTTTGTAGTATAGTTGAAATGATACTAAGTACCTGTCAATGAGAGAAAAAGTCTGGCAGCTCCGAAGTCTTGTCCTCTCACAAAAAAAGGCAAACCAGCTCCCAGTTGATCTGTGCCGGCACAATCTTGCCTGGAAAGAATGGTCCCTAGCTTTCTCCCTCCCATCCATAGATCTTTATGCCTACCTGACAAATACCATTCTCCTGTACCCAGTACTTAGACCTTCAGGCTTTCACAGTTATACAGTCCAATGGTCCTAGTGGACTTTAAACTCATCCAAGCCTCTCATCAGTGCTGACACTTCCCTGTTTTGGAATGGCTATTTTAACAAAAAGCAATGGACCTTGACTCTCTCATTGGTATCCTGGATTTGTCTGAGAACAAGGCAATCTCTTCTCATATATTGTGGAAGGGGTGCTCAGATATTGTAGGAAGGGTAGTGGGCAGATACAGTACCAATTCTTAAATACCACACATAGAAGGTTTTTCTTAAGAGTCAGATGCTCGAGATGAAGTTGTCCCCTGGCACTTTTAGTGTACTCATCTGGCAGTTATGCAGCAAATAACTCAAGGTTATTTTCCTTGTCAGCATTTCAGAGCAAATCTTTATGTAAAAAGTGAAATGTTCTTAAACAATGGGCTGGAAAGAATAATGGGTACATTTGTTTTTTTTTTAATTATAATGACAAAATAGCATTCATATTTGTTAAAAATAGAAAGTAGAAAAATAACAAAATAATTCTAGTAATGACAAAATTTTGATATTTAGAAAATCAGCACTGCCTTATGTCCACATTACATTTAATTTGAATCTTCTGTAACTGGCTAATTTTTTTAAAAGGGTAGGGAGTGATTGGGTGTTCTTTAAATAATGTGCTGAAATTTTTAAAAAATGCACACTTTAAAATGTGTACAAGGATATTTTTGCTCCCTTGTTCATGTTTGTGTAAAGGTCTTTTCAATAGTGGAAAAATAACTCCAGCCCAGACCCTTAGTAACCCTTAGGAACAGGCTTACCTTTAAGGAAGTCAGTAGTCCTGTTGATTTCAATGGGACTACTCATGGCTCTGATTCAGAAAAAGCATTCATATTCAGGAAGGATGCTTAAACACATGCTTAAATCCCATTAAATCAATGATAGTATTAAAGTTATGCATGTGCATAAATGTTTAAGGGTCAGGGCCTTAGTACTTTCCTGATTTGGGATTTATTTGCTCAAAATTAAGCACATGTGTGTTTGCAACATCAGGATTTAATTAGGGGTCTGATCCAAAGCCCATTTAAGACAATGACTTTCCATTGACTTTAACTGGCTTTGGATTACTGAGAATACAGGGGAAACAGTGAAAGTGACTACACATGGTGCTGTCAAATATACAAAGTAAACACACAAATAATACAGGTGTTTTATTTGTCAGCTGACATCTTTCAGTTGTAGTAACCTGAAATATTACTACATACAAGGCACAGCAAACAGATCCCTTTAAACAGTAGTTCTCAAACTTTTGTACTGTTGACCCCTTTCACATAGCAAACCTCTGAGTGCGACCCTCCTTATACATTAAAAACACTTTTTAGTATATTTAATACCATTATAAATGCTGGATGCAAAGCAGGGTTTAAGGTGGAGGCTGACAGCTCACGACCCCCCATGTAATAACCTTGCAACCCCCGAGGGGTCCCAACCCCCAGTTTGAGAACTCCTGCCTTTAAAGATGGCACTTTTTGTTTAAGTATGGGTTTGCCCTTGTGTCCTTGGACAACATTTCTGAGTACAGTATGTTCATTGTGCTGTGCATCAGTGGATTGCCACCCTATTTTATCTATCCATTCTAATCTAATCTATTTTTTTCATTTCCAGCATCACCACCACTGCAGTTATGAGTAACCAGTATAATTCATAGTACCTTTAGGATCAAAGAAGTTATGTAAATAATTCTGAGTACTGTACTATAAATATCACAATACGGTAAACATCAGTGAGGCTATTTATTACTTTTCCACATGGAGACTGGAATAAAAAGGAATGCCACTTAGTGATTTCAATTTTAAAAGCAGTCTATCCATCAGGATGATTCTGCTCAAGAATTCTTGTTTTAAAGCCTATAAACATGGTTTCCCCCGCCCCAGGAATGAATGTTTCATTATTTAATTCCTTCAGTAAATACAAGGATCAGTTCTACTTCCAGTGAAGCCAATGGCAAAAGTCCTGTTGATTTCAGTGGGAGCAGGATTTGCACCATTGTTTGTGGATGCTGTAAAGAAAAGCTCACTCTCCATTTACTATATCTTCAAGCTGCACCATGTCCTTTTCATAGTAACCTAAGGTAGTGATAAAGCATGCAGCATATGATTCTGATCCACACTTAACGGCTTGGGTTTTTTGGTTCCCTTTTAATGGTTCAATGCTAAGAGCAGCTTGTAATGCATAATGATGTTCTGAACAAATAATTAGTGGTGTTGTTCCATTTTTGGGTTGACGGAATTGATTTTTTAACTTTGACATGAAAATCCAGAAAAAGCCTTCTTGTTCAATCACCAGACACTGCCTGATATCAGTAACAATACAGCTTATGGGGGATGGAGCTTTTCAGGTGTTAGAAATTGGAGCATCCATGTGTTGATGAAAACTGTCACTTTTGTTTTTAGTGGTAGATAATGAGTGAAGTGTTCATTTTTGATAATTTGTGTGTATATCTGGGTTTAACAGTATTTGAATGTTACAAAAACTGAGCTCCAAAAAAGTATGAATTGCAAACAGATATATCATGAGTGACATGTCATTTATACCAAGATATAGCATTAACCTGATCTTTAACATGGCTTTTCTTGTCATGATTGGACTGTCAGTGTTCAAATAAGCCAGTCACACAATGTTTGTGAAGTATTTCCTTTATTTTGAATTTGTACAGGGAAGTTTGCTTCAAATTGGAAGATGGTCTATCCATGTTATTATTAATAAGTTTTTCTGTCATGCTTTACAGATTTTGAACCACTGTACAAATATTAACTAGTTATTCCTTTGGGTATGTAGGCACTATATCCCACTTTTATAGATGGGGAAACTGAGGTAAAAGGCGGTTAAGTGACTTGCCCAAGTTGCTTATCAAAAAGGAGATTGAGGGGTGACTTCATTTAGAGTCTCTCTCCACAGGGAGAGAATAGTACAGGCTCTTTAATTTAATGGAGAAGGGCATAAGAAGAACCAGTGACTGGAAGCTGAAGCCGGAGGAATTCAAATGAGAAATTAGGCACAAAGTTTTAACCATGAGTGTGATTAACCATGGGAACAAACTACCAAGCAAAGTGGTGGATTTGTCATTTTTTGTTGTCTTCAGATCAAGACTGGATGCCTTTTGGGAAGATATGCTTTAGTCTACCACAAGTTATTGGTCTCAATACAGGGACAACTGGCCTGTGATATACAGGAGGTCAGACTAGATGATCTAGTGGTATATTTAGGCCTTAAACTCTATGCATCTCTGAATTGTACTACAAAAATCTCCGCTTTCATTTAAAAAAATTACATATTTTTAGTGATTAGGAAGATAAACTTGGAAACATCAAGTGTGTGTTGTCTCACACAAACCTTCAGCCAACCTGAAACCATAGTTCGAAAGGTGTGAACTACCCATTGATTTCAATGGGTTGACTTAAATCTAAAGAGGACAACCTAACTGTTCATTCTATTAACTATTTCACCATTGATTAGCACAAATATTTAGCAAATATGCTCATCCCAATCCCAAATTGTTTCTCAGACTGGAAAATTTAATATAAAAATAAATTACACCGGGGATATGGTTCTAATTGTAACATTCATTTCCACATTTAATTCAATAAAAAATTCAAAATTTTAATTCAAATAAAGCTGCTGCAGAATATCCAGCCCATTGGATCTGACTGCTGCAAAACCCAGGCACATTGTAATAGAATTTAGGTTCCATTTGCCATAGATTACACTAGGCTTTGATTAAGAATTTCCATAGTTTTCTTATGTAATTGAACTAATTTCTGTGCACATCTCTTAACATTTATATCAGGTATCTAGTCAGCCAAATCACATGGTAGTGTGGCATTGAGTAATAGTATGCAGATGACTCACACACCACATATATAAATTCTGGGGGGAAATAATACAATGTGTATATGCAAAAAATACCACCTTCCCTCTCTTAATTTTTACATAATATTCTGTAAAGATCATATATGTTTATTTTCCAATGTTTCACTACAGATTTGACAGAGAATAATGTTGTTCACTGAAAGGAGTTGCTTTTTTTTCCAGACTGTGGAATCATTCCTGTGTTGGTAAAACGAATACATTGGATTATAAAGAATTTCTGAAGAACCTTGGTATACATATGGGTACAATTAAGAAAAATGCAACAGAAAACCAATGCCTAGGTAGGTGCTCATAAGGAGAATGTATAGTGTAGGCTTTGGGAAAGCGAAGTTTTCACTTGGGGCCTGATTCTACTCCTGCTGAAATCAATGGGAGTTAGATCGGGCCCTTACATGGCAACTTTAGTCTGAAATTTTCAAAGAAGCCCAAGACAACTATGTGCCATTTAGGGGATGGTCTCTCTTAGAGTGGTTTGAAAAGCTCATCCACAGTGTATCAACACTGCTCATAGGGCCAAGGGTTCAAAAAGTGACACCCAAGTGCATGTGTAAAAAGTATAGTCACAGTTGAAGCTTATTTGCTGCAATTATGCCTTTAGATTTTAAGAGTTCATGTACAAATAGCTATTGGAGTACTGTGCTTAATGTGGTTGTATGTACAATCAAAGGGCTGCACACTCAGTCATGTTTTTTGTGCATCACCTTCTGGCCTTCATTTTTGAAAATATGTCCCATAATGTATATCAGAGTCTACGGACTTTTGAATGCATTTTAAGAAAAGGACACTGTCAATATGTTTTTTTTATAATTTAAAAATAATTATTATGTTTGCATTAAACCCTTAGAAGCTTGGAACTAAAATCTGTTTCTTTAAAAACCTATTTTTCTACATAGAATCATAGAATCATAGAATATAAGGTTTGGAAGGGACCCCAGAAGGTCATCTAGTCCAACCCCCTGCTCGAAGCAGGACCAATTCCCAGTTAAATCATCCCAGCCAGGGCTTTGTCAAGCCTGACCTTAAAAACCTCTAAGGAAGGAGATTCTACCACCTCCCTAGGTAACGCATTCCAGTGTTTCACCACCCTCTTAGTGAAAAAGTTTTTCCTAATATCCAATCTAAACCTCCCCCACTGCAGCTTGAGACCATTACTCCTCGTTCTGTCATCTGATACCATTGAGAACAGTCTAGAGCCATCCTCTTTGGAACCCCCTTTCAGGTAGTTGAAAGCAGCTATCAAATCCCCCCTCATTCTTCTCTTCTGCAGGCTAAACAATCCCAGCTCCCTCAGCCTCTCCTCATAACTCATGTGTTCCAGACCCCTAATCATTTTTGTTGCCCTTCGCTGGACTCTCTCCAATTTATCCACATCCTTCTTGAAGTGTGGGGCCCAAAACTGGACACAGTACTCCAGATGAGGCCTCACTAATGTCGAATAGAGGGGAACGATCACGTCCCTCGATCTGTTCGCTATGCCCCTACTTATACATCCCAAAATGCCATTGGCCTTCTTGGCAACAAGGGCACACTGCTGACTCATATCCAGCTTCTCGTCCACTGTCACCCCTAGGTCCTTTTCCGCAGAACTGCTGCCTAGCCATTCGGTCCCTAATCTGTAGCTGTGCATTGGGTTCTTCCGTCCTAAGTGCAGGACCCTGCACTTATCCTTATTGAACCTCATCAGATTTCTTTTGGCCCAATCCTCCAATTTGTCTAGGTCCTTCTGTATCCTATCCCTCCCCTCCAGCGTATCTACCACTCCTCCCAGTTTAGTATCATCCGCAAATTTGCTGAGAGTGCAATCCACACCATCCTCCAGATCATTTATGAAGATATTGAACAAAACCGGCCCCAGGACCGACCCTTGGGGCACTCCACTTGATACCGGCTGCCAACTAGACATGGAGCCATTGATAACTACCCGTTGAGCCCGACAATCTAGCCAGCTTTCTACCCACCTTGTAGTGCATTCATCCAGCCCATACTTCCTTAACTTGCTGACAAGAATACTGTGGGAGACCGTGTCAAAAGCTTTGCTAAAGTCAAGAAACAATACATCCACTGCTTTCCCTTCATCCACAGAACCAGTAATCTCATCATAGAAGGCGATTAGATTAGTCAGGCATGACCTTCCCTTGGTGAATCCATGCTGGCTGTTCCTGATCACTTTCCTCTCATGCAAGTGCTTCAGGATTGATTCTTTGAGGACCTGCTCCATGATTTTTCCAGGGACTGAGGTGAGGCTGACTGGCCTGTAGTTCCCAGGATCCTCCTTCTTCCCTTTTTTAAAGATTGGCACTACATTAGCCTTTTTCCAGTCATCCGGGACTTCCCCGGTTCGCCACGAGTTTTCAAAGATAATGGCCAATGGCTCTGCAATCACAGCCGCCAGTTCCTTCAGCACTCTCGGATGCAACTCGTCCGGCCCCATGGACTTGTGCACGTCCAGCTTTTCTAAATAGTCCCTAACCACCTCTATCTCCACAGAGGGCTGTCCATCTCTTCCCCATTTTGTGATGCCCAGCGTAGCAGTCTGGGAGCTGACCTTGTTAGTGAAAACAGAGGCAAAAAAAGCATTGAGTACATTAGCTTTTTCCACATCCTCTGTCACTAGTTTGCCTCCCTCATTCAGTAAGGGGCCCACACATTCCTTGGCTTTCTTCTTGTTGCCAACATACCTGAAGAAACCCTTCTTGTTACTCTTGACATCTCTGGCTAGCTGCAGCTCCAGGTGCGATTTGGCCCTCCTGATTTCATTCCTACATGCCCGAGCAATATTTTTATACTCTTCCCTGGTCATATGTCCAACCTTCTACTTCTTGTAAGCTTCTTTTTTATGTTTAAGATCCGCTAAGATTTCACCATTAAGCCAAGCTGGTCGCCTGCCATATTTACTATTCTTTCGACTCATCGGGATGGTTTGTCCCTGTAACCTCAACAGGGATTCCTTGAAATACAGCCAGCTCTCCTGGACTCCTTTCCCCTTCAAGTTAGTCCCCCAGGGGATCCTGGCCATCCGTTCCCTGAGGGAGTCGAAGTCTGCTTTCCTGAAGTCCAGGGTCCGTATCGTGCTGCTTACCTTTCTTCCCTGTGTCAGGATCCTGAACTCAACCAACTCATGGTCACTGCCTCCCAGATTCCCATCCACTTTTGCTTCCCCCACTAATTCTACCCGGTTTGTGAACAGCAGGTCAAGAAAAGCGCCCCCCCTAGTTGGCTCCTCTAGCACTTGCGCCAGGAAATTGTCCCCTACGCTTTCCAAAAACTTCCTGGATTGTCTATGCACCGCTGTATTGCTCTCCCAGCAGATATCAGGAAAATTAAAGTCACCCATGAGAATCAGGGCATGCGATCCAGTAGCTTCCGTGAGCTGCCGGAAGAAAGCCTCATCTACCTCATCCCCCTGGTCCGGTGGTCTATAGCAGACTCCCACCACTACATCACTCTTGTTGCACACACTTCTAAACTTAATCCAGAGACACTCAGGTTTTTCTGCAGTTTCGTACCGGAGCTCTGAGCAGTCATACTGCTCCCTTACATACAGTGCTACTCCCCCACCTTTTCTGCCCTGCCTGTCCTTCCTGAACAGTTTATAACCATCCATGACAGTACTCCAGTCATGTGAGTTATCCCACCAAGTCTCTGTTATTCCGATCACGTCATAGTTCTTTGACATCACCAGGACCTCCAGTTCTCCCTGCTTGTTTCCAAGGCTTTGTGCATTTGTATATAAGCACTTGAGATAACTTGTTGATCGCCCCTCATTCCCAGTATGAGGCAGCTGGGAATGATGTATGCAGCTGGGTTTGTTGTTGTAGGGTTACTTGCAAGTGCTGGTCTTTCTGCCAAGTGAGTTTTCATTTCTCTTTGTTTAAAAAAAATAGCATTTAAACATAATACCAGAGGAAAAAAAGCCAATAAAGAATTACACAGACTTTGCAACCTGAAGAAAAGACCGTAAGCTAAATTTTGAGCCTACCAACTTGAAACATTGCGCCTTTCATTTCTACTATTCAGACTTAATACTTCACAAAGAGTCACAAAAGAACAAATTAACCTTTCACAGTTGTCTAGAAAAGCCCAGCCAACAGTCATAATACTGAACTGATCCACTGCCTGACAAAAAGTCTTCCATTGGGTAGTGGGACTTATTTTTAAACCAACATTAAATGGATAGCCTGATTTTCAAAGGTGCTGAGTACAGGCTGTTCCTATTGACTTCAGTGGATGCTCAGCACTTCTGAAAATCATACCATTAGAATCTTTTTTTATTTAATTGTACTTTCCCCCTCTTCATTCTGAAACAGGGTTGTGTGTACACAGAATGATGCAAAGTTTATGAAATATTACAAAATAAAATAGCTTAGAAAATAATTGGTAAAATAACCACAGCTGCTAAGCGCTTGGTTTTTTACATAGTGTGGCCAACTGACATCATAACCAAAGCTGGTGCTCCAAAGTCAAATCCCACTCTGCTTTGATCAACAAAGCAGTTGTAAAGGTGAACATTATCTTAGATAAACCCATTCACCTAGTAAACATAGGGCAGTATTTAGGGTAGAGATCAGAATGGGTAAACTAGAAAGATAAAAGGAGGAGAAGGGTGGATGTAGTGAGAGAAGAGACATTGAAGATGGTGCACTGGAGTGGTTAATTAAATTGGGCCTGGTGCTGAAAGTAGCTGAACACCCTCAACTCCCACTGACGTCAGTTGAGCATATCAAACACCTTGCAAGAGGCTCTCAGTAGAATCAGAATTATTATCACACGTGGTAATGTTATAATATGTATCTATGTCTGAAGCCTGAAAAATATGTAGTACTCTTAATAAGGCAGGTTTCAGAGTAGCAGCCGCATTAGTCTGTATTTGCAAAAAGAAAAGGAGTACTTGTGGCACCTTAGAGATTAACAAATTTATTTGAGCATAAGCTTTTGTGAGCTACAGCTCACTTCTTTGTTAGTCTCTAAGGTGTCACAAGTACTCCTTTTCTTAATAAGGCAGAAATTCCTCTGGTCTATTTAGCTCTATACTGATATAGGATTACAGTTCACCTCCAAATTGAAATTCTGATGGCCAGTGTCATCAGGCTGTTTGTTCCACAGCTCCTCCTATTATATAATGGTTTTATTCAGCAATGGGGAACTCGAATGGGCAAGCTCACAAAATCCTACTCTTATTAGGGAAGAAGATGGGTCAATGGATAAAGCACAAGTCTGTGAGTCAGGAGACCTGGGTTTTCACCTCCCACTCTGTCATTCACAGACTTTAAGGGAGAAGGGACTATCATGATCATCTAGTCTGACCGCCTGCACACTGCAGGCCACAGAACCTCACCCACCCATTCCTGTAATAGGTCAGTCACCGCTGACTGAGTTACTGAAGTTCTCAAATCTTGATTTAAAGACTTGAAGTTACAGAGAATGCACCATTTACTCTAGTTCAAATCAGCAAGTGATCCGTGCCCCATGCTGCAGAGGAAAGTGAAACCCCCCCACCAGCTAATCTGAGCTGGGGAAAAATTCCTTCCCAACCTCAAATGTGATCATTTAGACCCTGGGCATGTGGGCAAGATGCACCAACTGGACACCTGGGAAAGTTCTCTGTAGTAACTCCCCATCTAGCATCCCATCTCTGGCCAATGGAGATATTTGCTACTAACAGTCACAGATGGGCCATATCCCATTGTAGATAAACTCATCAAACCATCCCCTCCATAAACTTATCAAGCTCAGCCTTGAAACAGGTTGGGTTTTTGCCTCCCCTACTCTCCTTGGAAGGCTGTTCCAGGACTTCACTCCTCCAATCGTTAGAAACCTTTGTCTAACTTCAAGCCTAAATTTATTGATGGTCAGTTTGTATCCATTTGTTCTTGTGTCCAAATTGGCCTTAAGTTAAATAAGTCCTCTCCTTCCCTGGTGTTTCTCCTTCTGATGTCTTTATGGACAGCAATCATATCTCCCCTCAGTCTTTGTTTTGTTAGGCTAAACAAGTCAAGCTCCTTAAGTCTCCTCTCATAAGGTAGCGTCTCCATTCCACTGATCTTCCTAGTAGCCCTCCTTTGCGCATGTTCCAGTTTGGATTCATCTTTCTTAAATATGGGAGATCAGAATTGCACACACTATTACAAATGAGGTCTCACCAGTGCCTCATACAATGATAATAACACTTCCTTGTCTCTACTGGAAATACCTCGCCTGATGCAGCCTCAGATTGCATTAATCTTTTTCACTGCTGCATCATGTTGGCAACTCATAGTCATTCTGTGATTGACCAATACATCCAAGCCTTTCTCCTCCTCTGTCTCTTCCAACCGATGCATCCCCAGCTGACAGCAAAAGTTCTTATTATTCGTTCCTAAGTGCATGACCTTGCGCTTTGCACTATTAAATTTCATCTGTTTCTGTTATTCCAGTTTTCAGGGTCATCCAGATTTTCTTGTGTGATATTTTGGTCCTCCTCTGTATTGAGAAAACCTCCCAACTTTGTGTCATCTTCAAATTTTATTAAAACACTCCCACTTATTGTGCCCAGGTAATTAAGGAAAATGTTAAATAAGATTGGTCCCAAGACAGATCCCTGAGGAACTCCACTAGTAACCTCCCTCCAGCCTAACAGTTCAACTTTCAGTATGACCTGTCATAGTCTCCCTTTTAACCTGTTCCTTAAACACCTTTTTACCACACTGACTCACTGGGTGATCTTTGACAAGGATCTTAACTTCTGTTTGTCAGGTTCCCCATCTATAACATGTGGATAAATATACTTACCCCCTTTGTAATGTGCTTTGAGGCTCAAGGTCTTGTCTACATACAAATGATGTAAAAACTGATTTGGCTAAACCAGTTTGAAAAGGTTTTAAAAAAAATTTAGTTAAGCCTTGTGGGCACTTCCACTGGTTCAAAACTGATTTATATCACCGACCTCACAAGAAAAACTGCTATAAACCTGTTTTAAATTGAATTAAGAGGGTCCACATAGCTTTTTCCACCAGTTTAATTAAATTGATTTAAAAACATGCCCTTGATCAATCAGGTGCGACTTTGTGAGTTGACCAGGCCTACCGATGAAAAGCATTACACGAGTATTAACAGTTGTCACTTTTATTTATTTATGGCCAGATTCTGATACTTTTTTTGCTGATGTTGAATAGCACCTTACTTCATGAGTTGTCCTATTGAAATGGAGTACTCCAGAAGTAAGATGCTACTCAGTGTGAGAAAGGGTGTCAAAATCTGGGTCCGGTCTAGCACAGTGATCACGCTTGGATTCTATACAATGATCAAATTATGCCAGACATATACCAGAGCTCTTGCCTTGAAGAATTTACATTCTAAAAGCACAGTGTGGATAATATAGAGCACAATATAGTTCAGAGAAAGCAGAAAGTGGGATGGTGATTATTCTAGCTTGAATGCTTCACAGGAAAGTTTTTTGATGGGGAGGGCACTTGGCATATATTAACTAAAGGCTCTTTCAAGTGCTGTGGGCAATATGAAAGAGCACAAATTTAGGAATATGTGAAAGAAACAAAGGGAGCAGTCAAGAGAAACCAGTGTCTTTCAAGGTTAGCTGTCCGAGATTGGTGGGTGGGTTGTCATACATATACTGAAAATGTGTTTTCAGGGGCCTAATTACTCTGTAACAATATTGGTAAAGAGATAAAACTATCAGAATACTCTGTGATATTACATGCTAACAAGAGTATTTGTTAAGATTGTAAGCTACATGAATTAATTCTCCTAAAGAAAAGTGAAGATAAAAAGCACTATTATCAATGCTAAGCTTTGTACCTATTATTCTTCCCTAGAAATCCAGTCTGAGAAATACAAATCAATTGTATTTTGGGCTTATTTTAATGTTTTCCATAAAGACTTCTATCATGATTTAACAAGAAATGGTCTTCAAAAAGAAATCCAGTTACTTTTATTTCTTTGAAGGTGACAATAGCAGTGACTTTGCTAAAATGAAGTTTTCCTTACCAGCACCGAACTGGCAGGAGACACAAGAGAAGATGCCAAAACAGAATAAACTGTCACTACAGACTTCACCAGCTGAGTGTAGTGTGATAGAATGCACACTAGATGACATTGAGATGGCTTTTAGGAAAAAGGTAAGGGAGTCCTTAATGTGTCTGAATGCTCTGAAATATGGAGAGGTTGAGCCAGGCATCACACAGAGAGGAGATTACACAGAAAGTTTTGGTGTTCAACATATAAATTAATAATATTTGTGCTGTTTTTTAAAAAGCCCTTAATAGAAATGACAGTTTGTTTTTCATTGCACTTTCTAAAGGTTTCATATCTTGTTTGCCAGGTTCATAGCTTTAAAAATATATATAAATACCTAGGAAAGCACCATTTTTCTAGACTAAAACAAAATAAAAATATTGAAACTCGATGGGTCAGGCAAATCATATGTGAATCTATCACTTCTCACTGTTAGATCACTTGACTGAATCCCAACCCAGCTCAGTAATGTTTAAAAGTTGTCATCATTTGGTAATTATTTCATGAGGCTCATGAAATAAGCTAGTGGCCTAAGTGCAGTCCCTTGTTCGATATGTGTGAAGCTCATAAATGGCACCCATGCTGGAAGTTTGAACAGAGGTTAAGGGCATGGAGAAGGGGCATGGAGAAGGAGTTAACTCCTTATGCCTTGAGGGGATCCTTCTAGAGCACGGTAGAGGGACAACATGGAGGATCTTGCACCGCCAATTCCATATGTATGTTCTACCTATTTTGTGGATAGAGGAATAGAATCCAAATCTCCTGACAGTCGGTTCTGTCCTTTAACCTCAAGAACCTCCCTCCTTTCTCAGAAGGCTATAGAGAAAGTAAGGGGACGGGACTATGGACCAGAGTTAGTGTTTTAGTACAAATCTAGCCGTACAATCCTATAACTGTACTTCCTCAGCCTTGAAGTGATTGGAGAGTTCTAGTAGGCTGGAGGTCAGCAGGCACTAAGGCTGCAGGGACATCACCTGACCTTCTTTCCCCTTTAGTTCTTGATTCTGAAGTCAGGGTAGGTCCTCCAGAGCCACACAGATTGAGGCCTGGGTTGGTGGCTGGGTACATCTCATCACCCTGTAAACCCTATCAGCCCATGATATTTGTTTTGGACTTCCTGAGGTCTCGCCATACATTATCTCTGCCCTGTGATGTCTGCAGTTTTCATTTAGCAGTAAACAGGTTAGAAAAAGGTAGTGTAAAGCACCAAAAAGGGTGATGGAAAGCCCAAGGAATGTTTGTATTATTCAACAAACAGTACTGACTGAACTTTTGGTGAATGAAACCAATCTTCCTGCTGTTCTATTATCCTTACTGAAATTTGCAGTAAGTCCCATAAGCAAAACCGCACTCCCCTAGTTTCTTTGTAACAGCCCATGAACTAAAAGAATAACCAAAGAAATGGGCAATATGTTTATATAACAGGTATATTAACCATTCTGTTTCTTCTACCATTTTTTCTAGCATTCATTATGATCCATTTTAATAAAGAGGAGCTTGGTACTAAGTTACACTAGGGATGTCTTTAAAAGTATATTAAAACAGATGTCTCAAACAGGCAGATCCACCAATATTTTTAGCCCTGAATTTTGAGGTAGAGTTATTATCCCTGGGGGAGGGATAGCTCAGTGGTTTGAGCATTGGCTTGCTAAACCCAGGGTTGTGAGCTCAATCCTTGAGGGGACCATATGGGGCAAAAATTGGGGATAGGTCCTGCTTTGAGCAGGGGGTTGGACTAGATGACCTCCTGAGGGTCCCTTCCAACCCTGGTATTATATGTGCTATATTTCTGTGAGAAACTTGTCTGCCTTGTCACTTGAGTCTCTGTGATTGGGAAATACTGTTTTGTAGTGAGCCTATTAATTAAACATCTGACAGTCAGAGCTTGCCATGGTAACCTATTTGATCAGTTTACAGAGAAGAACACTTAAAAAGGTCTTGTAAAATACATTATTGTTTTTAAAACTTCATGAGCTTGATTTTTCTGAACAAAACACTATAAATTGTATTCATTTCAGCTGCACTCAGCCTATCAGGACATTGAAAAAGCCTTCAGAGCATTTGATGTTAGTCAGAGTGGATTTGTGTCTTTGGATTACTTAAAGTCAGTCATAAATGGCTTTATATTTCCATTACCAAATGGAACTTTTCAAGAGCTAATGAGTAGGTAAGCGTCATATTGTTTCCTTTAGAGACATTTTTTAACATTGCAACTTCATAACTTGATTATTGCTTTTTGTGACTTCCTTTGTTAATTTGCCTCATTTGTGCCTGTGTTGCAGCATGTATGGAACGTAATGTAAAATCTGATTGAACTAGCTAGAGGGCCATGTTTGCAGCAGTCAGCTAGCCAGGCACAATAGAGTGATAGCCTTCACTCAGAATGGCCTTACTTCTATTTGTATGTCATTTTATATTTAGTTTCCTAGTGGGAAGGGTACGCGCTTTCATTGAAGTAAATACTGGTACTTTAAGAGGAATTTACTGCATAAAAATCATCATAACTAAAAAATAACTAAAGTTTAATCCTGGGCATGTTCAAAACCTAATACTCAAATTTCAAAATTTCTTTTTTTCCAAAATGCCTTTTATATTCGGATAATTATTACTAAATATTATTATTATTTTTATTAATTATTTCTTTGTTAAACATTAACTATGTGGTCAGCCTTATATAAGAAAACAACTGAAGACAGTCTCTGCCCTGAAGAGCATACATTTTACTTATAGGTCTTAGTCAAATTTAGGACAACCACTGTGGATTGAGGGCAGTATGATAGTACCTTGACACCAATGGCAGTTACCTGTGTTGACTGAGGGGCTGGTGACTGCTGGTTCCTGAGAAAGATTTTGATCTTGGCTGGGCTACAACTTGGCAAAAGGCATTTGAAACTTACTTTTAAATGTAAAACTAATGTGCTACTTACTTTACCCCAGAAACAAGGGATGGGGTGAATTACTGGAAGAGCAATTTGACCAGTATTACCACTTTATTACCATGTTTGTGTGCTTCAAGCTTGCACTTTTTAAAGGTACTTCTGTTTAAAGGGTTAAATGAAAGTATGAAGTACAGCATACCTTCAACGAAACTTACTAATGCCAACCACTTTGACTATGTAGTGGTCATCAGTAATCACTATAGGATTAACTATAGGAACACTGGGGAGCTAGATGATGTAGTGATGTCGCTTCTGGACAACTGAATTTATATTAAATTAAGATAAAACTCTTCTGAATTTGGAGGGGCATTCCAAAACTAGAACCTGAACTGGACTGAGAGAAGGGCAAATCAGGCCAGCTCCTAGATTAAAACCCAGGTACTAGTTCAGGTTAACCAGACACTGCAGCATTATGGCCAGAATTCAGATACTGTGATAAGCATGATCTAGCAGTGATATTTGGATAGAAAAGGATTTTTGGGACACAGCCTGCCCTTAGGCACCTGAGTTAGGTTAAAGGAAATTTTTCAAAATCTAATTTCTTTGGACCTGATTTGAGTTCAAATGTTGCTAGCCAACTCCCCAAACCCACATTTCCCATTTAAAGCCAGAATATGGACATTCTTCGGTATTTTGGTTCAATCTGGACCCACCCTTATACACAGAGACCAAACCCGCAAGAGGAAAATAGGCAGAAGATAGCCTATATTCACAGGCAGCAATACTAAGAGCATATGGACAAATCAAAGAGGAAGGGGAGAACAACAACTTAACTTTTTAACGAGCTCTTTAACAAAGACAGAGATTGCGAGAGTCTTAAATAGGCACACAAGGCACACAAGTCAGTTCTTACCATGTGAGCAAAGCAGGAACCAGATCATGTGTTACTATTTAAAGATTCCATAACATAGTTTATATATTTAAACTCATTTGTGTGAAAGTAAGATCATCCATGAAAATAATTAGTTGGATTTTTTTTTCTTGTATGCACTAGTTAACTTTAAAGGTCTCACTGCAGATATACATTTTATATCAGCAGGTGCTGTATGAGAGTATCATCTGCAGTAACTACATTATTTTGTGCATTCAACAGATAAATCTGATTTGCTTCTAGTCATTCACAATGTGATATAACAATGATCAACTATTACTTTGTCAAAAAATATTGCTATCATAGTTTCTTCAGTTCATGTCACTCACGAGTTTTAAATCTTAAAGTAAATCTTGCTCTTAAACATAAGCACATAATGGAAAGATTTCTACATGCATTTTTTCATTGGAGTTTTCTCTAGACATTGACAAAATATAGTGTCACTTTAATGATGCTATAAACAGAAATATTCCACCCTACATATACCATATCTTTCAGGTGATATTTCTCAGATAAAGTAATTCAAAAGATGCACCAGTGTGAAAACAACCACAGAGCTTTCTCGTAGTTATGTGGCTGTACTAATGTACATATGGCTTCATGTAGGCTGATAATGAATACAACAATAACTAATAGGGAATGTTGTATGACGTAAAGATTAAAATGATATTTAAATATCGTTGTAACATGGTTCACTCACTACTGGGACAACTTGTGACTAGGTCTGGGGATCAGCTCTTGCCTGGTCTAGCCCCCCATTCTATTGGTTGCTCACTTCATGGGCTTTCTCTCTTTGTGGGTTGCTCGCTCTTCATGACCTGGCCAGAGGACTAAGTCACTATTTAGGCTTCCCCTTTTGGGGGTTAAAGTCCCAGTGGGCAAGCTATCCATATGCCCTGCCAGGCAGTTTTCTGGTCTAAGTCCAGGTCCAGGGCCATTTTCCCAGTGGCTGGCAGGGTAACCCAGGCCCACTCATTACTCCGGATTCCAGCTGGGGGACCCTAAGCCTCGCAACCACGGTCTAGTCAATCTCAGACCCTGTTGATATTTTCCTGGGCTCCTTCCTACCTCACTTCTGTATCTCCTGGCTCATTTCTGGATTTGCCAACTTGAGCTTCCTTTCCTCCCAGTGGCTACTCCATCACACTTGGTTTCTTGCCTGACTCTGTAGTTCAGGGCAGGATCTCAGGGCTTACTTTCCTCCCAGAATTCCTCCTCGTCCCTGGCCAATTCCCTTTCTCTCTAGAGAGTGACCACAGAGCTCATCCCTGACCTGCCTCTTGCTCTCAACTTCCTGGCTTTGTACAAGCCCAGCTTGCCCCTGCCCAGCTGGGCTTCATCTTCAGTTAGACTTTATCTGTCCCTGGCTCTTTTGGTGAAGCATATACATTTAATTGTCCCTTTTTAATCTGCTCAGGCCTTTTGTGGGGTGGACACCCCATCACTATTGCCCACATTAGATGGGGCAGGGAACTACTTATAGGTAAGAACACATGACAGTGTTTTATGATTGTTCTAGATATCTGCAAGTCTTAAGCCTCAGGAGTGAAATCCTGAGTCAATTGATTTCAATGGTGTTTTTGTTATTGACTTTAATGGGGCTAGAATTTCACCTCCTGAACAGTAAAGGACCCTGTTACCTAAGAACTCATCTCTCACAATATGTCCCCTTGAAGCCAGATCAAATATATTGTAGATACACCATTCATATTTACTTAATTTCAAAGGATATCAGTAATGTTAGTCCCAAATTCTCTCCATTTCACACAAATTCGGTGTCCCATCATTTTTCCTTTTGAAACTCCTTTGCATCAGAAATAAAAATGAATGGAACCAAGATTACAGGCAGAGCTATTTATGCTGAACAAAGGAATCCCACCACATTTTAACTTTCCTGCATGAGTAATATTTTTTTGTCTTAGGTTTTTTTTGGGTCTTTGCCATGCATGTTCCTTGACAGGTGGAGAAGTATGAGTGAAGGATACTCTTGTTGTCTGTTCCAAAAACCAAACATTCCATGACTAGAGTGAGCAGTTTCCCAATGTGAGGCTTTCTCTTATGCAACTTGCTCCTCTTGTGAGATGCCAGACCCCCATTTGGCAGCCTTCACTTAAGTCATGATGGAAACCATGCTTACTTGGTCAGGCTTTCAGTGAACTTAATATCTGTTTGAAAGAGTCAGGGCAATTTGGTTGCCGATATTTCCTGGTCCTGATAACAGTGATTGTAGTTTTAAGCTATCCTTTTTGGTTAGCTTAGTGTCTGATTTCCATGATTTAATATTTTTGTAAAGATCCCAGATGCTAGGCAATGGTGCTTAAAAATTCTTAAACACTCTTAAATATATGGCATTTTGTACTGGATGACTAATAGACCATAAATCATCTGGTTTTGCCCAATACGCATGCTATTACAATCTTCATCAAACAATGTCCCTCTTTTTATAATATTTATATTCTAGGTAATTAAAAGAGGATATAATGGAAGATGAATTTCTGAAAGTCCTGTAAAATTATGAACATTTTAAAAACAAAATTAGTTTAATATATAAGGCCCACTGGATAGAACACTATACTGGGACTCTGGAGACCTGGGTTCTGTTCCTAGCTCTGCCACTGGCCTGCTGGGTGACCTTGGACAAGTTGCTTTACCTCTCTGTGCTTCAGTTTCCCATCTGTAACATAAACTTCTTCTTCTTCTTTGAGTTGTGTCCCTGTGGGTGATGCAATGGAGCTGTGCTGACATCCCTGCGCTGCTGATCGGATCAGTGTCCGTTAGGACCGCACACGCGCGCTCTCTCGCTCGTTGTGCTGCGCCGCAGTTTCTTCTCCGCTGCCCCTAGCTAGAGACAGAGCTATTCGCAGTCTCTGAGGGCCATTACTTTTGATTTTGCATTTCTGTAGTTAGTTAGCCTCCTAGTACTTAGTTGTAGTTCTAGTTGTAAGATTTTTTTTTCTCTTTTCTTATCTTTTCTCCCTAAAAAAAAAAAAAAAGAGAGAGAGAGAAACTTTATCTTTTCCTCCTGTTTTTTCCTCGTTGGGGACCCTTCCCCCAACAGGTTATGCCCAGTTCACCAGACTTCAGGAAGTGCCTCTCTTGCAAAGAGGTGATCCCCGTTGCAGACAAGCACTTCCAGTGCACACACTGCCTCGGGTAAGGCCACATTCAACAAAAGTATGATCTTTGCCAGCAACTCCGTCCCAGATCCCATAAGGATAGAGAGCTCAGGCAGAAGGTCATCTTCATGGAGGTAGCTCTCCAACCCTCTCTGGATCTGCACCACAAGTCACTTGGCAGACCAGAGTCTTCCCCACAGCCCTCAATATCCAAAGACTGTGGGTTGAAGAAACAAACCACTGACCCCTCTCATAAATTGTCATAAAAGGTAGTGGGAACTCCCCACAGTGAGCCCCAAGATAGCTGCAAATGATCTCCAGCATGCGTGATGTCCTCGGTACCATTGGCACCAAGACAGTCTCAGCTCAGGTATCATTGACAAGCCTACGTATCCAATGGTCCTGGGCACCAAGTCAATGGCACCGAGGGACAAGGACAGGAGTAAGCACTCTGCTGAGAAGGCATTCTGCTGAGTATGCAGTGCTCCATCAGTACCATCATCAACACCTCATCCAGCACCAAAGTGACCAGTATGGGCGAGATCCCCCTCCCACCCTGGTACCGCCAATGGCACCGAATCGGTTGGTACTGCTGGAATTCTGGCACTCAAGAGACCTCCATGTACTTGATGCACTGGAGGCTCCTCTTTTTGGTACTGGGACCGCCTCACTGAGTCTTCGCCCGGCACGGGAGTCTTCCCCGTTGCCCTACCAGACCCCCTGCTCTCTAGTGAGGCCTGGGATAGCAAACTGCAGGATGTGGCATCACAGTACTCCTCCCAAGCTCCTTATGGCGTCCAATATCAACAGGGCCCCCAAGCATACCCTTCCCCCCCCCAGTGGCCATATTGGGATCCTTGTGCAATATACAGACCCTACACTTCTCAAGCATCCAGTGTCTCTCATAGAGAGTCCACCAGACTTTCTCCTACGGCTTCGGTGTCCAGAACCCCAGAACCAGAGGAGAAAACTTTTGAGGGACAGGGGGAAAGGCTCAAAATGGAGGCAAACATTTCCTCATCATCACCAGATGAGACTACGATGCCCCCTCCTCTATCACCAGCTGATGATTTTAGATACTTTCAAGACCTTTTTAAGAGGGTAGTGGATAGCTCAAATGGCTGAATGGACACTGCTATCTACATCTCCAATTAGAGGTACAGGGGCGCAGACACACCTACAACAGAGCACCCTTAGGGTAACACATCTCAAAGATGAGTAACTTCCCCTTATCTTCTTTGTAAAGCACTTTGAGACCTGTGGATGAAAAGTGCTATATAAGAACTAACTATTTCCTACTAGACATAGAATTGCTTTGGAATACAAAATCCTGAAGCCTTCACTCAGGTTTTATTCCCAGTGAATTCAATGAGTGTTTTGCATATGTAAGATTTCTGGATATGACCCATGAAAATTAAGGATGGAAAAGACAGGTGTTGTCAGGCAGAGCCCAGTACTGAGAAGTGCTGAGCATGTGCAGTTCCCATTGAGGTGTGTGGGAGTTCCAGGTGCTAAGTATGTCTTGGATCTTATTCATCTCCTCCCATGATAAAACCCAAGGGAGGAGGCTTTGTGGGAGACAATCTTAGTGATGATCATTTTGTAATGATTCTACTACATCATCTAATTGGGGTGGAAATTCTCTATCCTGCAGAAAATGGAGTCTGCCGACAAACTGTGTGGATCCTCAGGGATCCATGCTGATGCCCTGTACTGCTGCATCAGCTCTGGCCCCTAGTAGCCATGCTGTGCACTCCCCAGCTCCCTGGCACCATGGCAGTTACCCTCTGAGGTGCTGTTGAGGTAGCTGAAGAAGGGGGTAGTCACACACATGGAAAGGGCCTCTGTTTGTGAGGATCTCGGGGACAATGATGCAGACCAAGATCAATCTGTTTGCTTGTTTCCAATGCAGAATTGTTCCCTACAGTGTACTTTTGAGTGATTTAGTAGAACCACAGAAATTTCATGTGGGAAAGATCTCAGTTAGGGGTTGAAAATATCAGTTGTCTGGGTCTTAATTTTAAAGATATTATTTATCTTTATTTATTTATCTTTATTTAAAGATATTATTTATCTGTTATTTCATATGTGATTATTGGTTTCAGACAAATATTATGATTATGAAACTATTTCCCCCAGTTTTTTTAATAAACTTTCCCTCAAGCCAGTGAGCTGTGGTGTGTATGTCACCTGTAAGTGGGTTAATTTTGAAAAAAGTCAGCTTTAAGAAGAACCTCATAGAAAAACTGTTCTACCGTCAGGTTTTGATCAGCCAATGAATGATTGTTTTGATGGTGTAATTCTTCCAACTTGGAATTTCACTGGCTGAGCTTGATAAACTTAATGAACTTCTGAGGATGGAGTTTTTTGTGGGAGCTCCACAAAAGTCTTTCCACCATTTGTTGTCCTGTTAACTCCTTATTACATTTTATTGTTGTTTAAACCTCACCCTGATAGTCATGCTCTAAACACAGCATAACACCATTCTAAGAGGCTTCAGGAATAGATATTTAAAAGTTTGCTGAAATGAGAAAGGCAGTGAGTCATCACATTTTTGCAAAATAAGTTTGTAACAGTGCTTAAAAGACACCATCTAATTTAGGAACGTGTTTTGCCACACTTACTTAGGGCTTCATCCTGCACCATTGAAGTTAAATGGGAGCTATGCCACTGACTTGAATGGGAGCAAAATCAAGCCCTCGTTGATTTCAAAGGGATTATTCACAGAGTAAAATACTACTCAACATGAGTGAAGTTGACAGAATCTGGCCGTTAATGCCTTATAAATGCATTCTAACACTTCTAAATTTAAGGGTTTTCAGTTTGGATAAAACCGGAACCATCTGATCAGGTCAAGTTCTTTCTTCAGTTAGACTGGTGAAACTCAGAAGGGAATTTGGCCCAACTTGTTTTATCATTGAAATTTGCCACATACTTTTTGTAAAATTTTAAGCTATGCAAACTCAGACAAGATTGCATAAATTTCCGTCACAAGCCAAAATTCTCTCTGGAAATTGTAGTTATAGCAGTGTTTACAAAAGGAAGTCTTTTAAAACAGTTCTTACATTTTTGTTTGACCAGATTTGGATTTAAAGCCACAGGTAAAATTGCTTGGCATCAATTTTTAGAGAAATTTCAGGACCCTGTGACATATGAAAATGGACAGACACTTCCTATAAGAAAAAAACACAGGTAAGTAGGAGATTACATTTTTTTGTTCAAGGTGTACTTGAACTTGATGGGAAATTATGTCCACTGAAATAATCGTTGATTAAATTTACTTCAAGTAATCTTTTGGGGATATTCTTATTATCCATATAAATGTCTAAGCATATTTTTGAGTCCTACTAAGATTTTGGCCTTAATGAGTTTACATTTTCTCCCTACCCTGAAGAGTAAGAGGATGAGAGATGAGAACATTGTGTCAACCATGTTTTCCTGTTGTAGAGTAAACCCAATCAGAGGAATGGATGAAGCTTTCTCAAGTGACAGTGTCCTTCTAAAGCTGCACAGACACATCCAAAATGCATATCCATCACTGAAGCAGGCATTTCTCATGATTGATACAGTAAGAGACCTTATTTTTAACTCTTACAATGCTGAGATTCTGTGGATGAGTTAACACATTCAGAGATTGATGGAGTTTTTAACCTCTCAAGCTACCCTCTTGACAAGTACCCAGCAACCTCTCAGATCCTAACCCTCCTGCCAAGCAAGTCTTTCCCTTCATCTGGTTTCCTAACCTTCTCCCAAACATCCTATACCTTCCGTCAATGAATCACTTGCTTTCAGGTGTTGCTGCCTTCCCTTGCCTTCTGTTCTCCACCCTAATAAAAAAAGCCATGACCACTTACACTCATAGCAAGTGCTGGAACAAATGTGCTTCACCAAGACTCAAGCCCTGATCCAGCTGCCACTTCCCTCTTGCTACCCTCTTGTCATAAATCTGACTTTGCCCCTCCCTCAACTCCTAACAATCCATCCTCACAATATGCCAGGCAGCGCAGCTTTGAAAGCGTGCCAAAGGATGTATGCTATGCCAGATACAAGGCCATGTTCCCACCAGAGAAGGAGGAAACTGGGAGGTAGATTGTGGCTGAGTCACAATCTGCTTCCTAGGCTACTCCTGGGGGCAACACAACAACATGCTGCCCCATACACAGGGCTCATGGCAAAGCCCCATCTTGTTTGTACGGCCTGCATTTTTTGTTCCTACATGAATGACTTGACATTTGGCTGTATTGAAACACATTGTTTGCTGGTGCCTAGTTTACCAAGCGATTCAGATCTCTCTGTATCAGTAATTTACCACTCCCCCAATTTTTGTGTCATTTACAAACTTATCAGTGATGATTTTGTTTTCTTCTAGGTTATTGATAAAATTTTTTTTGTAACTTGGGGCCAGCAACCAATTTCTCGCAGGACCCTACTGGAAACACAGACCCTTGATAGTGATTCCCTATTTACAATTACATTTTAAAACCTGTTAGTTAGCCAATTTTTAATCCATTTAATGTGTGCCATATTCAATTTTGTATCATTCTTGTCTCTTAATCAAAATGTCATTAAAAAGATATCAAGTTCACTTGACAAGATCTATTTTTTCCAAACACCCATCTTGCCTGGCATTAATTATATTACCCTACTTCAATTCTTTATTAATCAAGTCCTATAAATAGGAGGGGAATATTACATACATGAGGCTAAATTGTCCCCTTCCCCATGAAAAGCCAGAGGTGGAAATGTTTTGATTTTTTTTTTTTTAGTATCATTCATTTTTTTTTATATTTGGGGTTGGAAACTCTCCGTACACTTATTCCATATACTCTATATAGTTTTTAAGCTTTCAGTTGAGTTAATTATATTTTATTTTGTTGTTCTTTTTTCATCTTGTAAACTTATGTGCAATTAAGTTCCTCAAATTGTAGTGCATTTCTATTGTTAGAACAATTTTAGTATGTTGCTGTACTGTTTTTGTTAATCTCCACATTGTTTATGTTAGTTTTTAGTATTGATTGTCTGTTGTGTCCCAGTTGCTTAAAGGATTGCTAAAGTGCAAACTTAAGAAGTCCATCTCAGACTTCCAGAGTTCCATGTTGCTGCATTTCCTGTTGTGTGGATAAATTTAGAAATTCAGTCGGGATCTTTCAAGAGCATTACTTTTATTTGTAAAACCCTTTTAAAAAGGATAGAATGTGATGCATCTCTGGGCAAGCAGCGCAAGCTGTGTGTAGAAGTCTCCTAAATGAAGTCCCCTGAAGACATCAAGGCCCAAGAAAAGAAACTAAAGTGTTTTCCAGCTACCCATGAAACCAGACAGCCTATGGAATTTATAAACATCTCAGGGTGCTCCTGAAGTTGTCATAGGTTCAAAAGAACGGTAGCTAGCTCCAAAATTACTTGCTGATCCTGCAAAGATTTATGCACATGCTTAATATTACACCCATTAGACTGTAATTGACATTAAAGACATGCATAATTGTTTGCAGACTCAAATTCTATACCAAGCCATTCTGGAAAATGTTTCAAAGAAGTTTGGAAAATTTAACAAATGCAAATATGCAACTTCTCAAATTTCTCAACTGCCTTATCCAGTTATTCCCAAACTTAAATAAATAAATACCCCTTGGCACATGACCACACATGAGAAATTATAGGCAGAATTATTGCATTTTAGTGAAGTGAGGGAAGGGATTAAAATCAGTATGATAATGTAAAGTAAGATAGAACTGCAACTACGGAGTCATTGTCACAGCACCATACTATACAATATAAATAGAAAATGTGGAACTTGTAAAAAATTTGTTTGTGGTCTATAATCTGACAGATGTATAATGTCAGACCTGTGAGATTGACCAGGATCACTCCATTGCATCACTCACTTTATTTGCAGCAATATTTTAATCTGATTTTTTGAACAGAATTTGGGCATTCTTTTTATGTCTAGCTCTAGAATGAATGCACTCTTAATAAAGAACTGTCAGTCTATTCTATTCTATGGCTTTCATGATGTACTGAACTATGTTAAAAAAAGCATTCTTGTCATTTTTGATGGAATGTCATGATATATATGATCCATACACTGGGCTGTGTGATCATTCCTTTAGTGGACAGATGGAATTTTTTAATACTTTGATTTGCTACAGATTGCTCTTCTTAAATTGTACAGTCTATATTTTTGGATTGGATGAGCAAATAATAGACTGAAAAAATTAAAGCTTTCAGTCTGGTTGACACAAGCAAAATGAGCACTGGGCATATCTTCAGAGGTACTGCTGGCATTTTTTATTACAAATTTTTATATAGATGATATATCACAATTCTTTTCTAACATAATTACATAAAAATTGCTCTTTCCCACTCTGCAGTATAAATTACACACACACACACATTTGTTTCAGAGTGGTAGCTGTGTTAGTCTGTATCAGCAAAAACAACGAGGAGTACTTGTGGCACCTTAGAGACTAACAAATTGATTTGGGCATAAGCTTTCATGGGCTAAAACCCACTTCATCAGATGCATGGAGTGGAAAATACAGTAGGCAAGTATATATACACAATAGATGAAAAGATGGGAGTTGTCTTACCAAGTGGGGGGTCAGTGCTAATGAGACAATTCACTTAAAGTGGAAGTGGGCTATTCTCAACAGCAGAATGCCAAGGGAGGAAAAAATCACTTTTGTAGTGGTAATGAGGCTAAAGTAGTCAGGGTGGCCCATTTCAAACAGTTGACAAGAAGGTTTGAGTAACAGGAGGGGGAAATTAGTTTTTGTAGTGACCATGCACTCCCAGTCTTTATTCGGGCCTAATTTGATGGTGTCCAGTTTGCAAATTAATTCCAGTTCTGCAGTTTCTCATTGGAGTCTGTTTTTGAAGTCTTTGTTGTTGAAGAATTGCCACTTTTAAGTCTGTTATTGAGTGTCCAGGGAGATTGAAGTGTTCTCTGACTGGTTTTTGAATGTTATAATTCTTGACATCTGATTTGTGTCCATTTATTCTTTTGCGTAGAAACTGTCTGGTTTGGCCAATGTACATGGCAGAGGGGCATTGCTGGCACATGATGGCATATATCACATTGGTAGATGTGCAGGTGAACAAGCCCCATTGGGTTTGTTGTCAACTCTGTCCGCATATCTATTCAAGGAACATCATCATAGGACCTAACCACATCAGCCACACCATCAGGGGCTCGTTCACCTGCACCACTGCAAAAGTGATTTTTCCTCACTTGGTATTCTGCTGTTGAGAATAACCCACTTCCACTTGAATGGAATTGTCTTGTTAGCACTGACCCCCCAACTTGGTAAGGCAACTCCCATCTTTTAATCTACTGTGTATATATATTTGCCTACTGTATTTTCCACTCCATGCATCTGATGAAGTGGGTTTTAGCCCACAAAAGCTTATGCCCAAATAAATTTGTTAGTCTCTAAGGTGCCACAAGTACTCCTCGTTGTTTTTACATATATGTTTGTGTGCGTATATATTCGTTTGTGTGTGTATATATTGCTAGGCGAATTCTTTTTTGTAGTGATTTTGTATATATACACACACAATCACTACAAAAGAAAGAATTCACCTAGCAATTTACAAAGAAGAGAGTTTAGTTTCCTCCATTGCAGTAGATAATAATAACACATACTAGCATTAGGGCCCTGATTCAGCAAAGCACTTAACCATGAACTCAAGCACATGCTTATGCACTTTGTTGTACTGGTCATCAGTGAATGAAATTATTTACACAGATACCGATGGTTGAGAAAACAGAAAGAGAACTCTGGTTGCAGGAGGAACAGCTTAATCCCTAACATCCAAAACTGTTACACATATAGAGATACATACAGATTTTCAGCTGGTATAAATCAGTGCAGCCCCAGTGAGGTCAGTGGAGCTATGCTAATTTACACCAGCTGACAATCTAGCTCATAAATGAAAACATTTTAGAGATTGTTTATTTGACACCTAAAATCAAAAAGTTCACTGATTGAAGGCTAATATAATTTATATTATTTTTTCAATATTATCAAAGCAATGACTAAAAAACAAGATATCTTTAACCACAGTATGTGTTTAAGCTTTGTGGAGAAAATGCTTCCACTGATATGGTACATATTTTTATGTAAAGTAGAACTAATTTTTGTAGCTCCTGTACCAAATTTCTTAACTCATTCACTAAGGGAGATATATTATCAAGTTTCTTTTCCATATGATTTAATGCACTGACAACAGTCTCTAAAGAAAATTCAGATGGCAGAAAAGCAGTTTTACAAGACCATTATCTTTTGATTACAAAACTTCAAAGTGTTTCCCAAACCAACTGATAAAGTAAATAATTGCTCATCCTGTATATTACTACTGCCAACCTGGATCTCTATAGGGGACTAAAGGGAAACAGAATTTTTCTTGGTGTGAGGTTTATGAGCAGCAAAATATTTGTCTTGTGCTTAGGCAGGAATGAATCACTGGAGAAACTGTTTACCATTAATTTTTTTTTATTGTTCCCAGGCATTTATTCCTTACATTTCTTCTTTTTTCCACCAGTTTTTTTTAAGGGAAGCAAAGTATAAAAATAAAATAAAAGTCCAAGCAAAAATATAAAATTCTAAGATCTAACAGACTGTGATAAAAACAGACTAACCTCTATTTAAAACTCTCCCTCAAACCTTATGGAGATATGCCATGGGGACTGAAACAAAAATCATGCCTTAAATGTAACAACACAAATATAATAGTACTGTTGTATAAACCTATTCCATTGTTTATTGCATAAGACGCTTTAAAAAGTGCACATTTGTATGATAGTATGAAGAGTGCCACATGCTGGGACTCTGTATAGAAATGCGGAATTATTTCTACTAAGTCACTCTCACTGTCAGACCCAATGGTCCCTATTAGCTCCAACCCAGGAATATAAACGACTTAGCATTACTCTCAGGCATGTGAGAGGCCTAGCACTCAGGCAAGGCAGAGAGACCTAGGTGCAAAGACAGAGAGATCAAGGAGGAAAAAACCCTAGGAAAAGATAAGCTCAAGAAAAAAGTTTAGGTTGGAGTTTGTATTTTATTGTTCTGATATTAAGAATAAAAGAAATCCCCTGATAGGGGGTGAATTTGGGACACTAACCCAGGGTGTGTGTATATGTATGTTCTGTGCTGAGAGCAGTGTGGGAATTCATTCCAGTCACAAATAGCCTTTAAAGGACTCCCCTTCTTCACCAAGGCAATGGATGGGGCCAGTGGTAGCATCAAGTCACTGTAGGATAACAGAGCTGGTGGGAAGTAACAAAAACATCCTTTTTATTTAAAAAAAGTCTCCGTGTGTGTGTGCTTATGTTTATATATGCTTACATAACATAAATCATCAATTTACTTTTTGCAGAAAGGTGCTGAATTAACAATCTTGGAGACCAAAGACTTTTGTCTGTTTCTCCACAGAACAGGTCCCAGACAGGCAGCTATAGCGTAAGCTTCCTAATACTGCTCCACCAACATACTACAAACCTGAACTTAGGGTACGACTTTTAGTGTAAGAGGATCGTTCAATTTCTATAACCTTAGTCCCTCTGCTGTGACTGCCAACAAGGGCTCATTTGTGGTGTATCCTCTTGTCCACTGGGAACTGGACTGAGACCACCAGATTCACATTATGTAAACTGGGGGTTCTCAACCAGTGGGCTGTGGGATGCTGGCAGCCCAATCAGCACACAGCTGTGGCCCATGTGACATCTTCAGGACCATACAGGTAGTATACATATTGTGTGGATGCAGCCCACATAACACACAGAGAGCTGCATATGCGGCCCACAGTAGTAAATAGGTTGAGAACCACTGATTAGACTATCAAAAAGCTAACCAACAGTAAAAGCTTTCAGTCACTATGGGTTGTGTGACCTAGAGGTTCAGAACAGTGGTTTAAAATAGACATTGTCTTTTAGTAAATTTGTTCACTCTGTTTTACACATACATGAACATTTGTTTTAGAAACAAGATGGAAAGATCACAAGAAATGAGCTTCGTCGCATTTTGGACTGCATCCTATTTCGAATAAGTGACAAGGACTTCCAAGACCTAATCAAGATAATTGATCCAGAACACACTGGGTACCTCAGCTACCATAAATTTTTAGACTTGTTTGAAGAAAAGGAATCTCTAGTAAGTGTTTATCAATACTTTTCTAAGGATTTTCTTTTTTGTAATGTCTATAGCAAGGTGTCAGGACAATTCTTAATAAAACCCTAAGCTCTGAACAATCTTAATCTAAGTTAGTGAATGCATATGCTTTTCAGCAGTGTAAAACTCCTACATAATTCACACTCTTGGATTCTTTTGCCTCTGAAGCAGGGGTTGAGAACAAATTTCACAGTTACCTCATGTTTCTGGAAACTCCCTCTGGAATGTAATCGCAAGTTCATGTACATGTGTGTAGCAGGTGTGGGATGGAAGTATCTCTTTCCAGCTTTCAATCATCAAAACTGTTTTGCAGATATTTTGCAGAAGAGCTCTATCTATTTATACTAGATAATAAAACATAGGTTCTGAGACTTACAATACCCATTGATTGTGTGTTTTCATAAATATGACTTAGAAATTTTTGGAGTTTTGTAGTCATCTTTTAATATCTTCCTTTAGAACCACTACCATACATATAGTGAGGTTATATCCTGTATCTTTTGACCGGAATATCTAGTCAGTATGTCAGTTTCTTTTTTTGCTTACTGAATTATACTCAGAACTAGTCTAATCTATAGTTTTCATAACTGCTTTATTATATTGGAGCTGTTCATAATATTTTTATTAGATCACTTTTAGGTTCACATTAGTGTGTCATCTGAATAAATCTTTATTTAGTTTTTGTCTTAAGCTGGTGTAGTTAGTGTAGTTGGAAAGAATCAAAGGACCCAGCAGTGTCAAGAGATGCACTAGATGCACAAAAAGAGATTCCTACTGAATACTCTTGAATGGTGTGTATTGCTTTGAGAAAAGCTTTGATGTAGAACTGAAATAGGCTGCATCCTGTTCTGATGGCTCCAACAATAGTTACATTTGATTCATCAGTTCATGTCCCTTCTACCTATTCTTGAATTGAATAATGGTCACGCTGAGAGTCTGGGACACATTTTGATAATTATAAAACTGACATGTCAGAGGGGAAAAGTACAAACACTGTCAAAGTGCAAATACTAATGCGTTATGCAAATGAATTTGGATGCTCAAGTTAACTTATTTGGGTTCATTTTAGAGTTGATATTCTACTGCCTACTTAGTGTTCTAAATAAAATAAATTTTAGCACAAAGAAGGGCAGGGTAGAGAAACACAGAGCAACAGGGATCATGGCCACCCTGGGATAAGATACCAGCTGATAACCAGAGATAATCATGCTAGCTAGGATTTCACACTTGAAGTGTGATTCTGCTCGGAAGAGTGGGCCAGATTCTGGCCTCTGTTGGGCCAATCTGTTGGTGCAAAGCAGCTGCAAAGCCAGCCTAGCCAAATACAAAGGCTCCACCCACACATTCCCTTGGTGGTGTAAAGCTGGCATAGCCGGCTCTGTAACACTCTCTCCTGCCCACTCTGTGGCATAGGGGAATTCTTTGGGGCACGCCCAGAGGAAGGGGAGGTTTTCTAGAATGCTGCGGTGCTCTATCATTCTCTGACTGAGGGAATGGCCCCATGGCAACTCTTGCAGCCAGATGAAAGTCAAAGCAGCTCTGAGGCAGATGCTAGTAGTGCTGGGAACCAAGCTGGGCCCCAACAAGCCAAACCAGCTCCTCGCTGCCCCCAGGACTGGGGCATCTGAAAATGGCATAAAGGCACCTTTGTCTCCCCTTGGATTTTGCACTGAACAGAGCTCAGCTGGATCTGAGTATTGACCCCAATTACTCTGGAAAAATAAGATTCCGTGTGTCTGTTGCAACTCAGTAGTTCTCGCATTAAATGAACTCAGCTTATAAGAAAAAAGATGCTTTTATTCTAACTGCCAGTGCCACAAACTGAACCTGTTCTACGTTCTGTGAACCAGATTTTGCACTCACATTCACCTGTGCCATCCCATTGTCTTCAAATTATCCCCTCAGAGACGGCTACCCAACTTACAGCTCATCTGTCAGTCTTAGTGACTTTTACTTTGGAGGGTAACCAGCAGTACTAGGTTGTTTTGTTATCAAAGTCAGTAGCTGTGACTTTTAATTCACAAAAGGAGCAGATGAGTGTAGTAAAGTGCCATTTTTGCATAGTCACTTTTCAGATTAGAGCCACACTTTCAAACAGACCCTTGAGAATATATGCATTGGCTGACATTGTACACTATTTAGGAAACAGTGTGCTAAAAAGTTTTAATACAAATAACATTTTTTTTTAAATTAGATGGGTCATAAATGGCTTAATGGAACAAAGGAAATTAAGAAGTCACCTTCTCTTGTTCTAGCTTGGGATACTGTAAGTAATAATGAGGTTTATCTTCAATAAGTGTTGATTTTCTGTAATTAAGGGATTTATTTAATTTTTACTATCTGATTACTGACATATGACAATGTAACCTCACGGACACTTTTTATTTCAATGATTGATATATTTGCATTTTAGGTGGAAGACATTCTTTCGGATAAAATCATGGAAAATTGGAAAGACTTCCACAGGGCTTTGCAGACCTGTGATCCTAAATGTACAGGCATTATTAGCAGAAATCAGCTAAGAAAAATTGTACAGATATATTGTCCCTCTTTGTCCGATGAACAATTTACAAAGTAAGCTGCTGGCATCTGACTATTAATTTACGTAACTTTATTAACTTTCTCTCCATATTTTTCTAAAAAAGTAGTGTTTTGAATCCCGGGATACTTCAATTTGCCTTAAGCTTTAGAGAAAATAAAATGCCACCAGGCCAGTCAGTGACCCCTATTCTGCAAGTGATCAACTTGCAGATCTCCTCTTTATTTCTGTGGAAGTTCCATTAATGAAACACTGGCAAGATTGGGGTCGTACGGTTCAAAGGATAATTTAAAAAGGTAAAACAAGCCCATTCTTCAAAGTGAAAATTGGGTGTGATGGAAAATTTATCTTTAAAATAGTATTCACTGTTTCCAAATGGAAATGATTATAACCGCCCATATTATCTTGTTGTAACCTTCTACAGTAGTATCTTGTTGTAATGAACAACGAGTGCCTTGATTTTAGGAGAACCCTTGTAAACTGGGACCTGACATAGTCAACTCTCATTTTGATCATTGGCCAATTGCTAACTACATCTCAATCTAAAAAACAATGAACACCCCAAATCACATATGTGTATGGAATCAAAATCTATATCTTGTAAAAGAGGAGAGGATTGTATTAGGCATTTTATTGCCATGGCATGTCAGTCAGGCTCTAATTGGCTCTAATTTGCTCTCCTACAAGCTGTAACATTCTTTATCTGCAGCCCTGTGATTCTCCAAAAGATGTGGGATTCTTTCCTACCTTTCAAAACATCATAGGAAAATCAAAGAAATCCATGCCAGCCTGAACCTTGTCACCCAGTGTCCTGATGATCTGTATAAGTGAGGAGCAAACACAACAGCATCAATAGGAAATGGCTTTTAGAAAATAATTTTGATCTTGAAATATGAACGAGTACAAGTGTGATCACTGATATAAAATTCCACTGTATCCGTTTTCCTTTTTGTGAATGTTGTAGAGAAAACTGGGTGCCATGCATGGGGTTAATAGGAGTCAGGCACCTAATTCCCTGCACACTGTATTAAAAATATCTTTTTTGTCATCAGTCAGTTTTATGCCTCAGTGTTGTATAATATATACACATTGATCACTGATAGTGAGCAATTAATTATCCTTTGAGTATTGGATAACTGGTTCTCATCATTCACACACTTCTCTAGATAATGTTTTTACCATTATTTTCAACCATTATTTGTGACAATGAGAGAGCTGTGCTTAGGGTGGAGTCCAGAATTACAACCAATTTAAATTCTAAAATGATTTCTACTTGAAGTTTCAATATCTTGTGTGAGAAAAAGATGTTGGGGAGGGAAAGCTCAGAAAAGAAAACCAGAAAAAACATGATCATTAGGATCTAATCCACCACCATTGCAGTCAAGGGATATTTTGCCATTGTCTTCAGTGGATACAGGACTAAGCCCTGAATGATTCATCCTGAAAGGTGCTGAGCACTATGACTGTGATCCAACAATGAACATAAAAAGTGTTTTAGTATGGTACCAGTCCCATTCAAGGGGACTACTTACATACTTAGAGGATGGGGCTGCTAACAGGGCCTAAATTGAGCACATGCTTATGTGCTTGTTGGATTGGGGCTAGAAAGCTCAGAGCTTTGCAAGATCAGACTTTTTAGAAGCATTAGATGGGATGATTTTGCAATGACCTGATAGGACCTGACACAACACGACGCAATGTATACCTGACAACAGTGTTTGACTTCCATTGTGGAGGGCATTCATGAGGCCTTTGTACAAGCTGCATAAATTCCACTTTCTAAGGATATCCAGTTTTGCTAGCTATGGATATTTAAATATATTTGTGCAGCAAACACAGGCATGGAGTATGAACTCTCACTCAGCCCACACTTTGTTCCTGGTTCTGGAAAGCATCTCTTTTCAGGACAGCACTTAAGCACGTGCTTGAGGGCTATCCTGAATCCGGGCCTTTGCTAAGATATATATATATCCAGGAGCATCTCATCACTCCAAAGATGAAATTCAATTCTGAGGTTAAAATGAATGCAGGTTTTATATTCAACAAGGTATTATTGCTATTGAAGACTTATCTGATTGGTTTTATTTGTTTTGTTTTGTTTTAAGGGCTAAATAAGAAATGGGGATTGATTAAATTTGAAATCCATGGATAAAAACTTGCTTTGCAAATGATTTGCTGTTCACCTTATATTCTACCAGACTTGGGCCTTATTCTTTTAAAAAAGATGCTTTTACTCACATCAGGCCACCAATACACTCATTTTTCAAATGGAGATTTATATGTTATTTAAGACCATCCTGGGAAAATATTGTGGGAAAAGATTACGCAGAGAAACAGTGGATGGCACTGTTCATTCACAGCTCTAAAGTGGTTAGGGATGCAGTATTTTAAAATAATAAGTAAAATATAATTGACTCCTTTAAACATGCACAAATTGGACATATGACTGTCAAATCTGTGTCGAAGTTGTTATAACCAGGCTGGGGATTTAACTCAGATGCTTTGGGGATGTTGCATTACACTAGGTTTTTGAGCAAGGGTGATGAAGAGAATAAATTACATTCTGAATTCCAGTGTTTCGTCCACATCAGTCTTATTGATTTTAAATGATACTCCTGCTGTTGGGGGCTTCAGTTATAATTGGGCTTTTGGCACTGATGTGACTCATCCTGAGGCACTTGAGGACAATGCTGCTTTTATTGAGGCAGAATGGTTGGCATGCCTGTCCCAGATGGCTTCCTGGGAGATGACATTCAGACTGAGGAAGAGAAGGGACAATTTTAAAGGACATTTGGAAGCCTTTTTTAGATTACATTTCCAAGGCAGATGTTGTTCCTTAGTGTTTGTGTCTGAGTTTCATTTTCTATGTGCAGGATAAACTTCTTTGAATGGAGCTGGTTGGATGGTGTTACAACATGGTGACTCCCTTTTCTCTCCACAATCCTCTCCCACTGCCCCCTCCCCTCCACTCCTGTTATTGATTTAGGGTAGCAGATTAGATTTATTAAAATAAAAGAAAGTTTTGATGTGGATTTATCACAAGGAGGGTGCTTGCTTGAGGGGGTGTTATATCTTAAGTTACAAGTCATTTTGTATCACGTTTGTTTGTTTTTGTTTTTAAATAAAAGTCTAAATGGGGAAAAATAATGATTTTGTAGACTAAACAGAGTGCTGCAGATTCACAGTATAATGCACTTCCATTCCCTTCCATTCTTTCATCTAAGAATCCCCAAAAGCTTTACAGACATGAGTTGTCTTATAAAGCTAAACTGAGCTCTGTGAGCTGGGTCTTAGTTTCCCTATTTCACAGATGAGTAAAACAGAGAGATCACCCCGTGAGTCAATGGTAGAGTGACCCCAGTCTCCTTCTCTAACGACTGGACACACACTGTCTCGCTCTGGGAAGGAAGTTCATTATTTTGGTAATCTTTGCCTTAAAATATGCATATTGTGCCTTATTCCCATCTGTGCACATTAATTTCAGTTCTTTATTTTATCTAGGCTATGCCATAAATTTCAGGATATTTCTTCTGATAGGATCCTTTACAGAATGCTTTTGGAGAGCTTAGGAGTTGCTGTTTTACCTGGTGACTTAACTGGTATTAGCACACAGATCTCAAAGGGAAGTCAACAGAGAGAAGAAAAAAGACAAACAGATCTTTCAGAAAGGTACTGAGCAATGCTTTATTAATACAGATGATTCTCTATTAAATTTTAAAAATATTGATACCATTATAAAGGAAATTTCCAAAAAGACTGAACATTTGCTCTATATGTGAAATGCTAAGTGTTATCTTATGCAGAGCTCGGGATCTATGCATAATCCCTAAGTAATCTGACCTCCAAAGTATTGTATCAGAAGAGCAAATGTGTGGTTTATTTATCAAAATCTTTTGGACTCAAGTAAGAACTGCTGAGCTAACTTCACATGTTACAAAAGGGGTACATCCCACCAAGTCATCAGTGACTTTGCTGATATGCAAGGCTCTCGGGGTTTGTTTGTTTTTTCTACACAGCATCTAAAGTATAGACTATGAATCTCCAGAGAATCGTTGAGACTTCATCTTTTGGGGTTGAGCATTCTCAGAGCTCCACAAATCAAGACTGATTAGATTCTGATGGTTGTAGCTTCTGTGTGCAAGGCTTCTCAGTCTATAGCATTAGTGCATGCCTTTTTGCACTCAAGCTATGATGATATTTGAATCATCGATTCAACTTCTCTTCAGTTACTTGAAGCTTTGGTCTATGTGGAAATACCTGTACAAGAGCCAGTAAAATCTTCCATAATGGGGTGGGGTATATTTCTCCACAAAAAATGTGGGTTCAGCCTAAAAACTATGAATCTTCTGAGATCTTGCATGGATCTCCAGGATCCTTGGTTTCCACACTGGCTCTGAGCCTTCAGTGGCTCTGCAGCTACTCATTTACAGCACAACTCCAATGGGCTCCCTAAATGTTGCTAATCCCTGGGCTACATCCCTTAAAGGGGGTTCACCAGTAAGGAAGGACTATGGGAAAGTTAATTCAGATTGTGGCTATTCAATTGTGTGTTAGTGGGGACAATACTTGCTTCTCTCCAGCCCTGTCTGCTAAGTACAGTGAGCCATTCCTAGGGTTTGGGGATAACAAGACATGCTTGAAGCAGCGTGGCTCTGTGGAAAAGGCACACACCTGGAATTTAGGAGAGCTGGATTCTAGTCCTGGTGGTAGATGAAAAGCAAAGATTATAGAAAGAACAGGAGGACTTGTGGCACCTTAGAGACTAACGAATTTATTTGAGCATGAGCTTTCGTGAGCTACAGCTCACTTCATCGGATGCATTGCTCAAATAAATTGGTTAGTCTCTAAGGTGCCACAAGTCCTCCTGTTCTTTTTGCGAATACAGACTAACACGGCTGCTCCTCTGAAACCTGTCAAAGATTATAGAGTACATCATCAGAGAGCCTTGCTTATCAGCAAAGTCACGCATCTTGACTTTCACCATTATGCATTTCAGAATTTCAGACATGTTAGAGTTAATTTTCTGTCTGAACTACTAGTGATACTTTATTTAAAAGCAGTTAATGAAAGTGTTTCATTAAAATATTTTAGTGCTAGAAGTTAAAATTTTAAGGTTATTATCAAGTTAAGGGAGTACTATAAAATATACTTAATAAATCTGTAAAAAATTAGACTGTTGAATATTCTGCATTTTGCTCATACAGAAATATATGCTTTCAGACTTAACAAAAATAATTGTGTTAACTTACTTTTTCATGGACAATAGTAAATCCATAACAAATGTGAAATGGATGCAACCGGGACATATTACACACACTTTTATTGTACATCTTCTCTATCTTCAAAAGTTATTGCATATTTAATCACGAGTTATTTTAATAGTTTGCTGATGAAGATTGTAGTATTTCAAAGGGAGGGTTATATAGTCTATGTCTGGGGATTTTTCTTTTAAGGATTGAGAAAGGATATGCTAATCCACTCTTTGCATGTAAAGGAAAAATAGTGGAGGTGGCTTATTTGGGTTACTAGGAGTGGGAAGCTGTGAATCATGATGTTATATGACCACATCCTATGGGCAGATATACAGAATATCGCTGATGCCATTTCCAAGGGCCGCCAATTGTTACACCTTTCCAGCAGGTGGTAAGACAACATTAGCCTGATTCATCTCTCTTTAAAGTCAATCAGAAAGACTCCCATTGACTTTTTGGGGGATTGGATTGGGTCCCATGATGGTGGTTAAAAATGTTAATGGGTAAAAGTGGCTCCCCAGAGGCTGGGAAATCTGAAGATCCAAAATGAACTGGTAATCAGCTCCCATCTTTGGATGTGAATGGTCTCCACTTCAAAAATAAATAGCCTGTGGCAATATCATGCAATCAGTTTTTACAAACATCAGGTTTCTACTTAACACCCAATTGCACAGTATGGCCCTTGGAATCTGCATGGGCTTTAATTTGTGCTAACTATAACTTTGTGTAGGCACAAAAAGAATATTTCTGGTGTTATTGTCCTGTTTATTGTTAAAATAATCCAGTTAATTATTGAATCAAAAGTTTTAAAGTAGAAAACACAAATGACTTGTTTTCATGTGCAGTCTTTCAATTTTAGAATGAAACAGATTGAAGATCAGGCCAATAAGCATACCAAGAATAGAACTGTTGATGAAGTAATTGAAAGGCTCCAGGACAGTGTGATACAACAGGAAGCAACTATTAAAGACAGCTTTCTTGCCTACAACAAGCAACCAAATGGAAAAATTAGTAAAGATGATTTCCGGAAGGTAGGAGAAATGCTTGGTGTTTTTATTTATCTTTTTGTTTTTCCTGGAAGGTGATTTATCGTTTTATAGTGGTGCCTATTCACACACCTACAGCCAAGTCTCCAGGGCTGTTTCAGTTATGAATGAGCTGGAGCATGCTCACATGAGCTGCTTGTTAATAGCATAAGGAAGAATCAGCTTTCATTTCTGTCAAGGTTCCTCCCCCACTCTGAACTCTAGGGTACAGATGTGGGGACCTGCATGAAAAACCTCCTAAGCTTATCTTTACCAGCTTAGGTCAAAACTTCCCCAAGGTACAAAATATTCCACCCTTTGTCCTTGGATTGGCTGCTACCACCACCAAACTAATACTGGTTACTGGGGAAGAGCTGTTTGGACATGTCTTTCCCCCCAAAATACTTCCCAAAACCTTGCACCCCACTTCCTGGACAAGGTTTGGTAAAAAGCCTCACCAATTTGCCTAGGTGACTACAGACCCAGACCCTTGGATCTTAAGAACAATGAACAATCCTCCCAACACTTGCACCCCCCCTTTCCTGGGAAATGTTGGATAAAAAGCCTCACCAATTTGCATGGGTGACCACAGACCCAAACCCTTGGATCTGAGAACAATGAAAAAGCATTCAGTTTTCTTACAAGAAGACTTTTAATAAAAATAGAAGTAAATAGAAATAAAGAAATCCCCCCTGTAAAATCAGGATGGTAGATACCTTACAGGGTAATTAGATTCAAAACATAGAGAACCCCTCTAGGCAAAACCTTAAGTTACAAAAAAGATACACAGACAGAAATAGTTATTCTATTCAGCACAGTTCTTTTCTCAGCCATTTAAAGAAATCATAATCTAACATGTACCTAGCTAGATTACTTACTAAAAGTTCTAAGACTCCATTCCTGGTCTATCCCTGGCAAAGACAGAATATAGACAGACACACAGACCCTTTGTTTCTCTCCCTCCTCCCAGCTTTTGAAAGTATCTTGTCTCCTCATTGGTCATTTTGGTCAGGTGCCAGCGAGGTTACCTTAGCTTCTTAACCCTTTACAGGTGAGAGGAGCTTTCCCCTGGCCAGGAGGGATTTCAAAGGGGTTTACCCTTCCCTTTATATTTATGACAATTTCAAAAGAAAAAAAAAGTCAATTTCTAGTCTCTTTTCTTGCAAAAGGAGTACTTGTGGCACCTTAGAGACTAACCAATTTATTTGAGCATAAGCTTTCGTGAGCTACAGCTCACTTTATCGGATGCATACTGTGGATCCGATGAAGTGAGCTGTAGCTCATGAAAGCTTATGCTCAGATAAATTGGTTAGTCTCTAAGGTGCCACAAGTACTCCTTTTCTTTTTGCGAATGCAGACTAACGCGGCTGTTACTCTGAAACTTTTCTTGCAGAGATTGCTTGGAAAACCCAAACTGATTTCTAATGTCAAAAAGAACATGCTGCTAGACTCCATCTCTGCAGCAGGTGGCTGGGGAATTTATAGAACCAGACTCCAACCTACCACACACCTTCTCTGTAAAATGAGTTAGTTGCATCTGAGGTGCTTCCCAAAATTTTTTTTTAGTTAGCCGTCTCCAAAATCCTTATGCCCCATGCATTATGGTGTGATCACATCATAGTTGAGAGAAACTGAGTACCTTTGGGTGGAGAAAGGCAGCAAAACATTGTAGGCAAATGAAAAATTCCAGTGCTGGTCCTGCTTGTTAAAATTTTAACCCTCTCTGAAGTGAAGACCAAGCTGGCTGCTGGTCATTCAGGCCACTGCTATGTGTCATTGTATAAGTACATTAAGCACATAAAAACAATTTTATGGTTATAGAAACTGAAGTCCCTTCTCATCTTCAGGTCAGATTTGAAGTACATTGATGAAGTGATCCAGGGAATCTTGCACTGTTGCTTCCCATGCTATTCCATTCCAGATCATAATACTCCAAGTATTAGTGCTGTGTATGCAGATTCTAAAATACTGTGCTGCAATGAGGCTTAATGGATAAACACCATACACATACAATAATGTACTGATTATTAATGTGAATAAAAATGTAGGGTGAAATTTTGTGCTGTACCACTGAGAAGCCTTAGGGAGGGCGGACCAAGATGGCTTTATGCCGCCTTTGAACTCTTCACGTGCAGGGCTGGCTTGGGAGACAAAACAGCTGCCAGCACAACAGCCAGCCAGTGGGTTGCTCTAACAGCCTGTCCTGAACTGCCCCTTGTCAGCATTGCTGCCTGGAACCCTCATAGCTCTGTGGCCCTACTCCCTCCTGCTCCTGACTTTGCCCTAGCATGTCCCTGCTCTGAGACATGCACATGCAGTGCCTGTGTTGGGGGAATTTCCTTGGGCCTCCTACAATTAGAAGAGGAGGTGCTTTCGACTGCTAGTGTGGGCAGAGTCTGCACATTGTCTTTATCCAGATGCTGATTCGGAAGAGCAGGGGGAGACAGCTGTGGTGAAAACAGGATTTACCATGGCAATGAGACCTTTAAAAAATGGCAGTACAGCTCCCTTAAGGACTTCTTATAAGACTAGGTTTTCCTTGGTTTGCCAGTAAAAATTTCATCTCTCATCAGTGTGCAGAATGCCGTGCACTTCTTCATCGGGCTGCTCTCCTCTTCTGAGAGGTGGATTCTGTGTGTGCATTGCAGAAGTGCTCTGAAATGAGAGGTGCTAAGTAATTGTAAAATGTTATTTCTTTGTCTTATTGTTAATAATAATAATTAATAATTAATACATGAATTAAGAATAAAATTGAAGCCTTACCTCCCACATGCTGATCTGTGCAACATACTTTTGGGACATTGGCTTTGGATTACTGCAATGTGTTTTGTTTTGTTGCCTGCAGCTAATGCAACAGCATGATTAACATTAGTGGTAGGCAGAGGGAACTCCACCTACTTGCTGCTTTTTTCTTTGCATTAGCTGTCTGTGTGAAAGTTGGATTTAAGGTTTTGGTATAACACTGAAAGCCCTTAATTGACTGTTTTACTAACCTCACTGTTCTTCTGACACCCTACAGACTATGGATGGCTCTTTTAAGGGTTGCTAGTACACAAAGAATAAAGAACAAAAATAATCATATAACTGCAGCCATTTGTGCTACTATCAGATCTCATAAGCTAGGCAGGTTCAGGCTTCACGAGTACTTGGATGGTATATGGTCTGGGAACTCTCACTTGCTGAAGAATGTGGTTCCTCTTATTAAATCTATATCTAATCACTATAATTTCAATTCTATATAAGCCATGGTTACCATACATATGAAGAGAATAGGTAAATTTTCAGACCTATCGAGGTTTAGCTATATAATCAAAACCCCATACAGTCCTTTGAAAATGTACACCTAGGAGCCCAGACATTTTATTTGAAAGGATGGCATGTAAGGAACAAACATTTTCTTATTTCCCTTTTGTTTTGTTTTTTCACTTTGACAGGTGTTGGAAGATCTTGGGATGCCAATGGATGATAGCCAGTTTAATTTACTGACTGAGAAATTAGCATTCCCAAATGGAGGGCTGAGTTATCTTGATTTTGTAGCAGTATTTGAAGGTAGATGAACATTAATGACAATCTTACATAAAACAAACCTTTTATTGACTTTTCTCTCTCAATGTTGTATAGGGTCATTAGGAGGGTAATTGAGAAGATATAGGCTGTGTTGTTGTCAGGATGCTACATATCCCTGTCACTCCTGATCCAGCCAAGCTGTTGATCATCTAACCCAGTATGTGAGTGAGACTGGAACATGAATGAGGGTGAGCTGGTTAAAGTTCAGTACAGATAGGACTGAGATGATAATTGTCGGGTGTGGACAGCAACCCCAGATGAGGCTGATCTCTCCCCCTTTGATTGAGGGTGGGTCCCAGTATCCATTAGTTGAGCTCTGAATCCTAAGAGCTGTAGTATTGGCAACCCAGTTGCTGCTGGATGATTTTACAGAAGCATGATCCAAGAAGTCTTTTTTACCACTTGAGCCTGGCCAAAAGATTGCAACCAATTCTTTCAGATATGAAATTTTGTACCATGATCCATTCCTTTGTCACTTCAAGACTGGATTACTGCAATCTGCTCTACGTGGAGGTACACTTCAGGTCAACCTGAAAACGTAAACTGGTGCAAAATATAGTGGCTTGCATATTAAGTGGTGCTTCTCAGTGACAGCACATATCCCTGGTGCTCCATGATCTTGCACTGCTATCTTTTGGTTTGTGGATTGAATTGAAGGTATTGCTTTTAATTTATAAAGACATAAATGGCTTGGGACTTTGCTACTTGAGAGACTTCCTCTCCTCTCCTGCCATAGTGCCACTGTTGTGATCAGCAGAGGTGCTTCAGCTGGATCCCCCTTCATTTAAACGAAAGGAGATTGGAAGTAGAGGGTGCTCCATGAAAAACACTCCACTCTTGAACAGGCTTCCCCCTGATCTGTGATAGCCGAAATCTGTTCACCTTCAGTGCATGCTGCAAGGCACATGTATACGCAGAAGCTGCTGCAGAAGTGGACTGTTGAGGGAAATCAGAATTGTAGTAGAAGCAGAATGCGGAGTCTGCAGGAGTTTAATTTCATTTGTTTTATTGTAGGGGTGCCCTGAACCTTGGAGAGGCAACTCTTCTTATTTTTCATGCGCATCTCAATAAATCAGTAAAGTGTAGGCGAGGATTATATCAGTCATTGGTTTCAGTATTACCTGTTGGGGGTTATAATGTACCTCACCTATAATAAATGTTCTCAGCTCAGGAACAAACTTTAACAAACTTTCATCTAAATTGACACAGGCAGTGGAGCTGGGTGATGCTATATGTGGACTGGTTTTGCATAGTTTTTGTTCTGTCCAAATTTAAAGTTTATTATTTAATGTAAAAAGTGTGTTTATCAGTAATATTATTAATAATCATTCATTATTAGGGCCCTACCAAATTAACAGTCCATTTTGGTCAATTTCACAGTCAGAGGATTTAAAAAATCTTAAATTTTATGATTTCAGCTGTCTAAATCTGAAATTTCACTCTTGTAACTCTAAGGGTCCTGACTTAAAAGGGGGTTGGGGGAGTTGCAGGGTTATTGTAGGGGGGTCGCACTATTGCCACCCTTCTGCGCTGCTGCCTTCAGACCTCGGTCCTCCACCAACAGCCACCGCTCTCCGGCCACCCAGCTCTGAAGGCAGCGCAGAAGTAAGGATGCCAATACTGCGACCCCCCTACAATAACCTTATGATGTGTCCTGCTAGGATCACTAGCTTCCCATTTTTTAACTTGATTTTTGTTGCTATTCTTTGCAATTGGCTTTTCTTAGGGAGATAGGCAAGGTGAATATCTACTTACTGTCACCCTGACTCTTGGTGAGTAGTACCAACCTCACTCCATCTGCAGTCAGATTGATTTCAGGGCAACGTGAGCAAGGGTAGCAGAATCTGGTCCTTAAGAGGCAAGAAACAATCATAGTTCATTTTCCCAGGCAACAGTTAGATCCAGGAGCCATAGGTGAAATGTGAGTGTCATAGGCAATAACTCATTCCAACTTTCCTTTATATATTTTTCTGTTACTTTTCTACTTTAGTTCCAGATTTTCTGGGTGAAATCCTAACCCCACTGAAGTCAATGGGAGTTTTGCCATTGACTGCTGTGGGGTCTGTTTCACCTTCTGTATTATGACTCTTTTGATCTTTTTTCTCAAAGTTGTACAGTTCTGATTTCTGCACTGCTAGCAGTTGCCATTATTTCACCTGGCTTTAGATATAGGTGAAGGGGAAGAATTGACTTGTAGCTGGCCGATGCAGTATTAAGGCATTCCTTGTATCTGCCCTAACATTCATAATTTTGACCTTGACCAACCATCTGTCCATCAAAACATCTTATACTGTCTCAAAGAGCCTAGTAAAATATGCCTGAAAGCAAGGTAACATCAATACAATCAAAGTAAAACTGGACATATTCTCGAGAGCAGTGTTGCAGTGATTTAATCAGGAGTTTTGTGGTATTTGGGCTTTTTCTTAAAGCCCCAGTTCCTAGGAGTTGTGAGTCTCTACTTTCATTTTTTTTTAAAGTTACAAATCATCATAGTTGCAGAGGAAAATTACCCAGATTTGACATAGAGATTTAAAAAAACGGAAGGCAGAGAAAAAATGAAATTATTATTTTATTAAAATATGATTTTAAGACAATCTCATGAATTTGGGGGGGAAAGATTATTGGGTTTTGAGCACTTGCAGTTAGAAATACTGTTGATATCTGGCATTATTCTACTTCCTTTATGTAAGTAAAACTCCCATTGACTTTAGTGAGATGATCACTTCAATAGGAATGTTGCCTGAATGAACAGTGCAGAATCAGATCCCAAAAAACTGGATGTGTATAAAGCAGGGGGAAGTAGGGGATAAAAATGAGAATCATCTAAATGTAGGGCTGGAAGGGACCTTGAGAGGTCCAAGTCGAAGAACCAGAAAGGCCCACAGTGGATGGCTTTTGATGGTTTCTTTGTTTGGGTGAGGGAAGGATAGTGTTTTTGATATTTCCGAGTTATTTTTGTCCTCATGTCTGTGTCTCAGTGGGTTAAAGTACAAATATATTTTAAAAAGAAAAGAAGTACTCTGTTGGGAGGTTCTGTTTATTTAACTGATTAATAAGAAAAATTCTGAGGGGAAGAAATGTCAGGAGGTACATTTTTCTGCATAGGTTTATCTCATTTTTAAAGTTCAAGTAAAACAAAAATACTTTGAAATTGTAAAACATGAGGAATTTGTTGAAGATATGGATGATGATGAACCTACAGATCTGCTACAGTATTTAATCTACTGGGTGAACTACCTTTGTATCATTGGGTCTTCTGGTTTCATGACTCTGAAAGGCCAAAACCTATAGGTTGTGATCCTGCAACACTCCACTTGTGTGCAATCCTTTTTACTTTAGTGGGTTTATTCATATGAGTAAGGGTTACAGGATCAGTCCCTTACACACACACATATATGCCTATCAACATGAGGAAAAACAATATTGCAAAATTAAATTATATAAATATATGTTCAGTTATACATAGTGTATTTATGATGACAGTGTGTATCTATATCTAGAGAGAGAGAATACATGACAGCATGGTATGGGAAGGTTTAATTAACAAGAGTTTGTTCTCCAAAACAAGTGCCAATAAAACCTTTCCACTTCACTGCACTGCCATCTATTCTGTATATGCCACTAATGTTCCAGGAAAACTATTTTTAAAATGCTTTAGAGAGTTAAAACATGTTATTTAAACTATTTTTCATTTCTCTCTCTCTCATAAACCAGATACCTTAGTTACCATGAGTCCAGCTGCACAGGGAACAGAAGGAGCTGTAATAACCTGTAACAGTGACTCAAAATAGATTTTCTATTGCCTAAAAATATCATGGCCCTTCCAGGACTAGAAGCAAATGTAGTGTCCCCCCCAGGAAGCTAGCAATCTCCTGTTCGTGATCTTGCAGGTCTGTGAGATTATAAACAGAGAAAAACTGGCACTTGTGCAGGATTGAATCTCACCTGCCCTGGTCCTCAGGTGGGGTAATTTTGGGGGTGAAATTCCACAGTTGGGCTGAGAAGGAAGAAATATTTTGCTGGCAGATTTATTTAGTTGCTGATGGCTGTTTGAAGCTACTGAAGGTTTGGGTATGTTAGAATGACTTCAAAGGAGTTGGGTTAGTGTGCAGTGAGTGGGCAGTGGTGGTGCAGTTGAAGATGGGTCACTAATACATTTCGCAAAAAGAACAGGAGGACTTGTGGCACCTTAGAGACTAACCAATCTATTTGAGCATAAGCTTTCGTGAGCTACAGCTCACTTCATCGGATGCATACTGTGGACATTCAGTGGAGATGTTCAGTCCACTGAATGCATCCGATGAAGTGAGCTGTAGCTCACGAAAGCTCATGCTCAAATAAATTGGTTAGTCTCTAAGGTGCCACAAGTCCTCCTTTTCTTTTTGCGAATACAGACTAACACGGCTGTTACTCTGAAACCTGTAACGCATTTCTGTGGCACTGTCTGCAGCAATGCAGAATCTGTGTTCCTTCTCACGCAGGGTATGTCAGAGTATGTGTGGACTGGACCTGGAAGGTGTAATTTCCAGCTCAGGTAAACATACCCATGCTAGTTCCAATCGAGCTAGCATGCTGCTAAAAACAGAAGTGTAGCCGTTGGAGCAGGAGCAACTAGACAGGCTAGCCGCCCTGAATGCAACCCCTAAGTAGGTACTTGAGGCAGGTAGCCCTTCCCGACACTTGCACTGCCACAGCTCTACTGCTGTTTTTAGCGCGCTAGCTCAATGCCAGGTCGTATGACTCTGTCAACCCGAGATGGAACCTACACCTTCCAGTGCCCGTCTAGACCAGTCACAGCTCTTCTGGACTCCATCCTCTCCTTCTCCAGTCTCATACCATCCTCATTCGGCGCAACACTCAGGAACCAGAGAAGGCTAAAGTAAAAGCAAAAAACAACGATAACAAAAAGTTCCACCTCAACTGTGCCTTCTGCACTAGAGCTTACCCACAGGGGCCTGGAGTTTTTTGCTTTTGTTTTTGTTTTTGCTTTCACATGGTGCAAAGCAGGAGCTGAGGCAATTTCTGTAAATCAGAGGGACATTTACTAATACTGTATTCAACTATCGAAGTATGTAATGTGTGAAGCCTAAAGAATGTGATAGGATTTTTTAAAACAATGTATATGATAAATAAATAAGACAACTCCATTGGTCCAGTATGTTTAATACCATAGAAAAAGATAGTCAAGTCACAGATTGCTTTACTCTGATTTAATTATTTCAGATCCCAGATTGAATGGACCAGGAGCTACATTATATTGCAGTCCAAACCACCGAGTAAATAGCACTAAATTTCACTACATGACTGCTGAAGAATGTCTAAGTCAATTTAATGATAAGCTGATGGAAGGATATGGGGTAAATAAATGCAACTGTTGATTGCTTTTGACAATATAGCTAGTTATGTTAAAATATTTGTTAAAAGGTATTTTTAAGTGGAGTTGTCAGAAAAGAGACTCTATAAAAAAGATATTGGGGTTCAATGTTTATTCTCTTTCAGTGACTTCCAGAGCAAACATACTCAGTTTACAATTCAAAAGCTGATTTTCTAATTGCTATCCCTGCAAACTCTTCCTGGGATCTGAAACCCAAAATATTTTTTCCAATTCTTTTATTGTCACTAGTAGTAAAGACTGTGCAACCAGAATCAGAACTGACATGTTGATGGTCCACAAAGAACAAAGTCCAGATGAATCTTCCATATCTATATTGATTTAGCACTGCTACAAATAAAAAACTTTTTTGTTGGGAAAATAAAAGCAGTTTTTTACATACCCTTTTTTTCAGCTATAGCCACAGTTTAAGAAAATATTTATTTACATTTCAACAAAAGTAAACAGCTCTTCTGCACTTCTTAAACACTTGAGTAGCCCCATTAGTGTGATTGCTAACAGAAGAAAAGATTTGCAAGATCAGATCCATGATGCCTAAAGATTTCAATGAGCAATGCAGTGCCCTTAAGCAAGAAAGCAGATTTTTCCAGAGATGGCACCAGTAAAAATCTAGAGGTCCTGGAAGAAAGCACTGGTCTCAAAAGGAATTGAAATAATACAGCTTATTATTAAAATGACATTAAAATACAAAGGTGAATTGTTGAAAAGTGCCTCTGTGGGATAGGAGCCCACCATGATTGGCTGGTGCACTGACCAATGGCAACACAGCATTGTATCTTCTTGATAGGACTTGATGCAATCAAGAGCTGGCTGCTGCCATGATAGGAATGTAGGGCTATTCTCATGGCCAGCCACTGAATATAGACAAGATATTGTGACAACAGCACAGAACTACTGGGCCAAATCAGATTTTCTGTTGATGTGTATATAGGCAAAAAACAATGGAGCTGTGCTAATTTATACCAGCCTAGCGTCTGTCCCACCGTCATGGTATTATTGCGGTAAGAATTACTTACTTTTCTACAAAAAGAAAAGGAGTACTTGTGGCACCTTAGAGACTAACCAATTTATTTGAGCATGAGCTTTCGTGAGCTACAGCTCACTTCATCGGATGCATACCGTGGAAACTGCAGTAGACATTATTATATACACACAGAGACCATGAAACAATACCCCCCTCCCACCCCACTGTCCTGCTGGTAATAGCTTATCTAAAGTGATCATCAAGTTGGGCCATTTCCAGCACAAATCCAGGTTTTCTCACCCTCCGCCCCCCCCCCACACACACAAACTCACTCTCCTGCTGGTAATAGCCCATCCAAAGTGACCACTCTCTTCACAATGTGTATGATAATCAAGGTGGGTCATTTCCAGCACAAATCCAGGTTCTCTCACTCCCTCACCCCCCTCCAAAAAACCACACACACAAACTCACTCTCCTGCTGGTAATAGCTTATCAAAAGTGACCACTCTCCCTACAATGTGCATGATAATCAAGGTGGGCCATTTCCAGCACAAATCCAGGTTTTCTCACCCCCCCACCCCCATACACACACAAACTCACTCTCCTGCTGGTAATAGCTTATCTAAAGTGATCATTAAGTTGGGCCATTTCCAGCACAATGCTCAAATAAATTGGTTAGTCTCTAAGGTGCCACAAGTACTCCTTTTCTTTTTGCAAAGACAGACTAACACGGCTGTTACTCTGAAACCTGTCATTACTTTTCTACATTTTGTTAAATGATTATCATTAACATTTATCAGTTGAAATCCTAACATAGACATGTATAGAATAAGATAAATTATCATTTTTTTAGCATTTGCAAAACAAAAGAATATTTAATCATTATCCTTTGGCTGAATTCAGTTCTATCTATGTTCCTGGCACGACTAATACACCAATAAATACACCAATATTCAGAGATCCTATGTTTAGACCAACTAAAGTGCTCTGTGGCAAAGCTGGCCATTCTATAATAAATTATTTCTGAAAACGTATCACTTCTAAATTCACTCCGATTTTTTTTTCCGCATTTTAATGGAGGGAAACCGTTTTGGAGGGACATTCATTTTTGAAAGGTCTCTTCTCATAATGGTTTCATCTAAGTATGTAACAAAAAACATAGAAATAAGGTGTTTTATCATTATAGAGTTGATGGGAGCCAGGATCCAATTGGCCATATGTGTAGAAGGCTTGCAGATTGGCTGCCAAGTGGTTTTGCATCAGTTCAGTACTTGTTTGTAATGAGGGGGGATAGGACTTCAGTTCATTTAGGGACAATGATAGAAGATTTTACATTAGCTTTATATGTGAAGTAGGTTGACAATGTAGAGTCTAGTAAGGAGGTGTTATAGGTGTTGTATACCATCAAACTGCCTTGCCATATTTTGCCTGTTGTCAAAATAAATCCATAATGAATTCAGTGTTTGTATTTTGAAATGTGTAACTAATGTGTTTTATCTGAAAGTTCAAGCATTGACATTCAGTTAAATATTCTTTGTTAGGACACCTACTCTGCCTTCCATAAAACAGATAGTAACCGTGATGGTATCATCAACATGCTTGATTTTCGACGCCTCCTGGAGAGCTTTGTGTTCATCCTTAGAGATGAGGAGTACTCACGCCTGCTTGGTATATTGGGCATGAACCTGAACTCTACATTAAATTACCAGGAATTCCTTCAACTTTTCCAGACCCAAGAAACAAAAGAGGCACATCCTTGGCTGAATCCATCTCACAAGTAAGAAGGACAGCAATGTTATAGTATCTATACTGATCGTATACATTTATAGAAGTTAAAATCATAGAAATGTAGGGCTGGGAGGGACCTTAAGAGGTCATCTAGTTCTCCCTATGTGCTGAGGCAGGGCCAAATATACCTAGACCATCCCTGACAGGCATTTAAGTAACCTTTTCTTTAAAACAGTTTGTTTAGTGTTTGCCTAACCTGTTCTTAAAAATAATGGGGATTTCACAATCTCCCTTGGGAACCTATTCCGGTTCTTAAATATCCATATAGTTAGAAAGTTTTTCCTAATATCTAACTTAAATGTCCTTTGCTGCAGATTAAGTTAATTATTTCTTGTCCGACCTTCAGTAAGAATGGAGAACAACTGGTCACTGTCCTCTTTATAACAGCTCTTAACATATTTCCAGACTGTTATCTGGTTCCCCCCATGCAAGTTTTCTTTTCTCAAAACGAAATATACCCATTTTTTAACCTGTCCTCATAGGTCAGGTTTTCTAAACCTTTATCATTTTGGTTGCTGTCCTTTGGATTTTCTCCAATTTGTCTATATGTTTTTGAAAGTGTGGCACCCAAAACTGGACCCTCATTGGAGAGGAGGTGAAAATACGTTGAAACTTTCCAGTTAACTCTTTATGTCATTTAATTGGTCAGTAGTTTCGCATAATGGAAATCCAATTACCAGTGGTATGAAGTAGAATGTTATATAAGTCTGTCTCTCTAAAGCAGAGGTGGGCAAACTATGGCCCGTGGACCACATCCAGCCCATCCTGCCCGGCCCCTGAGTTCCCAGCTGGGGAGGCTCGCCCCCAGCCCCTCCCCTGCTGTCCCCCCTTCCCCATAGGTACGCCGCCACACGGGCTTGCGCCCACCCACCTCCCAGGCTTTCCAATAAGTCGGTCCTGCCGCTCTGAGCGGCATGGTAAGGGGGCGGGAGGGGGAGTTCCAGGGGGCAGTCAGGGGACGGGGAGCGGTTAGATGGGGCAGAGGTTCTGGGGGGGGGAGGCGGTCAGGGGACATGGAGCAGTGGGGGTGGGATGGGGGTGGGGTCCTGGTGGGGCAGTTAGAGGCAGGGGGTCCTGGGAGGGAGCAGTCAGGGCACAAGGAGTGGGAGGGGCATTGGATGGGTCAGGGGTTCTGAGGGGGGAAGTCAGGGGGCGGATAGGGGGTGGGGTCCAGGCTGTTTGAGGAGGCACAGCCTTCCCTACCTAGCCCTCCATACAGTTTCTCAACCTCGATGTGGCCCTTAGGCCAAAAAGTTTGCCCACCCCTGCTCTAAAGTTACCAACTTTGTAGATTCAGTGGGGTCTGATCTAAATTACTGAAGTAAATCAGGAATACCTTTATTGGAGTCACTCCAGGTCTTGTGATATGTGACTAAATTGTTTTTGTTTCTAAGATAGTTAACATTTCCTTCTAGCTGGATAAATGATCCGTGTTTGCTATTAAGTCTGGAGGCAAGTTGAACAACACTGATCTGAAAATAAACAGGGAATTACAAAATTTAAGATGTCTTCCCTAACTTGCAGCTGGGGAAATAAGGCAGTATTTAAAGAATTAAGTTTACACAGATGTGAAATAATAGTCTTTAAGGGTTTCTTAGAAACTAAAACAAAAAATAAAAAAAACCTCCACAAACTTGTGAGAGATTAAAGATTCTATTAAATGTAGAACTCTGTTAGTTATTATTTTATTTTTCTTTCTGAGACCAAAACAGACAATACCGGATGCAGAACTAGCTTGTGATCAGGCTCATTACTATCTTGTTATCAAAGCACAGACCAGATGGCATGACCTAGCAAGGGTAAGAAAAACATTTTCATTAAATAAATAAGCTGCACTAATGGATTTTAGAACATTATGCAATCTCGAACTTCAGATTATATAAATATTCAAAAAAGGCATTTGTAAAATAGCTCATTAATGATAAAAACTTATATGTATAAAACTAAAGTGCTGGAGCATTTGATTTTTAAAATTTTAATTATTTAGTAGTTGCTATTAGAATTGTTTCTAAAATTTTCTTTATATTACTACTGTTATTTCTTATTCTTTATTATTAAATATGTGTATTGTAATAGTATCGAGAGGCCCCAATGATGGATCACGGGATCCATTGTGCTAGGCACTGTACATGCACACAGAAAATTGCACTCACAATACAGTCCTCATTAAGGCAATTATTCTGTGCCAAAATACCAATAACTATATAAAGAGAAACTTATAAACAATCTTAATAAAAACTAAATAATTAAAATTTCATGTATCTGAACCAATTATTGTATACTCTGAGGATAGTGAAGGGCAGATAGTCGTGGATTGAGAAAAAGATGAATGGGGAGAATAAACTTTGTTATTTCATTACATTGTTATAAAATTTCAGTAAATGAGTCCATACTGCTGCTACTTAAAATTTGCAAGATGAGCATTCACAGCTGCAACTAAAGAATGCTTTATATTAGTTTATAGCACAACAAGCTGGAGCCAGCATCTGCAGAATTGGACACCTCAGTGTGGATTTTCAGTCTGTACTTTCCACCTCTATGCATCAAGGTTCGTGCATACCCACACCTATATGCACACTTTTAATGCTCAAACCCCAGTGTACACAGGTAATAGAAGTTTCATATGCAAAACACATCGCCAGCATACATATGTGTTACTTCACCAAGAGATCCATGCACACAGTGAAGGCTGATAATCAGGCCCAAAAACTCATTAAAAATGGAATTCATCTTCGTATGTTTTTTCATTCTTCCCTAATTCCTATTATTGCGTATGAAGAGATCAAGTATTTTGTAAAGCCTGTTGGCTCTTATTATTAAAAGTTTCTTACATTCTAGACTTTCCGTGAGTTTGATAGTGAAGGCAATGGAATTGTGAAGCCAGAGGATTTGAGAGCTGTCTTGTTCAGATTTGCCATTCCAATCACCCCAAAAGAATTTGAAAAGCTTTGGGCAAGGTAAGGTGGCTCTAAATATTAGTTCTTCAGCAACAACATATGTATTTAACCTGACACAGGAATCTTATCGAGGACAGTGAATTACAATTGTTTACTTTCTAAGGGAGACTTATTTTATTATGTTGATATCAGCTCATCATGATGCCGTGTTCCAAAATACAGCCTTTTATCACACTAAGATCACTAACAAAATAAGGTAAATGCCTAATCAGTTCTCAATGAAGTCAGTGAGTCTAACTTCTATTGGGTTTAATGGTATTGCCTGCCCCCTTTAATTTGAGCTACCCTTTCATCTCTGATAATGACTTGGATTGCAAGTGAAGTAATTTGGTTTTCTGCTAGGACCTTATTTATATACACAGTTGCCCACCAGTTCTTCCTAGTTGGCAGTCAGTTGCAGGGAGGCTTAGGACTGGAACAGCAGGAGTGTTTCAGGTCAGACTGGAGGTGCATTGGCAGAGCTCTTTGAAGGAAGCTTGTCTGTACTATAGGTGTGTCTGAAGTCAATGCTATCAGTTGCTTCTTTTCATGAGATTAAATTCACTCACAAAATTTTCAGCTGAAATAAAAATGATTCACTGGAAAGAAATATGATATGTAGCAAACACATAACAAGGAAAAGTAAGATTGTTTCATGCTGTGTAAAAATTGTGAGTAATACCATGATACATTTTTATAGACAAGTAATTTGTTGTGAAGGAGGGAAAAACACTAGCCCTATTTCAGCTGAGAGTAGTAGTGCTGTAAATTGTGTCTGAAACAGAAGAATGTCAGATGCATGTGACATTGTATAAAATCCACCTTCATTATAAGTCTTTAAAAACTCAGACTCTCTATGGTATAAGGCTCAGGTGTATGGTGTCTTGGTTTCAAACTGCATTAACTATATGGTTTATTTCCTAGCACTGATTCATCTCTGAACTATTTTCTACTTCATTACATTTTACTTTCTATTCTTATTCCTTATGGATGTCATGCCACACTACAATATGTCCCTTCCATTCAGTCATCTGCTGCATAACTTCATTCCCAGCCACCACGCATTTATAGGATATAAAATCTTTTATTTACCTTCTGTGACTGTATGTAGAATAAAGGAATTGGAATAACAACTAAGCCTAAATTAGGCTTTTCCCTGCATGGGTGCACTCGAGAAAGAAGGGGTTGCACGGAGCACACCTACAGCAAGGTCTCTATCTAAAAAGGCATAAACAGTTTTAATACAGTGAGGCCCAGATTTTTTAAGAGTGGCTTAACATTTAGGGCCTGATTTTTAGAAGTGTCACAACTCCTATTGAAATCAGTGGTCAGCACCTCTTGAAAGTCAGCCTTTCTGTATCTCAAGTCAGGCACCTAAAAATAAGGCACTATGAGGTAGATAATTTTCAGTCAACTTTCTCCTTAGGGTAGAATTTTCAAAAGTGCCTAAGGGTATGTCTACACTGGAAAAAAAGCCCTGCAGCAGTCAGTCTCTGAGCCAGGGTCAACCGACTCATGCTCATGGGGCTCGCGCTACAGGGCTAAAAATAGCAGTGTAAACATTCTCACCTCTTGGGCTGGAGCCTGGGTTCTGAGACACACCCCACTTTCTGGATTTCACAGCTCAGCGGGATTGTCTGCACTGCCATTTTCAGTCCTGTAGTGTAAGCCCGAGGCAGTTGACCCAGGCTCTGAGACTCACTGTTGTAGGAGATTTTTTGCAGTGTGTAGATGTACCCCAAGTCCCATTGAAAGTCACTCTTACACGCTTTTGGCATGTCATCTATAAGGGCTGAAAATCAATGAGACTTTGGCGGCTAAGTGACTTAGGCATTTTGAAAAATTTATGATAATGCCTTGCAGTGATGAATATATGAATATTTCATTTTAAAAGAATATTTCTTTTAAAAGGTATGATACAGTTGCAAAAGGCTACCTTACTCATCAAGAATTTCTACAGAAATTGGGGTTAGAGTTTGCACCCGCTCACACTGGACTAAGCAGACATATTGTGGAAGACAATTATGCAAGTTTGATGGAGCATTACAGTAATCAGCAAAAGAAGCATTTGGAGATGGAAGAGCAGCAGAAACAGCAAACTAAAGCCCTACATGTCAGTGAGATTAAAAAGCAGATCAAGTAAGTTATTTATCAGTGAAGTGAATAACTTTCATGCTGTGTTTATCGTTACTGTGGTAAAAAGTAATGCTAAGCATACATATATGTATTTACAAACCTTCTCTGAAGATAAATCCTACTAGATACTGGGCCAAATTTATACCCAGTGTAACTCAGTTGATTTCAGTGGGGATAAGTTTGACTCATTGAGTTGTTTGAGGCAATTCTAAAATATTCTCCTTGGAAGTATGTCATTCATTTTGTAGAGTTTATGGCCCCAATCCTGGGCTGTGTCAGAACTACTATTGACATAAACTGGGGGAGAAGAGCAAAGGTAGCTTTAAGCCAAGCCTCCTTTGCAGTTCTCTGATCATAGAGGTGACTGGGAGTAGGCCTGTCCCAGTAAAAATTAGAGCAGCCTCAGGGCAGATTTAATGTACACCCAGCTGTTTCTGACCCAAAGGGGCATTTCTGGTACCTGGGATCAGTGGGGCATGAGGACACCTTAGTCACAAACCCTTTCTGATTACCATGCCCAGTGCATGGAGGTGGGTGGAAAGCATAAGAGCTGCTATGCTACTGGGAATCCTCCACCCCTGGCAATTTTAAAATCAAGATTAGATGTTTTCCTAGAAGATCTGCTCTAGCAATTATTCTAGGGATGTTCTATGGCCTGTGTTACACAGGAGGATGATCACACTCGTCCTTTCTGGCCTTGGAATCTATACATTTGTTAAAGTAAAATTATGGCAGGGTTGTGTCTCTGGAGCAGCCACACAAAACTGCCCTAGCAGAGTCCAAAATCTGGTCCTGTATAAGAGAAGCAAACAACAAACATCTTGTCTCTAAACTGGTGGAGTCCCCACGTAATTTCAAACAAACTCTACGTCCTCAAAGATAAGACATCTGTCCTGGGAGATCTGGCTGACAAACAAAAAGGTAAAGTAAATGAATGCCATCTTCCCTGGTTTGACTGCTCAGAGGATTCCCTTACTGCCAACTAAGTCTTTTCCTCTGGGCTGCTGCTCCTAAGGCTCTGGACACACTGCAGCTTACATCGGTATAAGTTATGTTGCTCAGGGGTGTAAATAAGCCACCCTCCGAACGACGTAAGTTACATTGACCTCAGCGCCGGTCTGGACAGTGCTACGTTGGTGGGAGAGTTACCACTGCTTGCAGGGGCTGAGGTAATTAAGTGATGGGAAAGTTCTCTCCTGTCGGCTTAGAGCATCTGCACTAGTTGTGCTACAGCGGTGCGGCTGCATCAGTGCACTGTGCCGCTGCAAGCTCTTTAGCGTAGCCATAGCCTAAGCTTCCTTTAGTGCCACCAAAGTCTTCTCCGGACTCCTTCTCTCAGGACAAGACCATCTCAGGTTTTAGCTCTCTCTACTAGAGGAGGCTATTCCCATCTCCCTTGGACTCAGAGGAGAATCTAATGATCCCCATTTGCCCCAGTGAGTCTGAAGTAATTAACCTGCAGCTCCCTGTAGAGTTCCAGTACCGTTAACAGAGTGAGGCAACAGGAGAATCCTGTTGCCCTCTTACAGTTCCAGAAGGTTATTGATTGCCTTGGCTACTTGGATCACAGCAGCCCCCATGGTAGATTTGCCCACTCCGAATTGATTCCCGACTGACCGGTAGCAGTCAGGCGTTGCAAGCTTGCACAGGGCTATCGCCACTCACTTCTCAACTGTCAGGGCAGATCTCATCTTCGTATTCCTGCCCTTCAGGGTGGGACTCACAAAGTTTCATGAAAGTGGCCTTACGCATGTGAAAGTTTTGCAGCCACTGGGAATCATCCCATACTACAACAGTATGCGGTCCCACCAATCTGTGCTTGTTTGCTGTGCCCAGAATCGGTGTTCCACTGTATCAACCTGCCCCAATGCCGCCATGATATCCCAATTACCACATCCCGTACTTTCAGGAACATCTGTGTCCGTGTCCATGTCCTCCCCACAATCTTCCTTGTGCTGATGGCTCCTAGCTAAGTTCTGCACATACTGCAGGATAATGCACGACATATTTACAGTGTTCATGAAAGCAGTGTGCAGCTGACCGGGCTCCATGCTTGCCATGCTATGGCGTCTGCACGGGTAACCCAGGAAAAAAGGCGTGAAACGATTGTTTGCCGTTGCTTTCAAGGAGGGAGTGAGGGGAGACTGACAACATGTACCCAAACCCAGCTGTGACAATGTTTTTGCCTCATCAGGCATTGGGAGCTTAACCCAGAATTCCAAAGGGCAGCGGGGACTGTGAGATAGCTACCCAGAGTGCACCACCCTGTGAGTTGATGCTAGCCACGGTATTGAGGACACACTCTGCCGACCTAATGCGCTTAGTGAGGACACACATGATCAACTGTATAAAATTGCTTACTAAAGATCGACTTCTATAAAATCAACCTAATTTCGTAGTGTAGACATGCCCTTAGAGTCCACTCCCCTTGTCCTTTGACTCTTTAATTATTCATACACAGTGGAACAGCTTCAACAGGAGAGACTGAGGGCTATATCCTATAGCCTTGTGGTTAGTGCTTAAATCCTTTCTCTTTTTAGGCAGAGGGTGGATTGGACCTGGGTCTCCCACATCCTGCATGAATGCTCTAACCACCGAGATCAAAGTTGTAAGGTGGGGACCACTTCATCATCAAGCCAGATTTTCTGATCTGGCAGGTAGCCTCTGAGCACACCTATTTGTTTGGGCCCACAGGTGCTCCTCTGGTTATCTCATCTATTTCTCCCCAGTTCATGGATTGCTGTGGAGCTTAGGCAGGAGATAGGCATCCAGATGCCTAGCGTGAGGCAACAGTATGCACGTCTAGAGGCAGAAACATAGGCTCCTGGGGAACCGTTACTGCAAACTTTTAGGTGCTGAGCGAGTTTAGCTGTCCATTGGGTCAGGCAGCAGCCAAACGCCAGTTTTGGGGGTTGCAGTGGTGCCTAAATCTGGAGTTTTGGCAGCTAAATATCTTCGTGGATCTGGGTCCAGATGCTTCAGAGTAACATGTTAGTGGCCCCTCCCTCATTAGATTTTATCCCAGTCTCTAATAGTTAGAGATTGGCTTAAGACCTGAAGCATGAGGTGTAATATCCCTTCTACAATTTTTGTTATTAATTATTATAACTCTGGATATTCTTGATACCCATATAAATGTCCAATCGCTTTTTGAATCTTGTTATGTTCTTTGCCTCACTGACTCCCTATGTGCAATGAGTTCCACAGTTCAATCACAAGTAGTGTGAAAAAGTATTTCCTTTTGTCAGCCTTGAATTTCACACCTGTTAATTTCATTGACTATGACCTTATTCGCTGTCTCTTTCCTTGCCCACTTCCTGACTGCCAGGAGTTATCCTCCAGTAGCAATTCCAGTCTGTTTGCTCTGCACAGCCACTGGTCCTTCACATTCAGTTTGCTCTGTCTGAAAGCAAGCAGTGCAAGAGGAGTTGAACCCAGACCCTTGGACTCCTCAAGTTTTACATAGGAAGGCTGTAAGTGTCTTTTGAGCCAGAGGTTGGAGTCATGGCTTTAAGAATTAAGTCCATTGTGTGCATAGACACAATGGAAGGCAGTGATCCAGCAGAACCACCAATGTTTCCCTTCATGAGAGGGTCATGAGCAGCAGAGCTGGGTACCATGCCCATTCCACCATGTTGGTCAGCATAAAGACGTTTGAAGATGGAGGGAGGCCAGATCCAATGGCTACAGGATTTAGTGGTTCCAGTGGCTACAAAATCCAACACAGATGGTATACAATGGTCCTGGCCCTTACTTCACTCCCTGGGAGTTGGGAAATGCATTCCTTCCATCTGTCCAAGTCTGGCTCAGGCTAGTTTACACAGCCCATTTACTCTGGCTTTCCTCAAGTGTTGTGAATTTCACCCTAAATTCTTTGTAGCAGTTTTATGCCCTGTGATTAGACACAGTAAAACTGTGACTCTGAGCATCTTAACATTCAAAATATAAGGCTGGATATATAATTTTTTTTGGTTTTGTTTTAACTCACAGGAACAAATACCCCAAATTAGAAACAGACATTGAGCAGCAGCTCTCCAGCTCTTCAAGAGAAATACAAAACATTTGCAAGACAAGATTATTTTTTGGCAGCATAGCTGAATCCATAGTTTAAATCCTCATTTACTCAGAGCACATATTTACTGCTGCAAGTGGAATAATTACTGCTTGGAAACCATTACTCAGTCCAAGAAATGATGAATGCCTCAATTTTCTAAAAATATGAATCTCAAAAGCTGTTTTGATTTTACGTCTTCCTTTACTTTCATTTTGAAGGTTTAAGTGGAAGATAATAGTGGTGATGAAGAGCTATCATTTAGCAGCATGGGTCGGAATGTAACATACCCCTGCGAAGGATTCTAAAATAATGGTGCTGCTGTGATAGATTAAGGGCCTCATGGTGCCTTTAAAGTACAGCCTTTCCTTGTGGGCAGTGTGGAGCCGCACTGTCTCATGGGGAGGAATTCCTCACTGAGCACCCTGGTGCTTTTGAGGGTGTGTAGGCCATATTAGCAGGTGGCAACAGCCTAAAGGATTCTCTGATGCACCTGTCTTGCTTTGAAGACCAGTATGGAGAAGTAGACCATGCCCCCACCTCCTTCATCCAGCCTGCAGTTGTGGCTGGCCCTTAAGAAGTGTCAAGCAAGAGGGGAACGGCTCCTTGTGCTCTCGTTCCATGCATCTGTGTAAGAGTCCATCACTTTCTGACCCTACATGCCTGATCCGTGTTTCATAATCTACATCTGGTCATAATTCTCATTTATTTTAAACCTTGCATTAATCTTTAGTGACTCCTCCAGCCAGTTGAGTTGCAGTGATAGGTTGTGGAGGCAGCAGTAAAATATGGACAGGTTGGTGTTAAACTAAGAGTAAAGGGAAAGCAAGGGGTGATGCCTGGGGCTCCAAAAGGTATTCAAAAGATCCCCAACTTCTCTGGGATAAAAATGACAAAATAAATGGGGGCTGGAGAAAAGAGTCTTGGGTCTGAATTAATTAATCTGTGAAGAAACAGATGATATTTTAAATACCTGATAGCAGCTCTAATGGATTCATCCAAAGCCCATTGAAATCACTGGGAGTTTTTCCATTGACTTCCGTCAGTTTTCGATCTGGCCCTCAAATAGTATAGTTCTTGCTCTGATATAATAATTTCAATTAAACAGCAAGACTTTCTGTTCTTGTTAAAGTTTTATCAGCCCAATATTGCAGAGGGTAATTTGTTGGAAGTCAATTGTCATAACAGCTATATTAAACATTGTATATCTTCTTTAGGGCCAAGTTTTCAAAGAGGGATCTAGATTTTGTATCTTTAATTTTGAATGGTCAAAAGCAGGTAGTTAAACCTTCTAACTAATTGATTTACAAATCCAAATGTCATTTGTACACATATATCTGGGTGGCTTATCTCTGCAATTGCTTGAGAAAATTTCAAAGTGGTTTTGGAAAATTAGACATCCTAATAATTTTTGTTTCACTCTTTGGACAAATGATACCAAGTTAACAAATGCAAGTAAACCGAGATTCTTGCTCTGCCTTTTATTTTTGTATATTTGTATTTATCTTTTTCTAATATTTAGCAGGAGAACTAAAACAAACATCTGCTCTCTTTCAGGGATAAATTTAGGGACTACTTCCAAGACTTCAACAAGGCCTTTTATAAACTGGATAAAAATAAAGATGGCTATATAACAGTAGATGACCTATGTAGGATGCTGCAAGAATTCAACTATTATCTTGATGATGAACAGTTCAACAATCTTCTAAACAGGTTTTTATGATTGTGTCATAGGTCTCTCTCTTGTCCCAAGCCAATAAAGGACTTAAATATGCGCTTCACTTTGAGAAAATAAGTAGTCTTATTAAAACCTATGCAATTACACACATGCTTAAAGGTGCCCATGTGCTGAAGCGCTATGCTTGATCAGGGTTGGTTCTGAGGATAAGTAAGATGGAAATTGCTTTTTAGATTAAATTAAAAACAGATTAATTTATTCTGTCTTCCTCATAACATTAGTGTTGTAACAACTTAAATGCTTTTGAAATCAAGCTGATTATTTGAGGAAATTAAGCAGATCTGAAAATAGGTCAGTTTTTTTAGTGTATGTTAAAATTTGTATTTAAATTATTAGTTTTATTTAATTAAACAAAAAAGAATGCGTGGGGGGGGAACCCCTGCAAAAGCAGAAATTGAATCATATCAGGCTAAAAAGTATTAATTTTCAAATGCTACTGCTATGCAAAGGCATACATTCTGTGTTGTGTCTTAATATCATCAAGTAATATCAAGAAATAGAATCTCTTTTATAAGGTCTATAGAACACAAAGGACCTAATCTAGTAGAAAATATCCATAGCTTTCTGCACTTCACAAGCCCCAGAAGTGACATCCCTATGTGGCACTGCTTTATGTTCTCATAACACTGTTAGACCAGACTCTTTAAAAAGAAATTACAAAATCTTTTCTCAGTTCACCTTTTGTTGAGTGATCAACTTTTTATGAATGGAAACCCTAATAAGAATCTTCTGCTTGTTTCTTCTTCAAAGACCTCTTGATGATAAACACCTCCATTCATTGTAATTTTGTGCAGATTGTTCCTTTCTAGATCCAAAATAGACTTTTCTAAATAATACAGAGTAGATTAGCATTTGCATTTGGTTTTACTACTAAAATTTTAATACCAACTTGGCAATTTATTTCTCTGCTGAAATGGTGTTGATTATTTCCTTTTCCACGGTGTCTCCAGTATTGGAGCCAGCTTGACATTGGTAATCTGTGGGAGTGCTGTGCAGCTGCAAGACACAAAATCAGGACTCTTGAATGTATTTTTCTTAGTAACGGATATTGGGTCTATGGTTAATTTCTGTTCCAGTCTCTTTTCATAAAGCTTCCTTTTTGTTTAACTGGCTCTCCTCATTAATTAGACATTCTAGTAAGTGGATATTCTGGTGATTGGTGGCATAGGCAGTGGTCCTCAGTGATTTACTGTGAAAAAAGATGACAAAAGTACATTACAGTAATTCACTTTCACATACGGAATATAAGATTTGCCATGCTGGGTCAGACCATAGGGCAATCCACTCTGGCACTGGCAAGTTCTTGATGCTTCAGAGCACATTTTAGCATCATATCCTTAGCCAAGTGTGCAATGCTGAATGCAGGACAGAAAAAGTCCTCCCTGGCCCCTGTGGTATGAGATTTGCTTACCTCTATCAAAGCATGCATTCAGTGTCTACAAATGTGATTACTGGTCATAAAATTATCTTGGACTATTAAAACTCCATGTACAGTCTCTGAGCCAGATCCTGATGTCAATTACCCCAGTGTAAATCTGGAATAATTCCAATGGAGCCAATGGATTGCACCAGGTTAAATTATCAGAGTCTCTCTGACTGACTTTTGAAGGTAATTCCATAAACTGACTGCACTGAATTTCCACTGGGGTAGCTGTGAGCAGAATCTGCCCTTTGATGCTATGGTTTACTGTGGTAATGAATTCCACAGGTTGACCACACAAGTCTGAAGTCTTTTCTCTGATTGTTTTAAATCTACTTGACATCATTTAATTAAATGTTCTTGTCTGATGGGGCAGTGGAATAAATAAATAAATAATAATTAATAATTAATTTCAGTCCTCCCCCCTCCGACTCTTCTACTTCCTGTACTAACAACCCTTATTTTTGCAGTTTCTCTCCGTATGTAAATCATGACTTAATTCTCATCTTATGTGGTGAAACATCCTTGAGTAAAAATGAATTTGGTTTTGTAACAAAGTCCTCTGCAAAAAAACCTCAAAATCGTATGTTAGAACTCCTTTTTCCCCAGGCTGATATTTGACGCAAAAATGTATTCACTGTTTATACCTGGAGCTATCTACATTTAGATGTGCAGCTCACTGAATTTCTTATATGATGAAGTACAAAACTCCATAGTCTCTGTGATCTACCAGATATTACACTTGGCAAGCAGATATTTAAAAGGTCTGAGAGGAGATTTGAGAGACTTCAGGCCAGACTCTCCAGTGTAACCTGACAATGAAAGCTTAGCAGCAAATTCCCCTTGTGGAGGGGAACTCTTCACTGGTTGGAGATGGCATCTGCTGGGTCAGACATACCACCCTTCAACTCAGTGGATGCGTCAAGGGAGGAAGGGCATGTATCAGAGGCATAGTGAAGGGGAACGTCATTGCATGAGTCCTCCACATCCCCCAGACACCTTATGCTCGTGGCTTAGGTTAGAGCAGCCATTATGTTGCTCTCATGGATACCAAAGCCAGGCTGGTGCAGGATCAGGAGCTGTACAATTGTTCCCTGATAGCCTGCCACCCTGTGCCCAGTGGAGCTCAAATGCAGGGGACAGTCGAGCCCTTCAATCATAAACTCAAGAAAAGCTTTGTATGGAAATTGATTTTGTTTCCTACCATGTGATGAATAGAAGGCAGTTTATCCACTGGTTATAGCAGGAGACCTGGAGTCAGAACTCTGGGTTCCATCTGCAGCTGGCACACTGTGATTTTGGGGAAGTCACTTAGGATATGTCTACACTGCAGCTGGCAGCAAGCTAGCATACTAAAAGCAGCAGTGTGGACTTTGCGGCTTGGGAAGTGGTTCAGGCTCTCAAGCCCACCTGACCCCCTTTGTCCGAGTTTGGGTGGCTATCCCGAGTCTTTGCTAGCGGCTCAGTGCCCACAGTGCTATCTTTAGCGCCCCAGCTTGAGCTGAGCTAGCACAAGTCTGTGTACCTAGACTGGGAGGCTCCCTCCCACCGGCAGTGTAGACATACCTTAGGCTTTGATTTTCAGAGATGCTGAGCAGCCACAACTCTCACGGAAGCCCATAGGAACTTCAGGGACTCAGCACTTTTAAAAGTCAGTCCAGTAATCTCTCTTTGCCTCAGTTTCCTTATCTGTAATAGCAAAACTTCCTTGGATATTGTGAGATTCATGTTATACTTTAACAGCTCTTTTAGATCCTGGAATGAAAGGCACTATGCAAAGTGCAAAATGGGAGCAGGGACTATCTTTTTTGGTCTGGGTTCATATAGCACCTACCACAATGGGGTCCTGACCCATACCTGGGTCTCCTAGGCACTACCACAAGACAAATAATAATTATTATTTAGTAGCAATTGTAGTAGCAGATATACTGTTTTACAAAATGTTGATATACTATTCTGCTTTTTCTCTTAGCTTAGGAATCAGTATTCATGACAGCAGGCTCTCTTATTTTGATTTCCTGAGAGCGATTGATGATGGCAGAGCATCTAAATACCAGCAGAGACAAAAGCATGCTGCACCACCTGCAAGCTTTGCAATGCTCAGTTTAGAAAAGACCCTAATTAAGATAAAAGAAATAGTTACATCTTCTTATGATTTGTTATACAAGGTAGGTTACATGTGGACATAACATTTCATTTCATTTCTTTATGCCTGGCTGGGGCTATCCTAGCTGTCTAGAAGCATTTCTGCTGCTAAATAGGGTTCCCCAATGCCAGGCCAGCAAGAGCAGGGATAAGTATAAAAGTAGCATGGTTGGCCCCCACCAGAGAAAGCACTTTGTAGCATCAGCCTGTGGTGGTTACATGACATAGCAGTGACAAGTCACTGCAGCGTATGGCCGTGTGAGAATAGAAGTTGGTGAGTAAAAGGGGAAAACAGGATCTTAGAGCCCCCACCAAATTAATTAGGTGCATGTAAATTGTGTGTTAGACATCTTTGGAGCAAAACTCTTCCAAATAACTGGGAGGAGAGTGCATAGTGCATGGTTTCCCCAAGTTGTGAGTTATTACATATAGGGAATACACGATGCTGTGGTGGAGCATTTTGGTTTTACCAGCATGAGTTGAGATGGGCCATGCTACACTTGAGTTATGCAGGTCATCCCAGGGAGGCAGGGTTGAAGACTTGACAAAGAATCCAAAGGAGTTCTGTTGACAGCTCTGCTCTTGACTCTCTGTGAGACTTTGGACAAATCACTTAAACCGATTGTGCTTCAATTTCCCCATTAATAATCACTACCCACCATTATATAGCATTTTGAGATTCTGTGGATGAAAAGTGCATACGTTATTGTATAATTATTATAATTATGCCTGAATCTACCAAAAACCTGCAGCCAAATGGATTCTCTCTCAAAGTTCTTAGTGTCCAATGGGATCATGCTAGAATCAGTCTTAAGCATAGGCAAGAACAATCAGACAGACTTTGGAGGAAACTTGCCTATCCCAACCCACAGCCACAGGGCTAATGGACACTGATATGCTGTGAGAAATCATAGAATATCAGGGTTGGAAGGGACCTCAGGAGGTCATCTAGTCCAACCCCCTGCTCAAAGCAGGACCAATCCCCAACTAAATCATCCCAGCCAGGGCTTTGTCAAGCCTGACCTTAAAAACCTCAAAGGAAGGAGATTCCACCACCTCCCTAGGTAACCCATTCCAGTGCTTCACCACCCTCCTAGTGAAAAAGTTTTTCCTAATATCCAACCTAAACCTCCCCCACTGCAACTTGAGACCATTACTCCTTGTTCTGTCATTTGCTACCACTGAGAACAGTCTAGATCCATCCTCTTTGGAACCCCTGTTCAGGTAGTTGAAAGCAGCTATCAAATCCCTCCTCATTCTTCTCTTCTGCAGACTAAACAATCCCTGTTCCCTCAGCCTCTCCTCGTATGTCATGTGTTCCAGTCCCCTAATCATTTTTGTTGCCCTCCGCTGGACGCTTTCCAGTTTTTCCACATTCTTCTTGTAGTGTGGGGCCCAAAACTGGACACAGTACTCCAGATGAGGTCTCACCAATGTTGAATAGAGGGGAACGATCACATCCCTTGTTCTGCTGGCAATGCCCCTACTAATACAGCCCAAAATGCCGTTAAGCCTTCTTGGCAACAAGAGCACACAATTGACTCATATCCAGCTTCTTGTCCACTGTAGCCCTTAGGTCCTTTTCTGCAGAACTGCTGCCTAGCCATTCAGTCATTTGTCTGTAGCGGTGCATGGGATTCTTCCTCCTAAGTGCAGGACTCTGTAGTTGTCCTTGTTGAACCTCATCAGATTTCTTTTGGCCCAATCTTCTAATTTGTCTAGGTCCCTCTGTATCCTATCCCTACCCTCCAGCGTATCTACCACTCCTCCCAGTTTAGTGTCATCTGCAAACTTGCTAAGGGTGCAGTCCACGCCATCCTCCAGATCATTAATGAAGATATTGAACAAAACTGGCCCCAGGACTGACCCTTGGGGCACTCCACTTGATACCGGCTGCCATCTAGAAATGGAGCCATTGATCACTACCTGTTGAACTCGATGATCTACCCAGCTTTCTATCCACCGTATAGTCCATTCATCCCGCCCATACTTCTTTAACTTTCTGGGAAGAATACTGTGGGAGACCGTATCAAAAGCTTTGCTAAAGTCAAGGAATAACATGTCCACTGCTTTCCCCGCATCCACAGAGCCAGTTATTTCATCATCGAAGGCATTTAGATTAGTCAGGCATGACTTGCCCTTGGTGAATCCATGCTGACTGTTCCTGATCACTTTCCTCTCCTCTAAGTGCTTCAGAATGGATTCCTTGAGGACCTGCTCCATGATTTTTCCAGGGACTGAGGTGAAGCTGACTGGCTTGTAATTCCCTGGATCCTCATTCTTCCCTTTTTTAAAGATGGGCACTACATTAGCCTTTTTCCAGTTGTCCAGGACCTTCCCCGATCGTCATGAGTTTTCAAAGATAATATCCAATGGCTCTGCAATCACATCCGCCAACTCCTTTAGCACTCTCGGATGCAGTGCATCCGGCCCCCATGGACTTGTGCTCATCCAGCTTTTCTAAATAGTCTCAAACCACTTCTTTTTCCACAGAGGGCTGGTCACCTCCTCCCCATGCTGTGCTGCCCAGTGCAGTAGTCTGGGAGCTGACCTTGTTCATGAAGACAGAGGCAAAAAAAGCACTGAGTACATTAGCTTTTTCCACATTCTCTGGTACTAGGTTGCCTCCCTCATTCAATAAGGGGCCCATACTTTCCTTGACTTTCTTCTTGTTGCCAACATACCTGAAGAAACCCTTCTTGTTACTCTTAACATCTCTTGCTAGCTGCAACTCCAGGTGTGATTTGGCCTTCCTAATTTCACTCCTGCATGCCTGAGCAATATTTTTATACTCCTCCCTGGTCATTTGTCCAATCTTCTACTTCTTGTAAGCTTCTTTTTTGTGTTTAAGATCAGCAAGGATTTCACTGTTAAGCCAACCTGGTCATCTGCCATATTTACTATTCTTTCTACACATTGGGATGGTTTGTTCCCGTAACCTCAATAAGGATTTTTTAAAATACAGCCAGCTCTCCTGGACTCCTTTCCCCCTCATGTTATTCTCCCAGGGGATCCTGCCCGTCAGTTCCCTAAGGGAGTCAAAGTCTGTTTTTCTGAAGTCCAGGGTCCATATTCTGCTGCTCTCCTTTCTTCCTTGTGTCAGGATCCTGAACTCGACCATCTCATGGTCACTGCCTCCGGGGTTCCCATCCACTTTTGCTTCCCCTACTAATTCTTCCCTGTTTGTAAGCAGCAGGTCAAGAAGAGCTCTGCCCCTAGTTGGTTCCTCCAGGAAATTGTCCCCTATACTTTCCAAAAACATCTTGGATTGTCTGTGCACCGCTGTATTGCTCTCCCAGCAGATATCAGGGTGATTGATGTCTCCCATGAGAACCAGGGCCTGTGATCTAGTAACTTCTGTTTAGTCGCCGGAAGAAAGCCTTGTCCACCTCATCCCCCTAGTCTGGTGGTCTATAGCAGACTCCCACCACGACATCACCCTTGATGACACATGCTTCTAAAGAGGACAGCACTGGTGATGTCATAGAGGAAAAGTGAGATCCAGTATCAAAAGGGGCACAGTTTCCTTAAAGGTGAGTTCCATTTAGGTCTGCCTGGACCCTTTAATTTTTTGTAGGGGCAGCCCTCATTACTGTAGATCCCATATACTGTTTAGCAAACCAGGGCTCTCATACAATGGTCACATTTAAGTAGTAAGCATTTCCCATGGTAAGGTATAAATGCCTTACTGCACTGAACATTATTAATGTAGGAAGTATTGCAGTAGTTTCAATAGCCTGGTATAGAATTTGTTAACTTTTTAATGATTCCCACTATGTGTCCTGTTAAGGGCAATATCCACTTTTTAATCCATGAGGTCTTTGGGTGTCATTGTTCTGTCTACTGAGAATGTAATGTTTTGATTTTGTGATTTGAGAATCTACATTTTGGGTTTGAATAAGGCATCTGTCTTGTCTTTTAGGATGCCACAGGACAGCTAAAAATATTTAAGGGATTGAGACTTTTTATCCTTGGAGAATCACCCCTTGTCCAACATGTCCTAGGTGGACTTGTGGAGAGGCAAAATCTTTTCCCATTTCATTTGATGTGGAAGAATAGAATAGTCTTCCTTTGCTTCTGCTTTTAGTGCAGTCACTTTCAAAGTCAGGGTTGCTGCTGCATGTGTAATAAGAGATACTAATCCACCTGGCCTCAAAAGGAAAACCTTCATTAGAAAGAGGGGAGGTCAAAAGTGTGGTTCAGCAGAATTTAGCTAACTTTCCAAAATTATCATACAGTTTTCAAAAAAATTCTACATCGCCAACAAAACACAACCATTGAAAAGTCTGAAAATGAATACAGAAGGGTGTCAGCGGAGTCCTCATTGCCATGTAATCATTCCCCAATCACTTTTGGCTTACCTGGCTCACTCTGCCCAACCCAACTTTATTTTTGCCCCTAAAATTTCTCATAAGTATAGGCAAAGATCAAAATAAGTTGCTAGGAATTCATAGAATCCCATTTCCTATTCAAGGGATCTATTTCCAGTGTATTCTAACATTAAAATATATTACAGCATGATTTTATAAAAAAAACCTGTTATTTGCTACACAATACAGTCCAGTTAAAAATACCATCTTGTAAAGTCATTTTATGAAATTCTATTCATAAAATTATTTTACTAAACCAAAACATCACATCCTGAAAGAACCTATAGAACTTTGACTCGGACTGTATTCTTGTCAAATTTGTACAAAATATTTACATATGTAAAATCACTGTTTATATATTCAACTGCATATTTTTATTGTAAAACAAAACAAGGGGGCAGAGATAAAGTTGGTTAAGTGGTTGTTAGTTGGGTGGAGTCACAGTGGGAATACCCTGCCACACACAGTGGCTCCCCTGCACTCCAGTATTCACTCTCACTGCACCAGTTGCTTACAGAATTCGATACCTCTTCTGGTCCTTTGCACTCTCTTCAGTGTCCGCTCCAGAAGCAGAATTCAGTCTAATACATTTCCTGTGGAAAGAATCTTCGGGAACTCATGCAGTTGCCACCTCTGAAGTACAAAAAACTGGAACATCCGAGAAGATCCTGTGCCCATAAAACTGGACAGATGGCAGTGTGTAATGAGCACCCTTCCAGATTTCCCAGGACAGTTACCTTCAAAAAAGGAATGAACTTAGGAAAACCTTGACAGATGGCAACCCTAATACCTGGAAGAGCAAGAATGTGGGAACCAAGATGAGAGGTTATTTGCTCACAGGTTGACCTCTGCATCTCCAAGAGATACTGAGAATGGAGATCTTTCCCACAGAGTGCTTTGGAGGGGGGAGAATGGGAAAAAAGCAACATTAGCTTATCTAGTCAAAAGTTTCCATCTGCTGGGAGAAAGAAAACAAACTAGTATGCATAGCCAACTCAAATTTTCTCTATGGGGGCACTCTACAGGGGGTGGATGTCTCAAACATTTTTGTTTGTGTCCTTTCTTGTTTGGCTTAGAGGAATTCATATTAACCTGTACCTGGACTGTATATTTGGGCATCCAAGCAATCAAATATAAAATGTCTATCTGTTCTCACTGAATGCTTATTTTTTGGAAGATTCTATTGATTGGAGAAACAATTATTTATTTAATACACAAAAATATAGGATAAATTTGGTTGATTTTTAAACTTGTTGGATTTCAAGACAATGATAAACTTTTCATTTCCAGTGGGGCTTCAGTAAACTTCTTTCATTTCTTCAAATCTAAAATACCTGTAGCTAAAAGAGGAATACATGTCACATATGCCTTTATCTATACATATATCTTTATCTATGTAGCCACCCAGTAATGGCCATGCTAAAGAGAAATCACTTCTGAAAGAGTCAGTGTTTTTTAAGTAACATTCCTTTTTGCTTTCTCAGGCATTTTCTCTGTTTGATAAAGAAGGCACTGGGACAGTTAAAGCACTGGAATTCCGCCAGGTACTTGACCATTTCTGCTTTAAACTATCGGATAGGCAATTCAGGCACCTACTCAAGAAGCTAAGGATTTATGAAAATCATACAGTAGACTGGAAATTTTTCATGAAAAATATTAATCTCCTCTTAGAGGTAAGTCTAGCTACCAAGCTGTAAGCTGTTTCTTTTAAAAATGAACTCAAATGCCTTAAAATGAATGAATTCAATAAGCATGCTAATTCTAAATAAATCGTAAGGTGCAACTTCTCCCTTTGAATGTCTCTTGCAGTCAATGGGATGTTGGGAATTTCTGTTGAGTAAGCAATGAGTAAGGACAAGTGAATAGGATCTTTCATAAGAAAGAACATTCATTAGAATTAGCAAATTATGGCACTGATTCTGCAAATTACTCCATGGGAACAGAGGACTTTGCTAGAATAGGGTAACTAGTAAGGATAGGGAACTACAGAAAGATGACTGATTTTGGATCTTGAACAGGCTTATTTAATTCATTCATTTTTTCAGTCATTAATCCAATGTTCTGCTCTGAACAAATGTATTAAAATGGGAGTGGTATGTATACACCACAGAGGGCCAAATTCAGAGGTGAGTTTGATTAAGTACAGAGGAAGTCTCAATTGGTGAAATTTACTACTTCTTCCAACACCCTCAAAGAGTGTGTTACACAAACTTAGCCTCACTCTAGGCTTACTTAAGATTCACTTACATTTAATTGTGGCCCAGTTGTGTTATCTGATACTTACACCCACATGGACTCCCACTGAAGTTGATGGTACTCTACACAGACGTAGGATGAGGACCTTAGATTTACACTCACACCCACTTAACAATTTGGAACCTCCCTGCCCCCACCCAGATGTAGGAAGTAAGAGCAGGTAAGACGGTAGACAGAGGTTTCCATTCTATTTAATTTACACATTCCTACACCTTCTTCCAGTTGCTTTGCATGTCCTACCATAGACTCCCTTACACAATGATAAATGGGTGTAAATAAATCTAACTGAGTGCAAGGGAGGCTAAATTATGCCCCCTTGCAGTTCACTTCTAAATTTGGCCAAGAGAATCAAAAACTATTTGTATCAGTTAATATAGTAGTCCTTGAAAAAAATAGAATAACTTGCATCTTATGCCTTAAAAAGCAGCGACTGTTTCATTGGCAAAATATATGCTTGCAGGACAATAGAATGAAAAAAAATTGTCATCCAATGGAAAACCATATAAAAAGCCTTTTATTTTATTACCATGGCAATAATGGAATGTTGTGCAAAACAAATCCACACAGAACTATATGGTAATTAAATATTATGTCATAATGTAGCAACTGAAAAACCAATGAGATTTCTACTTCGTGTCTGTTTATATTCCAAATCAAAAAGTCTGTTAGGCATTAAAGAATAGCAGGATTAGGTTCTTTCTTAAGAGGAAGAAAAGGACTGCAATTTTCAAACAAAGGAGAACCCACAAACAGCTTCAAAATGTTTGTAATATGTATATGTCACTTATCAATAGGAATATTTAGATTCACTCTAGGGTTTATTATAAGTGCAACTGTGTCCATAGTTTAATAGGATGGCTTGAAATACATTTACTGTCTGTAAATTTAGCATTTACATTTGTAGTACTGTGTCTGTTACACTGTTCATAATAGCAGGAAAAGCCTAGTTAAGTACGGGTAGAGTAAAAGTAGTTTTAATTACAGTTCTTTAAAAAAATAAGATTTTTAAATATTTACATTTTCATCATAATGATATCCTAACTAACATGATAGACTATTTGGTTCTCAGATTTGATACATTTGTGTTCATGTATGCATAGAATTAAAATACCTTATTCACAACTCCATTAATCCAGACCTAATAATGTATTTGTTTTATGAGTGTGTTCGTATGCAGCAATAATCATCCTTTAGCAAGCTTTAACATTAGATAACTATTTTTGATACCTAGTGTTGTTTCATGGTATATCTTGAGCCTCCAAGGTGCCACCCTCCTTAAGTCATGTTGAAAAAGCTCAGGACCTCACGGGATCAGGCCCATAAGAAGACTCTGCATCAGAAACTTCTTTAGTGCTGAATCTTTCAAGATGCTGAGTAACTCCTGGAAGTTGCTAAGCCACTTACTTCAGCAGGAAATAAGATGCTCAATATCTTGCTGGAGGTGCTTGATATTTCACAAGATTGAACCTTAAATTGCTTCTGTTTGAACAGCATTTTTTTCTCAGTGAATCAATACTCTCCTGGCTCTTGAATGTGCTGTGTGTGGGATAGATGAGATAAAACCATCAGTAAAATTCCAAATCTCGCCAGATGGGAGAATTTTGTTTAAAAGAAATATGAACCAGATCCATAGTATCAGGTCAGCTTCTAGATCCCATCAAATCTGATGTTTTCAATTTGAGTTCAAATGAAAATTCTATTCCTTTGCAATTTCATCCCGTTGTGGGCCCACACTCATATCTGGGCTGGAGCACAAGTTGCAAGGGGAGGCTGGTCATTAAACTATTCACCTCTTCCAAATATGCAATAATTTTGACTTGTAAAGTATTTAGCTAAATTAATGAGGTTTGCAACTCATTCAATCACATTATGAAGTCTGATCATTATGTTATACAGCTTGATCACTGAAACATATGCAAAAGTAACTAGTGAAGTATTCAGCTTGATCATTAGAGTATGGAAAATTTACTGAACTAGTAAAATATGGGCCTGGGATGACTTTTGTCTCAAATGGCACCTCATAAATAAAACCCTCAACCACAAAGGCAAACATTTACAAGCCCAGCAGCTATACAGGTTTAAGCTATATCTTATGCTTAGAAAACTGCTGAATAAGAGGAGGTGAGAACATCTTGGGGAAATTATTTCAAAATTGTATTCATCATTAGGGTCTTTGGATGGTTTTGATGTAAGCTAATGAGACTTATATTCTGATTAATTCTCTATAATACAAACTACAGTAGGTCTGATCTGATTTAGATGAATGAGATGTCAACTGAATCAGAGTTTTCTGTAGAGGTGCATGAGTATACTGTCAAAAATAAGATTAAAGAAATGTAAAGCATTTTAAGCACTATGACTGGAGTGGGATAAAGATAAGGAGGTGAGAAAGAATTCTGGTTGGGTCATTTACCTCTGATATTACAAAGCAACGATCTAAAAGTGAGCTGGTGGTACAGTAATAGCTGAGAAAGGGACCACATTTTATGTTGTGATACTGCTAACCCATGAAGAACACATCTTAGGGCCTTTAGTAAAGTGCCCAGACCAGTGGACCATTTACCACTGTGGGCACATACGTAGCTCTCTATGTGTTACGTGAGCTGTTTCCACACAATATGTATATTACCTGTACATCTACCAAAAAAAAAAAAAAAGGTTTAGTATTTGTTATATGACAGCAACATGATTCAAATCAATATAGTACCTTTGATTTCAACACTGGCAAATGTCTACCAAAAACATTTAAAATTAATTAATTTGCTGCCAGGGTGGCAGGGCATGGTGTATTGCCACCCTCACTTCCGCACTGCTGCTGGTGGAGCGGCTGGGCTGAGCGCCCGGAGAGCATGGCTGCAGAGTCTGCCCGCAAAGATGGGAGCCCTGCACAGTGTGGTGTGCCATCTCCCCAGCCAGAGACTGCCCCCAGGCACTCAGCCCCTCCAACCCCCCCAGCCAGAAACTGTCTCCCAGCCCTTCCTCAGAATGACCCCCTAGCCAGGGAATGCCCCGTATCACCCAACCCCCCTGAGATTGTCCCCCCAGCATCCAGACCCCCCAACACTGGACTGGCACACATGCCTGCCCTGCAGAGACAGGGTACCTTGTCCATGGCAGAACAGCCCACCTCGGGACTGCCCCATCTAGGATCCAGTCCCCCCACCCAGGGACTGCCCCCCAGCAACTGCCCTCCCAAGGACTGCCTCCCAGCACTCAACCCCTCCATCCAGGAACTTTGCCCCAGTATCTAATTCCCCCATCCAGAGACTGCCACCAGTCCCGTCCCCCCCCCGGCCCCGAATCTGTCCCACATGCACTGGCTACTCCCATCTCCCTGCGATCCCAGTCACCTGCCCCCCTCCCTGACCCCCTATGGCCCTAGCCCCCTGTACCTCCCTCCCCTCGCGCGCTGGTCCCCTATCTTGGCTGCAGCCCACCCTGCTCCCCTGCTGCTGCAGTCCTAGTGCCGGGAGCCTGCTCCAGCCGGGGTCACTGGACCAGCAGGGTGTGGGGGCACTGAGCACGCTGGCCTCCTGCCAATGCTGCTGGGGGAGGGCTGATGTTGGTGGGCCTGATCCTGCTAGGGGAGGGCGCTGATGCGGGGTCCAATCCTGCATCACCCAATTTTTGCACCCTTATGCTGGCTCTGTGCCTGGGGCAAGTGCCCCTTCCATCCCACCCTAGTTACAGCCCTGAGGATGACACACGGGCCACAGCTGTGTGCTGATTGGGCCGCCTTCAGGCAGTGGGTTGAGAACCACTAGTCTAAACCATGGAGCAGCTGAGGATAGGGTTAGGGCCTGCCAGCCTCAGGGCTAATAGGGCCAGGCTGGAGCTCCCCTACATTAGAAGAAGGGAGTAATGCACCACTCAGGATTTAGCTCATGGGAGCTGCATTTGACCAAGATCAAGCCTTGGATAAAATATACAAGGATCTGCTGAACTAGTAAAGTGATTTTCAGGGAGGAAAAGTGAAAACATACATAAGAACGGCCATACTGGATCAGATCAAAGGTCCATCTAGCCTTCATCTCATTCAGTGTTTTTACCTGTATGGAAGATTTCTAAAAGTTCACCTCTCTTACCTTGATGGCCCTTTTAAAGTTGGCCAGCAGAATGTTGGGCCTTGAGGATTCCAGGACAGGTGGAGGTGACTGACAGGGTCTGCATAAGAGATTTCACTACCCAGAAGGCAGGAAAACTTAAAGAAGAGGAGAGAGGTTATGAAAAAGCTAGAAAGAGAGATTCAGGGGCAACAATCAGGGTTCACAACAGTCAGAGAGGGGAGACAGAGAAATGCTGGAGAAGAGAGGGAGGATCAGGAGGGAAGAGTTGCACAGCTATAAAAACTGTCTCTGGACAAACCCAAAAAGTTACTTTTTTAAAGTGGTTTTATGTTGGTGTAATTTGGTAGTTACACCAGTATAACAAGAGGTTAATGGAATGGTGAAACAGGTATATTAATCCTATGCATACATAAACACAAATGTATGAGATTTGAGAACCATCTCATCTGTCATGTTAGTTCAGATATTGTTTTGTGACCAAATGACCTTGACCTCTGTGCAAAGCCCTAGGCAATAGCCCTTGTTCAGAGGACCTGTGTAGTGCTTAGGAAGACAGAATTCTTCCCTGCTACCCCCAACAGGCCAGGGCTTCTGCAATTAGCTGCTCCACTGGCTCTGGGCTTCCTTTCCTGGCAACATTGACACTCACAAGGTTTATCTTCATTGTGGCAGTCTCCACTCCCCCAGACCTCCTTGAAGAGCCAGGGGGTTCTCCAGTGCTGAGAGGCCACTGTAGGAGAGTTAGTACAATCTCAGGCTGCATTAACATTCCTGTGGCATTCCTACAAGCTGCTAAGTGAGGCAAAGCTCATCTTCCCCCTACCTACAACTTTACCCCCTGTCTGCCCAACACCTCCATATTCTTAACCTGAACCTCTAGATAACCCTTAGTGGTCAAAAACATAGTGGAGGTTGCTGATCCCCCTCCTTTTACAGATGCAGATCATTGTGACATGATCTAGCCCACAGTAAATGCTTTGAAAATTGATTACGAGTAGAATTTGACTAATATTGTTATTTAATTCCATAGTTATTTTAGTTAAACTTATAAGAACTTGGGGTTCTCTGACCTCAGGTGAGAGAGGTATTCAGTGACACCTCCATCAGAGGATGAGGAATGAGGTAAGGGCTGATCAGTCCAAATCTATTAATATGTTCTTCTTTTGTAAAAACATTTTAGGCACTCAGCTGATTGTGTGTAAATCTCATTAATTTAAAAAGCAATTGTAGACATTTACTGTAATGGAGGGCAGAATTGGGCCCATAGTAAAATATTTCCCCTATTTTAAAGTCTCTTGTATAATGGTTGTGTTTCTTTTTGATCTGATCTTCCATACTAATAATACTGCATCTAAACATTGCTGAGATGGAATGCGTGGGTGCGTGTCAGTGCAACTGTGCTCAAAACAAGTGTATGAGACGCACAAAACTTTCGTTTTCAGTGTATCATTTTCAAATCTGACACACTCTTAACCCTGGTACATATTACTATATCTAAACTCCTATTCAGATCAGTAGCATTCTGCAAGCTGAAAATCTACACTGTGTGGTAGATATAGTGGAAGACTAATGCATAGTAATAAAACCCACCAAACATTGTGTATTTGGAGTAGCCAGTTTTCAGAGTAAATAACTGCTGTGTTTTGTTATTTATTTATGAACAACAGAATACAGAAGTCCATTTTGCTGCCAAAGAGTTACGTTTTCAAAAAGTTAAAATTAATTAAAACTGTGCAGCTAAAACCATATTCAACGCTTTCAAATTTTACCTCTAAAAAGCAGCAGAAAACTTCAGTTTTTAATGAAGCCAAGTCCTCTTTATAAATTCAGTTTCAGCAACTACAAAATATGGAGTTATATTTAAAATAATTAAATTATTTTTGAAAAGGAAATATTTTGTTTTCAGGATTACATGCTAAGCTTCAACCCAGTGCAATTTCTAAACTCTTGAAAGCAGGATTTTCATAACACAAATGGCAACTGTCTTTACTATAGCTATGCTAGCAAGTACTGTTAATATAAAAAAAAGCTATTATGAACACTTCCATTTTTAATTCAAGGACATTTCTTAAAAATATGTTAAATGTTAGTATTTTATTTTATACATTTATAAGTTTAAAAGTACAAGTTTTGCTACTCTAAGCAATACTAAATACCAAAAAAAGAAACAGATGGCTTTTGGTCTTGTGCTCTAGTTTCCTTGTCACTTCTCACATGATCATTATAACTGAATGGAAAAGAAAATATGTTTCTTCCATAACTACAAGAAACCTGTCACCTAATCAGAAAAGACACCACTATCTTCAACTGCAAATAACACTTTTCAGTATTAACCACACTTTACATAAAATGTACCTGCAGGATAAGAATTACAGCTGTATTATTAAGAGAAGAAATATGAGAAGTGGAATTATGCATGCAGACACTGAATCGAGCCCATGCTGCAGTTACGGAATGAAGACTGCCAGGCATTGTACAATAGATCTTTCTAGGTTTCGAAAACATTCTGAAAACTGCAAAGCACTGCACTTCTGTTTTTAATTATTGTAATAAGGCAAAGGACATTATTAATAAAAATCTAACTGCTCGGGAAGTGTTTGAGAGAATGACACTTTTTGGAGGTCTAGCTTTCCTTATTTATTTCAAGAACTTTCATTTTATTTTGTTTTACATAAGACTTGATCCATCTTAATGTTAAGGAAAATTAGAATAACAGCAACAAAAAAGATGGCTACTAGATCTGTTTGCAAAGCTCCCACTGACAACTGGAAAATCTGAAAAAGTTACACCTTAATGCACCAGCTGTGACAATCTATAATATACATCTCATTGTCCCACCTTGAACACCTCTGAAAGCTTTATACAGTGGAGTTGTGGTCCAATGCTTAAAAAATTGGACTGGGAGTCAGGAGTCCTGGATACTTTTCCTAGCTCTGCCACTAACTTGTGTGATTTCAGTAAGTCTCTTAACCTTTCTGTAACTGCGTTTACCCAGTTGTATAAAAGGGGATAACAACAGCTATTAATCTGCCTCAGAGAGCAGCTGTGCAGCGTAGTTCATATCAGTTATATGCTTTTGGATCATTCATGAAAAGTGCTAGATAGGAACAAGTACTATTTTTATACTGATTTGCCAGTATTAATTGCAGTTTGCTTCGCGGACCTCCTCTAGGATTTCAGAGCCCAAGCCTGGACCTAGGAGCTCTGCAGATTGCATGGATTCTACAGCCACAGAAACTCCTAAGGAGGAAGCACCTCTCTAGGGCACCCATGAAGCACTTACATGGGCTGCCAAATTCTTTCCTAGATACTGGAGTAGCAGGGCCCACATGAGAGTCTCAAATGGCTATCAGATGCTAGGAAGGTGCTGAGCATGCACAATACCTCTCCGACATCCGGAAAGACATGGGCTCTTCACTGTCTTTCTTAACGGAATCTGGGGGAACCTTAAAGGATCTGTATGGGCCAAAGACAGTGTCTTTTCACCAAAACAAAAAGGAGGACTTGTGGCACCTTAGAGACTAACAAATTTATTTGAGCATAAGCTTTTGTGAGCTACAGCTCACTTCATCGGTTTTCACCCTAACCCTAACCAATGAGGCAATGAACTTTGCACATTAAGCTAACTTTTACTAACATCGAGCATCCCATTGTACAGTTTACACAGTTTGGGGGTCTTACGTGCCCTAGAGATCCATGACAATTGGGGTCAAGATTGGTCTGTCAGTAACTACAACAAAAGACATTGTTCTATTATTTTGTGGGAAGAATACTTTTCAATAAGATATGTGGGAGCGGCTGAGATTGCTGTCTAGGCTTGTAATGGATGAAAATGCTTGTGTCCTAGTGCTCAAATGACCAGCAAAGCGTTCTGCAGCTCATCTGATAGCAAATTTTGATTTTAGGACTATGTTTAAAAGATTCCATGGTTACATAAAAAGTTTTAAGCTTGTATTTTATCACTCGATTTCAGTGGGGGCCAGATCCTCAGCTGATGTCAACCAGTATAGCTCCATTAACTAAGGATCTGAGCCATAGTTTGCCCACAAAAGCATACAGTAATAAATACAATGATAAATACAAGATGAAAACTCTATTGAGGGTTATTTTGCAATATACCATTTTTTGACCAGTTTTTTACAGCAGACATGGTTTCAAGTTTATAGGTTACTTTTTCCAAGATAAAGTATTATTAAGAATGTTTAGAATTCATAATGGGATGTTGTAATTTGTAGCCAGTGGCACCTCCATCAGAGGTTGAGGGACATGCTACCTTAAGCTCAGACATTTTTTAGACCTCTGTAAAAGCAAATGAATTTCTTTGCTTTTATTGGCTTAAGTTTCACCCTTTATGTTATGTCAATTTAGATTTTTTTCTTTTTAACATGACCCTTTTTCTCTTTCATGGTATATGCCGGCATTACTTGAAATAGATTGAACTATAAGGCTGCCTTCTCCATCGACTTTCCCCACTATGACTGGCTGAAGGCCACACCACGATTTATAATTTATTCTGTGACTCCATCACTGATTTTGTGTGTATGTTCTGTCTAGACTGAGGAAGGGCAGAAAGTCGCTCAGCCTAAATCTTCTCAGGAGCTGTCAAAGAAAGAAATCCTTACGCGTATACAAGAAGTAGTGACTGCTCGCTTTAATACCATTGCACAAGAGTTCAAAGATATCGATTGTGAGAAAGTTAATACAGTATCAAAAGAGGACTTCCGGGGTATTTGCAACCGTCACTTTCTGCTTCTGACAGACGAACAAGTACGAAAAGTATTGATTATTTAAGTGTACATCTAACTAAATTGTCATAGAGTATAGGGATGTGCGTACACATGCTAGTGTGTATATGCAAGTAACCTGATATTTTCGGTGCAAAACAAAAAGAATTGGAGAACATTATTTCATGAATATTTATTGCTGCAAGTATGAGGGATTGCTTTTTCAATATTATCTGAGTATGTGTGTGAACTACAATAATTGCAAGCTCTCTAAAGGTAAGCAGTATGTAGTACGTCCTACACTAGTGTACCAGCAGAATACATTCACATTTCAGTTGCACAAATCTTTAGCCACACTCTTAGGCCTACAGTCCTGATGAGGATTCTCTCTGTCTTTGTTGCATAACCATTCATTTCTGGTGCCTCAACAGGATCTCTACTGGTTAAATTCTGTTCTCAGATACACAGTGCAGCTTTCATTGAAGTCAGTGGGAATTGCACACATGTAGCTGAAAGCAGAACTTGGTCCCATGGGTCCAATTTTGCCCTAAAATATATGGTCACAACTCCTATTGACTTAAGTGGAAGTTACACCCATTTATATGAAGGGAAAATTGAGCTCCAAGTCTACTTTTTTCTTTTGCATCTTCTGACTATTTGTAAAGCTTTCTATGTGCCAGATCCTGCAAGCCAGGTTGGAAGTCAAAACAGCTTGGTCTAAGGGTCAGGTTCTCAGCTGATGTAAAGAGGCATAGCTCCAGTTAAGTCAATGGAGCTAGATCATTTTATACCAGCTGAGGATCTGGCTGTAAGTGTTTTATTCAAAGGACTTTATTAGGTCTGCACTGTACACTGGTGCACAAGATGGGAGAGGATGCAAGAAGTCCTCCATCCTTGTGCCCTGTGCAGTATCTGGATACAGTAGTAGTCTTTATATCTCCCTGAGCAAAGGACTTCTCAAGTCCAGGTGTACTGCTGTTCCCACATCAGCCATCATACAGGTTAGCTGAGTTGACTTTGTCATGCAGAGACAGAGATTACATCCTCTGCAAGGCTGGCATAACAGCCTTGCTTTCCAAGGGACACTGAATACATTGTATCTGTCTGAGCCACAAGGACTCCAGGAGTTTCTGCTCGAGTGGCAAGTTTCTGCCCTGCTCCCTAGCAAAATCTGCACACAATTTGACTGAAGAGCTTATCCCATCTTGATTTCATTAAATTCCTGTACTTCCATATCAACAGAGAAATCTGTAAAAGTCCTTTTATCATTTGTGATTTTTGTTTGCCATCAGGTGTTTTTCTCTTGGACAGATACCCTCTTGGCCACTGTATTTTCCAACATTTGCTTGACTGCTTCAGTGAATATTTTTTCAGGTGCAAGATGTGCTTTCAATAGCCCCTGATTCAGAAATATATTCCATAGGTCCATGTGCTGCACTGACTTACTGTTGCCAAGGTAACTATGGTTCACCCACTTCATAGACAGCTGCATTCCTTGCAATTTTTTCAGTTCTCTGACTCTTCATATTCACATATGTTGAATAACCATATTTCTTGTTCTTGAGAATGACTCAAGAGTATTCAGATTACTTCTGTAGGCACTGGCTAAGAGATCAGCTCCTAGAGGGAACTGTGGGAATTCATCCATGATGTCTGGCAGTGGTACACAAGGACTCCTTCATTTTCTTTATTGGAGTCTTCATAAGTGTCTTCTGTCATTTACTTGTGTTAATAACGTTACTGTCTGACTGAGCTTCCAGAGGAGGCTTCACCAGCATCAGTCAGCAAGCTGGTGGCTTTGGTTTCCATGCTCCCCTTAGCATCCTAAAAACAAATTCAAAGCAGGGGGAAAACTAACAATCAGGGGGAAGGCAAATAAAAGTTGAAAGTCTTCGAATACCAAGACTTATTGGCACAGTTCAGCAGCTCCATTCTAACCTCTTCTGGATGGACACTGCTGCAGATTCTTCTTTGGATTGTACTGATGTTCCCCATGAAATAAGTGATTTGTAAACAGAAAACTGTCCAGTTACTGGCCATTTTCCTGGTCATACAGGTCCCTGAGCCTGTGTTTTCAGTGACATCTGGTCAAGGGTTCCTTGCAGATGGGGTATGCTGCTATGTCTGATCTTCAGTCCCCTCAGCTGAGGTGCATTGGCTGGGGGGTAGTGTGACGTTTTGCTCTGGGTTCCTTCTGCTTGGGGTGCCCTTGGTTCCTTGGTTCTCTGAAGTTGAAACTGGTGCTCTTTATCCTGCTGTCATGCAGCATGAAGGTACTGCAGGTACTTGCAGTTTTCTGTTGCTGCTTCTTTCAGACTGATTGTTTTCTTGTACTGTTGATCTATCTGTATCCATCTGTTATCTCTTGTCATAGACTTTAGATTGTAAATTCTTTGGGACAGGGACTGTCTTTTTGTTCTGTGTTTGTCCAGTGCCTAGCACAATGGGATCCTGAGTCACGACTGGAGCTCCCAGGCATTACAATAACACAAATAATAAATAACAACAGAGGCAGGCGTAAGAGTTAGTTGCTGGCTGGTTGCTAAGCAACTAATCTTCTTTCTCAGCAGCTGTTTGGTCTCTCATCCTCCTGGGGCTAAGGAAGTGACAGTGGTTTGGGGCTTCTCTCTAGGAAATTTCTTCCACTGCTCAGCTACATTTCTAAAGTTCCCACTGGATCAGCTGCAGCCTCAGTGGAGCTTTTTATGCCCTGACTGCAGCTTGAATTTGGCAAGAATGACTCTGATTAGCCTGCAGTGCTGAGACAATGGAATCTAGCCCCTCGCCCTCCTCCCAGATTCTGTATCTGCTAAACCAAATGTGGATAGTGCTGCAGCTTCCTTGGCTGGAGTTATTGTTATTCTGTCAGAATGGGATTTCTGCTCCAAAGGCAGGGTGGATAGAAAAATAGAAGGCAGCCTGAGCTGAGATTTCAGCAGCTCAGCAGCTGTTCAACCTTCCTGCTTCACAAGAGCAGCCATGTCATGATGCGACACCCTGAAAAAATGTGGATCCTCCAAACTATAAAGAATTCCTCACTGCTTTCTACAAAATGTCCTGATTGACTTTTTTCATAGCAGATACATCTGTGGATTTCCAAGTCCCTGCATTTCACAGCTGGACTCCAAACTGTGGCCAAGACTGTGGCCCTATGGCATAAATTTAATCTAGTTGGTACTATTGAAGTCTAGTGGGATGACTTGGATGATTGGAATGTTAAAATAATGATTATAACCTATTTTAGGAAGGATTGAGTGGGCAAAATGGGAGGAGGAGTGGCTCTTTATGTCAACAATGGCATTACCTGTTTCCATGTCACTGGTAACTCAGAAGAAATTGTCTTAAATGCTTATGGATTAATGTCCTACAGATAAAGCACAAGATGGCTATGAGTTGGTGTCTGCTACAAACCACCAGATGACACTAGGAAACAGGATAACTGACTTCTCATACACTTATCTATAATGTATAGTGAAAAAAGCTGTGTGAACTTGAGGGACTTCAGGTAGAGTAACATATGCTGGAGGTTTCAGGCCTCCTGTACTAAAACATCCTTGGAGTTTCTAAATGTTATAGATGACAATTTCTTAACTCAAAAAGGGGGGATTCTGTATTAAACCTTGTCTTGACAGATAAAGAGGAACTGATCACAGAACTAAAAATTAATGGTAGGTTAAGTATGAGTGATCATGACTTGATCATACTTATAATGTGCAAACAGAATAAAGTCCAGATCAGAACTATCTCTACTTGGTGCTTTAAAGGGTCCAATTTCACAAAGCTGAAAACAATCGTGAGCCAAATCAGCTGGGAGGAAGAATTTAAGCAGAAAAATGTGAATGATAAGAGGGAATTGTTTAAGGACACTTTACTAGATGCTCCAAAAGCCACAATCCAACAGTGGAGGAAATAATATCTTATAAATGAAAGAAAGGGGAACTTGATAGTAATGAACATAAATCAGAAGCTAGGAATTATAGAAAATTGAAAAGGAAAGCAAAGGGACACAAGGAGATATCTATGGCTAATACAGAGTTGATGACACTAAGACGGTTTTTAAGTATATTAGGGACAAAAAGAATCCCAACTATGGTATCAGTCCTTAATAGATGGAAATGGTAGAATGATCAATAATAATGCAGAAAAGGCAGAAGTGTTGAATAAATATTTCTCTTCTGTATATGAGAAAAAAAACCAGATGATGTAGTCATATCATATGAGAACACTTTTCATTCCATCTCAGGAGGATGTTAAACAGCAGTTACTAACGTTAGACATGTTTGAATCAGCAGGTAACTATCATCCAGATAACAATCAATGGAACAATGGGGAAGACTGGAAGAAACCTAATATTCTGCCAGTATTTAAAAGGTATAAATGGGATGACTTGGGTAATTATAGGTAAGGCTACAATTTAGTCACAGAGGTTGTGGAAGTCACGGATTCCGTGACTTCCAATAACCTCTGTGACTTCAGCCTGTGATGGTCAGGAGCCCGGGGGTTCCCTGCTGCCCATGGGGGCAGGGAGCTGCAAGGTACCAAGCTCTCTGAAGCCACAGATGGTAGGAGAACCACCTCGTTCCCGGCCACTGCGGGTCCCCAGAGCTGTAGGAGGTACCCAGAAGCTCCTGGCCGCCGCAGCTGGTGGGGGGACCCCTTGGAGCTGCGGGCAGCAGAGGTACCCTTCAGCCCCCAGCTGCTGCAGGCGGTGGGGACCCCCCACAGCTCCTAGCTGCTGTGCAGCTGCCCTGCAGATCCCCATTTTGTCACAGATATTTTTAGTAAAAGTCATGGACAGATCACAGCTTCTGTGAATTTTTCTTTATTGCCCTGACCTGTCCGTGACTTTTAGTAAAAATATCTGTGACAAAACCTTAGCATTAATTATAGGCCTGTCAGTCTGACATTGATTCTGGGCAAGATAATGGAGCAGCTGATACAAGATTGAATGAATAAAGAATTAAAGGAGGGTAATATAATTAATGCCAATCAACATGAGTTTATGGGAAATACATTCTGTGAAACAACTTGTAATATCAAGTTTGGATGACAAAAGTAATAGTGTTGATGTAATAAGATTTTGGCGAGGCATTTGACTGAGCCCTGGACAACATTTTGATTTAAAAAAACTAGAACGATATAAAATTAACATGACTTATGAAATGAGCCTGGAACATCAACCCCAGAGGAAATTCCTGACAGAAAACCCCAAACGCTTCTTCATTCCAAGTAAAACACTCAACATGACAGTTAAAGAATGGGCCTAAAACCAGACCCTAGGTTGGGAGGGAGAATGGGCAGTGCCCAGTATCAAGGTATGAAGTATTTCACTTTCCCTTTTTCGGAGCAAAAAGCCTCCCCTCTCCAGCTGAAGAAACCTCCAGCTTGGATTCCATAGTCTTTAGAGTAAAAAAGCAGTCAAGGGGGAGTGGGAGTGTTTTACAGCTAAAAAGGCTCAATAAGCAGATGACAAAATAAAAATATTGGGATGGAAATTCTGCCATGCTTAAAACAACTAGCCTGATTCTCATTTATACAAAGGCCCCTTTATACTGCCAGATATTATGTAAGAAAGAATCAAGCTCTGTCTCTCCAGGTGATATTTTAATATTGAAAGGCACTGCAAAGGCATGCTTATATATATCTATATGACATTGCCATGGCAGATCTTTCCAATCTGTATACAGCAATCTCTGCTCCTAACACAAGACCCTGCTGTTAAGGCTGTTATTGCTCAAAGTCTTTACTCAAGTGTTACTAATGGTCATAGCCAGGATAGGGACACAAAGGAAGTTACCTTTATCCCTTTCTGGATGATGCCCAATTTTTAATAACTATTAGAAAGGCTCAGCTGGAATCCGCGTAACACTATAGATGGAGTATTTCATATTAAAAATAAGTTTCACGTGGTATGGTCATTCTTCATGAGGCAATGGAAAAATCAAGACTCTGTTGTCATGGACCTTTTTGTAAAAGTAGAGGGGTTAGCCATGGTGCTCTTGCCAAATTCCAGTCAGGTATTTATAGTGTACCTACCTAAAACTCTCTCCCTCCTTTTCTGCAGTTTCCATTGTATGAACATTCTTCTTCTCTTCTTGAACTCAACTGTTGCTATATGCCATCCCAAAAGTGGCTGTAATATTTAATGTTTGTAAAGCACTGCTGAAAAAAAGATTTAAGTCAAGAGCAGTTTAAGGTTCACAATTTGATTATATTTAGAAAAAAAATCAGAAATGAAGGCCTTAAAAGGAGTGTTACTGCCTACTGAAGCATGGTTTAGTGTGACTCATTTGACTGTGAAGTGTGATACCCTTACTTACATTGTTTAGTGTTTTATACCATGAGTAGTCCCATTTAAGTTAACAGAACTACTTGTGGCATAAAGTACTATTCAGTGTGGATAAGTTTATTACAGTCTGGTCCTTAGAATTCTGTATGTTGCCATTGGGCCAGATTCTTTATTATTATTTGATTGTGGTAGTACCTAGGAGCCTTAGTCATGGATCAGATCCCATTGGGCTGATAGCTTGGGGTCTGATCAGAGAACAAAAAGAGCCCTGCCGCAAAGAGCTTGCAATCTGAGTATAAGACAAGAGACAACAGATGAATGCAGATAGACCAGAGAATACAAGGAAACCATGAGATGGTATTGGTCAGCATGCAAGGCAGTGGTATCAGCATACCAGCAGCCCGTTATTTATTTTTTTTTGGTCAGCATCACAGAAATGGAAAGTTTTAAGGATAGTTTTGCAGCTGTTTATGGGGAGCTCCACTTAATATATGGGGCAGCACGGGAGAAACCACAAGGTGCCTGTTTGAAAATTTAACAAATGGACCATGGATGTTGACATAATGGGTCTATCAAAGGCAGGTGTGATGTCTCGATAGTGAATGAGAGAAGATGGGTGGGGTGAAGGGCCTTCAAAGTGAAGACAAATTGCTTTTGTTTGGTATGGTAGAAAAGACAGAACCAGTGGGAAGACGCAAAGTGACAGGCTAGGAACATGACCTTTGCAGCAGCATTCTGAATGAATATGAGCAGGGCAAGATTTCATTGGTCAATGCCAGGGAGAAGTTTGTTGCAGTAATCAAGGGGTGAGATGGACAAGAGTGTGTGTGGATGGATAGGAAAGACTATCTGTTAGAGATGATATGCAGAGAGAATCTGCAAGATGTAGATATAGCCTGGATGTAAGGATCTAGAGAGAGGTCCAAATCAAAGATGGCACCCAGGTTGTGGGCCTCAGTGACTGTCAGGATAATGGTGTTATCCATGGTGATCAGGAAAGGAGATGGGTGAGTCTATGAGGTAAAAGATCAAGAGTTCTGTTTTAGCTATGGTGAGCCTGAGCTGATGGCTAGACATTCATGAGAGAAAGACAGGCTGAAATTTTAGTTTTGACAGAAATAGACAAGTCTGGAATAGTGAGGTAGTTCAACTAACTTACTCTACTAGTAATCCCATTGGAATCAATGGGACCATTCATGCAGTGACGTGCTATTCAGAATGAATAATAAGGCTCAGGGGTGCTGGAATAATTGGTATAGTGGTGGTGCTGAGAGCCACTGAACCAAATTGTAAACCCTGTATATGATGGAAACCACTTCAAGCTGGGAGGTGCAACAGCACCCCCAGCACCCCTAGTTCCAGGACCTATGATAAGGGTACCATAACCTGGCCCCATCTCTTCTGAAATAATAGTGTGTATTATACCGATGCAGTTCATGACACTGTATTTTACCTATATAAGGCTGTAAACTGCTGTAAAGTTTTCCTACAGCATTCATTTAAGTTTTGCGAGGAGACATTTTTGCCCTCAGAGTGAAACAAAATTGTTGATGCAAATACAATAACTGAAAAATCTGAACAGCCTATTGAGATGTTCGTAGAACTGAGGTGCACCTGGTAGAATGAGAAACTTGCTTCATGGTACTTAGACAGGATGCAGGTGCATCATGCATTTGATTTACATTTTCTGTTAAAGCATTCTTATATACTGTAGTACAGTCACTGTGTCTAATCAGAAGGTTTAATGGTCTTAAACAGCTCACTAAGGGTCCAGTTCAATTAAAAAATGTCCTACAAAATCCCTTTTTCATTGTTTTCCCAGACTTACACTGACTTCTACAGAGAAGCTGTAAATTTTTTTATTAAATTGGGCCCTAGGATTCCTGTCATTCCAAGTCACTTTCTCATTTTCCTTTCAACATTTTCTGTAACAGTCTGAGTATGCAATATACTTTTCCAGCTAACGTTTACAAAAATGGTCTTTTGCTTCTCCATTAGTTTGAAAACCTCTGGAATACAGTGCCTGCTGATGCCAATGGAAAACTGAAGTACTGTGATTTTTTGAAGAAGTTCAATTCCGAAGTAGTGACAATGCCATCAGATACTCCAGCCACGAACAATGCTGCATTTTCTTCCAAGCCCGCTACCCCTGCTGAGCCTGGGTCACGGTTACCTTCTCAGCCTTCACGTCCCAAGACAGCATCTTCTCCTTTAGGTCAAGTAAAAGTAGGTGTTTGATCACTTAAGGACTTTTCTAGGTTTTCACTTTTCTAGGTTTATTAAGGGCCTGATCCAATACTAATAGAAGTAAATGAAAATATGAAAAATGAAAATGACTTCACTGGGCATCAGATCAGGCCCAAATGTCTGTTGAGAAAAGCTTTGGCACTTTGCAGAGAATTTGGGATGATAAAAAAAATGGACTTGATCCTCTGTAGGTATAAACTGTGTAGCTCAACTGAAACCAATGGCGTTATGCTGTTTATACCTGCTGAGGATCTTGGCCATTGTCTTACGAACTCACAAATGAGTCATATTGTAAATAAATACCTGTTATTTAACATAGGACAGTCACCTTTGTGGGAACAAAGTGAATAGGCCCAGCCTAAAAGCTCAGCTGCTGAAAAAGCAACATAAAAAATGTAAGATTTTTACCATAGGTCACCAGCCCAAGTTAGTATTGACCAAAAGTTATTACCCTCTGATAGCTGCTAGGCAGTCTCTCGGAAATGTATTGGTTGTCTGAGTCCAGTTTTTGGTACATGTTTACCTGGGTCACAAAATCTACCATCATAATTGGCAGCCTTCTCTTCAGACTCAGCACAGAGGCCAAAGACTGAATGGACTGAGGGACTAACCAGGCCCCATCTCCCATTTTGGTTAGAAGCATCTTGACAGGGCAGTATAGGTGAGTTTTTCCAGCTTTCCAGGACTGCAGTCTCCCGGAATATCTCTCTGGCATCTCTCCCAAGCACTAACTTTCATAGAAGATTATGAAAATCTTAAAAGAAGAAAGAATGAAAGAGTTAGCCAATATTCCTCCTGACAGTTTGAATCTCTTGGCTGTATATTCTTCTAGTCAGCAACTTATAAATTCTTCAGTGCTTGGAAAAAAATGATTCATATTACTGCTGACTATACTTAGATGGTTAGCTGTTGAAAAAACACTAGCCAATTGAATAGACTTAAAGATGCAACAAATTTCCCACAGTTGGTAAGTCTAAAAGCATTGGCCAGTTGTGAACTTGATTATTGTACTGTCTGTAAGTTGTTCCATCGGAGAGGCCTGACAGTTGGTCACATGCTTCATTTATGACCAAGGGATTGATCTGTTGACTTCAGTGAGAATTGGAACTTTCCTCTTTAGCTTATGAGCTGGACCCAGAAAGATCATAGAAGAGGAGCAGAGGCCCCCCAAAATGCACATCTCTTGAACATCCCCAGGTCAACCTTATCACCACTCATCTCCCTAGAAGTGCCATCGTGGCTGTGCATAAAATTGGTGTGGGGATCATGGCCAAGATTTATGATGTAAGCCTGAGATCTGCAAGAATACACAGCAAAGACCCAGTGAATATTGCATTATACTCTGGCTCCCTTCACAAATGTCAGTGCAGCACACACTATACTGCTAAAGGCTGAGGGCTCACAAGCCCATGCTTAATCCCTCCTTATTCTCAGAATGAATCATAAATTCTACTGAGTAAGGAACCTACTACAAAGAATAATTGTTCCCCTTCTCCCTCTTCTGCTTCTGAGGAGAACTCCCCTGTGGTGATCTGTGAAGGGAAAGAGATGGTTGGAGAATATACAGGGAACATACTCTGCACCCTTCCAATCCTTTTCTCTTGTAATGGGGTTTTACTGTTCCTCTCCATGCTGCCTAAAGGGAGGGGAATATATGACCATATTTTAGGTAGGCTTGGCAGAATTCAGGGTTTTTTTTTTATAATTTTGACATAATATTGATGTTTATTTTTAAGCATTTTTGACATCTATTAATTTAGATGTTCATAGTTGCAGGAAATTACAGGGAGAACATACAAGGTGGGGCAGACAGCAGTTATTTAATGACAGTAGATATTGAGATTTTAAAAGTTAGTTTTATAACCATTAAAACACAAACACTACATGTCGAAATCTACAAAATAAATATTCTTATATCAAACTGTATTAAATTCTTAAGCAGTATTTTTCTTACTTTGCCTGTCTGTAAATTTCAGCTATAATCTATAAAATATTTTTGTTGGGTTATGTGTATATGATGAAATCGTTGTTTACTGACATTTACTGATAAAAATCGAATACTTTCAAGCCTAATTATAAGGTTCTTTCACTTACTGTTAAAATTTATAGTAAGCAAATTAGTATACTTGCTTTAAATTGTCACTATCCAAGAACTTGTGCATCGATCTATTTATTGTGAGATTGACATCAAATGACATTTTTAAAACAAATATATCTGCCAGTTAAGGAACAATGGGTTCAAGGGGGGAATATATACAACTGAGCTATGAGTTAAGCAGACTCAAGAAATTACAGACAGAAAAACACTCGGTAGATTCAAGGTAGATCAATTTCCAGCCTACTAATATGTTCCTCAAAGTAGAAGCATTTTTACTTTAATGCTGACACAAATCAGATCATAAATAAGGATGCTGCAAACAGTGAGGTATGCTAAAGTTATGAAGCACTAGAACTGGGATTTCTTTTAGTGTTTTGTCTACATAAATATTCAAATTTGTCTGTTACTTTAGACTCCAATGTCCAGCCGGCCTCGTACTGCAATGGCATGGTCCCCACCTTTACTGAACTGCGAACCAATAGAAAATAAAATAAGAAAGATCATTCAACATTCCTGGAGAGAAATACTGAAAGACTGTAGAGAGAAGGATGTTGACCGGCTAGGAGAAATCTCAACATCCGATTTCTTAGGTTTGTTGCCATCTGAAAATTGTGTTATCTCATGTTAAAATGTGCTCCAGTTTTTTTCTAGGTGCCAATCTATGGGATAACCCTGCCCTTAACAAGTGGTATCAGCTGCATGAGTGATCCAGGTTCTATTATGCTATTGTAATACAGAATTGCTCAAGTGCGGTTTGGGGGAATGCACTGCTCGGCAGACTTTGCTGCTCATTTGAAAGGGAGAGCATGGTTTTAGGTGGTGTTTGTAACATAGCATAGCATATGTACTGGAAGACTGGCCACACTCCCCAGCAGAATATTCCCTTGTGGAGCTGGGGAGCGATAGTAAGTACAGGCCCCGGATGTTTTTCCTAGCGCTCCCTCAAGTGGTCCTCTTGAAGTCAATGACAAGACTTTTATATATTTCAATGGGAGCAGAATTTCATTCTTAGATAGGTATGCTGCTCTTCTGCTATGGAGTCGTGGGAGGACAATTCTCTGTGCCCTCTTTCCCCAATCAGGGTATCTGCATGGACAGGACAGACTTTTGGCCTAAATAATAGCATATAGATTCGTATACCATTTGTATAGGAACAGTTACAGCTCAACGAATATTGGACTTATTTCTTGCGTTGTCTTTAAAGTTTTTGGGGAAGATTTCAGAGGAACAGCCGTGTTAGTCTGTATTCGCAAAAAGAAAAGGAGTACTTGTGGCACCTTAGAGACTAACCAATTTATTTGAGCATGAGCTTTCGTGAGCTACAGCTCACTTCATCAGATGTTTACCGTGGAAACTGCAGCAGACTTTATATACACACAGAGAATATGAAACAATACCTCCTCCCACCCCACTGTCCTGCTGGTAATAGCTTATTATCACTTACCTGTTATCCTGCTAAATGTGAATTGTTTCCTCCACCCCCTATGTATAGCAGGATCCAGATAATGCATTTATGTGACAGTCACTGGAACTGGTGGCCTGTCAACATATACCTAATAACTAGTCAATCCAATTTTTATTTTAAAACAAAAAAGTCACCTATTTGCAAGGATGGCAAATTGACTATCATTTGTTATTTCTGTGTTTCTTTCAGCCATTGCAGAGAAGTTCAGTTTGGATTTAAGTAAAGAAGAGATTAGCCAAATAGCAACAAAATATGACATTAAGAACAATGACAAATTTGCATACTGCGACTTTCTCCAAAGCTGTGTCCTATTAATGAAACCACAAGAAAGTTCATTGCTACAAAGGATGATCATTCAGAAGCCACGAATATCGGTACATTCATGGGTTTGTCTAGCTATTTGTGGACAGTTTCTGATGCAGAAACAGAGTATTTTAGGGCTTGAGCCTGTAGTCATTGTATGCATAGAATCCCAGTGACTTTCCATGGAGTCCAGTGACTTCAGTTGACTTATTTTATTCATGTGGTATTTACTTTAGTCGGAGCATCTGCAGAATCAGGCCCTATGTGTCTGGTTCATAGTACAATCTAGATACAGTTTGATTAATTATCAGCAATTGACCATATCTATAAACTTTAAAAAATGTGTTGAGAGGTATAAGAAAGGCCTAGAGGAAGACAGTCTGGGCTGATGAGTTTCAGGGTTAGATTCTGTCTGAAGGCAACAGAAAGTAGGGGGGGTGGACTGTCAGGAAGCTGGTTACTCCCAGAGTCTCTGCTTCAGCCCCAGCCCAGCCAGAGAGCAGCTGTAATCTGTGCCTCTTGTCAATGGTCTTTTAAGGACAATCTGCCAACTGGGGATAGCCAGTGTGCATTGCACTCTGTCTACTCTTCATGACCTGCATCCCCAGCACCAGCACACATGCTTCCAGCGTGCCCCTTGTACCAGATACAGGGAAGAGAGATGCATAGAACCTAGCTGTTCCCAGCTGGGCATCCCCAGCAGGAAAGTTACAGGCAGTTTAACCTGCAATGGCACCCCCTGGCATATCTGGCTTCATAGGAACTATCAATCATTCATTATCAGTATGGAAATTAAGGCAAAACTATCAGATTTTGCTTCAGACAATTTCAGATTTTTCACCTGAAGTTCCCTTTATGCACAGATTTGATACTGTGAAATTCTGTCTCAGAGCTTGGGATGGAAAGAGCCATAATTTGAGCTCTTGTCTAGTATCATTTTCTATTTATTCATTTAAGTTTATAAAGTATAATGAAGTGCCCATCCCATGTTCTGGACACCTTTACATGAAGTAATTTTCACAATAACATTTTTATAAGAGATTGTTCCACTGTATACAAATTCATACCAATAGGCATAATAAAAATAAAATAAAACCCTTTGCATGACAGGAGCAATAATAAAAATACCCTGTGGCTCTCAAGCCCCCCCCCCCCTTTTCTCAAAAGCCAAATAAAGTTTGCAGGCAACACAGAGACTCAGGAATTATAAATAATGAAGAGGACAGGTCAATAATAGAGTGACCTGAATTGGTTGGTAAACTGGGCTTAAGCAAACAATCTGAGTTTTTTAATATGGCTAAATGTAAAAGTATACATTGAGGAACAATTTAAGAATGTAGGTCATATTTTCAAGATGGGGGACACTGTCCTCAAAAGCAGTTATTCTGAAAAAGTTTTGGGGTGAGGGGGGTGGATAATCAGTTGAAAATGAGCTCTCAGTGCAATGCTATGGCCGAAAGGACTAATGAAATCCTTGGATGTATACACTGGGGAATATCAAGGAGGAGTAAAAGAGGTAAAATGACCTTGCATTTGGCACTGGTGTGACCACTGCTAGAATACCGTGTCCAGGTGTGGTGTTCACAATTCAAGAAGCATATTGATACATTGGAGAGGGTTCAGAGAAAAGCCATGAGAATGATTAAAGGACTAGGAAACATGCCTTATAATGATAGATTCAAGGAGTTCACTTTATTTAGCTTAACAAAGAAGAACCTACATGAGGAATAAATATTTGATAATAGGCTCGTCAGTCTAGCTGCGAAAGGTATGACACCATCCAATGGCTGCAAGTTGAAGCTAGACACTTCAGACTGGAAAGAAGGTGTACATTTTTAAGTGAGGATAATGCACAGATTTTGCCACAGAATGGGATGGGGTCAGTTTCAACAGCAAGGTTAACCCCACATTAACCCCGCATTAGCCATTGGCACAATTTACCAACAGTTGTGGTGGATACTGCATCACTGGCCATTTTAAAATCAACAGTGGATTTAAAAATAAAAATAAAGTATGGTCTAGTTCAAAAGGAATTATTATCTATTGCCTGTTATGCAGGAGATCAGACTGATGATCACCATGGTCCCTTCTGGCCTTGGAATCTATGAGAAGCTGGGCTTTTAGCTTCTGTGGAGACATGCAGACGCTGAGCTATAGAGAACAGTCTGGGTCCCACAGCCAGGGTGAAGGGCTCTCTTTATACTGTAAACGGTCCACAGGGGCCCTCACGATAGTTGACGTAAATTTACATTAGGCAGCTGAGTTAGTCGTGATGGGACAGCAAATCCTTCCTTAGCTTTAGACTTCCTGAGATTAAGGTGAATTTCACCCTCAGTGCTCAGGGCATTGCACCAGCTGTACAGTGCTGTCTGTGCACTTACTGCATGCTGTGGTAGAACTGGAGTTTCCAGTACCCTGTGCAGCCTGCATAAAGCAACTGTGGTCTCCAACCCTGCACACTGGCTGGAATAACAGCTGGGTGGAGGGCAAACAGCAGCCCCTACCAAAGTAAAAAACAACAAGAGGCAATAAATTCTCTCCCAGTTATTCCCATACTAGATTTTGACTGTCCTGCCCCAACTATAGAACTGTTCAGAACCTGGTTACAAGAAATATTATATAATGGGGCAAGTATTCTTTTTTACCCTCCTGCTGTGCTTGGCTGATGAATTTAGCTACCTTCAGGCAAAATTTGAATATGAAAACTTGCAACCTGAACAGTGAATTTTCCAAAGAGTTATAAGTAACTGAAAACAGAGGCTTGGAAGGGGAGCAGTTGTGTGACTTTAATTGCTGCTTCTCTGTAATGTGTATAAAAGCAGAGGCCTTTGTTTAAATATATATATATAATCTGATAAAGAATTACATTAATTTTACAAACACACACAAATTTTGGGCTTTAACAGTGTTTAAGTGTTTCAACCTCACTTGCTGAAGAATATTAGAAGGTGAAGAGAATCTAATAGCATTTATTCTGCACCACTCAAGGGTACAGTCAGTCTTTGGTACAATCAGAATTTCACTGTAACACCTTTACATTTCAGCATATGCCTGCACTCCTCTACCATTCTCTTTATATTAACAAATGCCCATCTTTCTCCCCCACCCACCCCACTTTGCTAGAGGAGTCCTGGACCACAGAGCCTGACATTCTTCAATGCAATGCTAAGAATTCAACCCCAGATCTTGCACTGCTGGAGACCGATGAGACGAACGTTTAAATCCTATGATGAAAGTGGGAGCGGGCTGTTAAGTGTTCAGGATTTCAGGCAGGTAAATTGCATTTACTAATCTAAAACTAACAAACTGAAAACCAAAAAGTCTCTAAATAACCTTACTGAAACAGTTTCCAAAATCATGTCAACTATACATTTGCAGATTTATTTGCTGTGACATTAATACTGAGTACTAATAATAATGGCAATCGCCCTCTTTCCAATGCATATGCAAGCGCATGACTTCTTTCACACCAGAACTGAGAAAAGAGTTCTTTACAAGCTCAAGAGGGAGAGAGGGAAGCAGGCTGATGAGGAGAAATCCTTTCTACCACGCCTCTCTGCAGCCACTACTACAGCCTCAGGATGAGCTAGTATGTTCACTTATGAAGCGGGGAGTAGCCTTGTGTACTCCTCCTTATCATAAGAGAGCCCAGCTGGAGTACCATCCTGTTGCAGGCCACAGTTTGACAGGTACACCTGTCTCAGTTTCCCCTTCAAGTCCCCCGCAAACAGTCCAGAGAGTCTTTTTTAGTGCAAATAGCCCTTGTGGGTTAGTTTATTACAGAAGAAAACTCCACACACACATAGCTGTAGCTCACGAAAGCTCATGCTCAAATAAATTGGTTAGTCTCTAAGGTGCCACAAGTCCTCCTTTTCTTTTTGCGAATACAGACTAACACGGCTGTTCCTCTGAAACCTGTCATAATCCCAACACAGTAATCCAGGCTATACATTAAATACAGCACCAGGACCCCTCAGCACACCCCAGCTCTCCAGCACAGCCCTCTCTGGCCCTGGGGCTTCAGTTCTCTGGCTCCAAGAGCCTTTAAGTATCACCCTCTACTGCTCTTAGCCTTCATCCCCCTCCAGCCTTCCCTGGCTCAGGACAGACAGCTAGGTAGCCCCTCCACTGGCTTCCTAGACCTCAGCCCTGGTCAGGTCTCCTAGCACTGGCTCTGCCTGTCTTGAGAGTCAGCAGGTTAGCCTCTCCAGTAGCTTCCTAATAATTCCTTCCTCCTTCCCAAGAGGGCCTACTGAGAGTCTTCTATTCACTAGAGCTTTTCTAGAAACTACCACTCTCCTGACTTCTCCTATCTACCTCTTTCTCACTGATCTTTTATTGCTCCCGGGTGCTGCCACAGCCCTTTAATTGGCCAAACTGGGAGCACCTGTTTTGGCACAAGGCCACTGGATCTGCTTCACTTACAGGGGCCAGACACCCTTGTATAGGTGGAATGACTCTATCCTCTCTTTCTGCCCCTGTGCTTGCCAGTGGAACACAGATCTGTGCTACATAGGGATATGTATCCTCTGCATGGGCTTCTTAGATCCAGCACCTTGCCAAACAGCAGAACCACACCAATTTCAGTGTCTTCAAGGCTGCTCCCCACCTTCAGTGCCTTATAGCACTGTGAGGCCAGGGATTAGTGCTGTACTCCTGGATTCACACTGCTGGGGAGTTTGATTGCTGCTTAGCATACATTTTACTTCTTGTTTCAAGATCCTTGACATTTCTGTAAATAGAAATCAAACTCATAATATGAACTATGGGAACTACCTCCATTCACCAGTCATGTTGCAAGGATAAAAAAAAAAAGATGCATGAAGCTGTTTAATTAACCTTGAGTCCAAATGAGATACCACTGACCTTCTCCACCTGCTGTCTTTGCCACTTAAAACATTTGGTAAAATAATGGGTCAGTCCTCAGCTGCACCAGGTAGTTAGCCATCGTTCAGCTCCCCACTTCCTGAGGCTGCCAGGAGCCAAAACATCCCCAGGTGTAACTTAAAGCAAACTGAAGACCTAAGGGCAGAGGTCCCATAGAAATTGCTCTAATGGGCTGGGCTCAGTTAGAGCAAGGTGTGGTCCAGCCTTACCACATATATGTTCTTCAGACATGCCACTACATGAAGGTTGGGGAGCAAGATACATAGAGCTATGTCAGCTTTAGGCCTGAGGTTTCCCCTATATGAGAGTAGCTTTCTGGTTGCTTTGTACTATCTCAGGAGTGTATAGCTACTGCAGTAGGGGTGAGGATCTGGCCCAGTGTATTTTTTAAAAATTTTGTGCAATGTCAAGTTTGTCAAGCATTTGGTAATAACTTTTTAACTCAAGCCGCTCTATCTCAAACAATTTATTTACATTAAGAGAAAAATGAAACCACCCCATTTCTGTGATAGGATCTACTAGGGAAGTTGATTTTCCCCCTGCAATACGTAAGTGCTACTCTTAAAAAGTTTTCCTTAAGGTATAACAGACAAAAAATAAATGTGTTGCATAACAGACTGTGCTTGGCAAGTATTTGGCTTCAGCGGCTCCTTAGATGACAGTTGATTTCATGAGGTCAAGAATTAACTGCAGCATAAGCAATAGAAGTGCATTTATATGTATTAAACGATATGCATTGAGCCAGGCAATGTTTTGCTAAGACAGTCAAATTACCCCCCAAAGAAGGGAGAAATCAGAAATGGGGTTGCAGTGAGGAGTGATTGAAGTGAGATGATGTAAGATAAAAGAAGTAAGCAGAGAGGTATGTGGATAACTTACAGGAGGGAAAAGCTCTCTGCTATCAGCACTCTCGTAGTTATCAAGGCTGGGAGATATATGAAAGGGAGGAGCGAACAGGCTGACCACTTTTGATACCAGTGCTCCGCATAAGCACTGAAGTAGACACACATAGGTATATGTGGCTACTCTAATACCAGCAGTATAGTGATTTCAGATACTGGCTTGGCTCAGACTTATCTGAGTTTCACATAAAATCAGTGGCAACCAGTAAAGTACAAAAGGAGTTACCCAGATCAGAAGATGTCAGGTGCTGGGGGAGATCCTGCTGGAAAACAACCTATTGCAGAGCCAGTGGACAGCACCTACAGGTACCCTGCAGGATGTATGCTTTAGAAGCACCTTAAACTAAAAGTAATACTAAGAAATAAACATCTCTTTAGCCTTGGTGTCAAAGGCATTAAGGGCCAGTTTTTTAAAAGTATTTAGGTGTCTAAAGATGCAGATAGATGCCTAGTTGGATTTTCAAATCACCTAGGCACCTAACAATCATCAAACTCAATGGGAATTGGGCACTTAAGTTCTTCTGAAAATCCCACTGTCCACCTGTTTGCGCTTTAGGCACCTCCATACCTTTAAAAATCTGGCTCTTAATGTCTGTCACATCAGGTACCACCTGGTCAGTAGTGCTCTCATTAAAGTTTAAGGAAAGAACTCTTAATGTTGCTCTTAGGAGAATTACGGCACGCAGTGCCCCTTTAGAAATGCATATCACCACATACATAAGGGTTCTCACAGGTGGAGCGAGTAGATCTATTGGACTGGATTGTTCCTTCTGCTTCTTCAGGTTTGGAGGACCCTGATCCCCTAAGGAGGGTGCAAAGGGAGAAGCCACAGTGGTTAGCATCATCTGCTCATGTGGAAGCCCTCTCGTGGGTGTATTATGTAATTCAATCTCCACCTGTGGTGAGAAAGTGGGTAGGCTGCTAGCTATTCTCAATGGCACCATCACCTGGATCCCTGCAGAGCTTCTGAGAGCAATTGCTGCTTGGGCCAACGTACAATAAATCACTACCCAAGGGAGGATTCAGGAGCAGCCGCCAAGGTAGCTATGCTGGCACAGGAAAGCTGGGAGGCAACAGGAAGATTCTGGTCTTCACAGATTTTTATGAAATTTGAGACCGTGGGGCTGAACCCTCAGGCAGTTTTGCAAAGGGTTTATGAGAGAGACTTACGTGGTGCATTGGCCTGTGCGAGCCCTGCGCCCAGCACTGAATTTCACCCTTGGCTCCTAACTTTACGTGAGCAATGTGGGTGTTAGGAATTGTAGAATCCTCATCGCTGGAGGTTTTTAAGTGCAGACAAACACCTGTCAGGGATGGTCTAGGCAAACTTAATCCTCCCTGAGCCCAGGGAGATGGAGTAGATGACTTCTTGAGGTTCCTTCCAGCCCTGCCTCTCTATGATTTTATGACATTCTGTGTATTTTGCAGGTGCTGCGTCAGTATCACATCAACCTGACTGAGGAAGAGTTTTTTCACATTTTGGAATTTTATGATAAAACATTATCTTCAAAAATTTCCTATAATGATTTCCTCCGGGCATTCCTGCAGTAGGAAATGGAAGGTGTCATCAAATGCAAGAAACTACAGATAACAGAGCTAATGACTGATTTATAATTTCTGATTTCTAATTAATAAATTAACCAACTACAGCCTTTCTTGCATCAGCAATCTCAAAATACTTACAATTCTGACAAATACAGTGGCCACAGATTGTAGAGGAAATCTACATGGCAGAACTATTAATAGTCACATAATCCATTTATCTGAGAAAAATGATACCACTTAAAGTTGTTATAGTAATGATTCTTAAGACCTTACAGGCATCTGCAAAAGAAATACATTTAAGAAAAATCTTTTTTCTAATTAAAGAGTTTTATTAATTAAAACCCCTTTTTTAATTTCAGTAAAAAGGTTTGAAAGGCCTACTATTCACTTTTATAAGATAATAGAAATAATACATTTGGAAAATTATATTATCCTTCATTATTAGAAAATTGTCTGCTTTACAATCTGCCTTCCCCCCGGCCGCCCCCCCCCCCCCACTTGATTATGCAGTGACATATTTATCTCTCCAGTAGCTTTATATGTTGACATGGAACAGCTACTCTACTCTGAACAGATACACTAGCTGTGCCTAACATGTCATCTTTTTCCACTGAAACCTTTCTCCATAATTTTCCCATATTATAACATACAAATGGAAGTTAAAAATAAAATTAGAAAAAGCTAATTCGCTATTCACTATTGTATTTGTCACTGCAAATGTGGAAGTGTATTACCACTAACATGTGTCTCCTCATATTAACCTTGAGGATTATTTTTATGGATAAACTATTTTTTATAATATATAGTGCACTAAAAGTAAAAAATCCAGTTAGATTTATTGGTTTTGCAAAAGTGAATAGTTTGAGCACCTATTAGAAAATTATGGGAAAAGGTTTAAATGGAAAAAGGATAACATGCCAAGACACAGCTAGTGTGTCTATGGTATATGTAGATTTTAAAAGCGAAATTAAAAGATAATTATTTTGACTGCCAATCTCTTTGGTAAGCAATGAACTTATGATAAGCAGGTTCTGTTTTCTGGGCTTCTATCAAGACTCAAATGGGAACATTCTCTCAGTAACCATTAGGTCAGTACATCTCTTTGTGGCATCTTGGATGTGTTCTCTGCCGCCCAGTCCTTTTCACTGATTTACTGAAGAGCTCTATGTCACCACGATATGTGGTTGTTTTCCATGTTTCTTTGCTTTCCTTCAAATCAAAAATAATTTTTTAAAAAAGGGAAAGAAACATCTCAAAGAACAAGTTCTACATCTATAAGTGAGTCTCTTCACAGTCATTGTCTAGAAAGTGATCTGTGGTAGGATGTTTGAATGAAGGCATAAAAGGTGCAAACATGTTCTATACCTAACATTTTTCATGCATTTATAGCAACATCTTAAAAGAAGCTGGTAAAGTAGCATCAAAGACTTCAATACAAAGCAGAGTAACTACTAACTGGGAATAATGCACATCCAAACAATTTCTCTTTCTTATTGCTGGTGAACTTGCCAGCCATTACTATGGGTCTGATCCGAAGACTGTTGAAGTCAGCTGAAAGATTCCCACTGACTTTAATGGGCTTTGAAACAGGCCTTATCTGAGGAAATACTTACTCTCATTTGAAACTTCAAAGAAGATGTTTGGTGGATTTGAAATAAAAAGTGTTAATGAGACTTGGGGTTGTTGGGCTTTGGTGATTTTGGTTCTTGATCTCCAATATCAATATGATCTGTATTTTGTTTATCATACACACTTCAGGAACACTTGTTATATATACACAAGGAATTATACTTGAAAATTGATACACTTGAAATAGTAACACAAAGGATGCTTTGTTACATTTTCTTTGAAAAGTATTTGCCACATATAAATCCATACATCAGAACTGCATTTAGTGCTTAGGTATATGACTAGAATGATGTAAGGGGTTCTCTTCTACCAACCCAATGTGCAAAAGTTCCAAGTTCCATTTACAGGTAATTTATACGGATTCACATAAATAAAAGAATCTAAAATCCATTTCACCTTGTTACGTTTAATTTTATTCTGAAAACTGCTCAAGACATTCCTTTTTTATGAATATTTTCCACACTTAATGTACATCAGTCAATGAAATTCAAATGCAATATACCCATACTGAGTTCTGTTATTTCTATGCTGTTTGCAGTTGTAAAAGTATTAATTTTCACCAAATTTACTATTTGGAATATACCTAAACAAAATATAATAAAAATCAAAACTTGACATAATTCTTTTGGAAGTAGGGATGTTTCTTTATTGATATATTACTTACTAATAAGAAAAGAAAAAAACCTAGAAGTTCAGTAAATTTTCTTTCGAGTTCCTATGATGGGAGTGTGATAATTTGGTCCGATTTTAGATCAAAAGCAATACGAACATCTCCATCTCTTTGCTACATTATGGCATGCAGCGCAGCTACTGTGATTCATGTCGGAGACAGGATTCATCTCCTTGCTTCCAATCATCTCAGGATCTGTGTTGTCTTTGGGAGAAATGGCTCCGGGAGGGGGTGTCTCAGGATTTCTTGACACTTTATGCCAGTATATTTTTCATTAGTGCTACTGGCAGGAAAATCAGACTCAACAACTCCAAAGGGATTAAAGAACAATCTTTTTGCTGTAAAAACAAATCAAATCATGCTGGTTTTTTTAGTGAGTTCTTAAAGGCATGGATGGCATTTGCCAACTGTTTATCCAACCTCAAAAACAAACTGAATTTCCACTGCCAGCATTTTGAAATAATGTGGGTAAACTGCTACATACATAAACTTTGCGATAGAAGAGGGTTTGCTTTCTTTGATGTTTTTTTGCAACTGTTATCAGTAAACAATGGTCAGTCATTCAGCAATGATTGGCTGGCACCGATTCCATTTGTTTTCGCTAAGAGATAGATAATGTCAATGAAATTGAACACTATCCTGTGATGATGGTCTCCTGCTGCTACATGTAAATGCTGAGGCAAAGCTGAAGCAGTTATGAAAATAAATGTCAAGGCGAAGCTCAGAAATTTATTTTCAAAGCAGAAGGACATTGATCCTGTGCTTGTTACAATAGCTTTACTTCTTTTAGGCCATCAGCTGTCACTCTAACAGCACCAGTACTGGCCTGATAATGCTACACCGATTGCTCCCAGTGCTGTTACAGACCTGCCGTATTGACTTACCGAGGTATGTTTCAGCCAGCCAGAGTAGCTTGTCCATTGTAATGAGTTTTTTTTAAGTATACTCTTCTATAAAATACAAACCAGTTTGTAGGCTGAAGTTTTAGGGCTTGAGTCTGACTGTAGCTGTGCCTTAGAAGAGCATCTAAGGCACAATTCCCTCTGTTCCTCCCTTGCTCTTCGGTGGATAGGAACTTGTGATGGCCTATACCAATAGTCAACTACCACCTCCTGCCCTGCTCTCTGTGTTGCACCACTCACTCTCATGAGTGATTGGAAGGTATGGAGCAAAGGCTCCACCCATTCCCTTCCCCTTCCCTCCCAGTTTTCCTTCTCTAGTGAGGGAATAAGCAGGTGAGTAGCTGCATTTGCACCCACCCAGGTAATCTGCATAGGCATGGTAGGGTTCTTACTCATACTTGCTTGGGCACATGGTCCAAGTCACAGTCTAGCCTGTAATATTTACCTTGCAATGGATGGCCATCCAGCATCTGATTGGATGAAGAAACCATGATACGCTAAGTGCTCTGAAGTGCTTAAGGTAAGTCAACGATGCCCATTTCAGTTAGTGGGGCTGATGTGCTCTTTGACAGCCCCTTTCGGACTTGTGTACTCCAGGATCTTTTTGGAAATCTCCCACCGTTGCAGGTGCAGCTCCACCTGGCAGCAAATCTGCGAATGTCAGTGTAGCCCAAGCTCAGGCAGCTGCTGGTGTTTTCACCCCCATGATGTCTAGCCTTGCTCAGACAGGCCTAGCTAACATGGCACCAGTCTGTACTAATACTGCACCGCTGCTGGTCCAAGGGCAGGAGACTTTCAAAAAAGGAAAGGCTTGGGTGGACAGAGCCTTTGAGGCTTGTCCAGGCAGAACATGAAGCTGCAATTCAGGTTTAAAGCAAATAGAAGATTTTAAAATTTCCAGGCCCTATGCACAGAGTTTGGCTCTTCCACACTGAGTCCCTTCCTAGACCATCCAAGACGACTTGCTGTAGTCTCTCTCTGCTGCTCTCAAACTGGACAGAGAAGGTCTGCTAGAAACTGATAGGAATTCCTTTCTCCAGCCAGCAGGTGAATGTACCAGCTCTGCAATACAGTTTTAATATCAATGTGGGTTTTAATTTTTCCTCATTTTGATTTCACAAATTATCTGAAGGAGGCTGAAGTGACTGAAATCATAACCAGTGCAAAGGAGAGTAGTCAGACCATTGTTAAACTACTCATCCATCCACCAGATATCTCCCGATGGGTTCTGCTATCAGCTAAATACAGGCTGAGGCATCAAATGCAGAGAAAAGACTCACGCATTGGAGCATCTGAAGGGGATTGGTCTCTGCTTATTCAAGACTACTACAGAGGAGGAAAATGTATTTAGATATACTTCAATAAACCAAACCCCAAATATAGATTCAAGGGCTGAGTGTGCTCAATAGTCATCTGCTCTCACAAGGGAAAATTCACCCCTCTGTTAGCAGACAGCACAAGGAGTCAGATTCTCAGCAAGTGTATATCACTATTGCTCTGTTAAAGCCAATGGAATTACATCAGTTTCCACAAACTAAGCATTTTTAAGGCCTATGCAGCTCTAAGTGGGAACATAGCCATCATCCTGCCCAGTAGTGAATTTCACACACAGTAAGAGTCCAGCGGTGCAGTATCACCCTCAGCCAGGTTTCCTAACTAGCCTGCCAAGCTGAGCTTTGCATTCCCCTGCCTTTTGCTTTTCCTGACTCAAGGGAGCCTTTAAATCAAGAATTTTAACTGTAAACATCTGTTCCTCATTAGCACTTCCTCAAGTTTACCTGTACGGCTCTGCTTCTTTATAAACCCTGACCTCAGGCCAGGTTGCTGCTATTATAAATAGGGGCCTGAGCAGCCAGGGAATAGTTTTAATGGCTATTATTTTTAGATTGATATGGGGCTTCTGCGTCCTTCTTTTAGACCAGTACCTTAGTGAAAGATAGGAAGGCTACCTGAAGGAAAATATAGGCAAGCAAGGATGGTTTTCTGGGCTGATAGAAGGGAAATAGGAAATTGGGGATGGGGAAAAAGCAGGAGAAGGGAATTCACACAATCCATGCTGATCACCCATTTCTCTCTTACCGCATTAGCTTTTATTTAATTTTAATTCTAAAGGCTTAGCCTGAAGCCTGCCTTATAAGGACAGAGAAGGAGATACAGCATGTTAAAATCTTGTAGCTGGAACACCGCCATTGCAATTCTGTTTGATTAAAGTACTGAGGTGAGCTAATATATACACAATTACTGTTTTTAGCCGACTGATCTACACTGGGTCACAAGTTGTAAAGAAAGCT